TTCGGCGTTCATGTCGGGACTGATAGATGCTGAGAAGTCCATGCCCGAGCCGTCGACAGCGATGGCATCAGGGTAGCTACTGAATTGAATACTACCCCTGCACATGTCCCCGTCGAGATTTACAAACATGCCGACACCTTGATCAGAAGGTGTTGTGCCGACCGTTAGTAAGAACTCGTTCGGATTTGGTGATGCGACGTGAGGTTTTAACGGGATGAATGGCGGCGGTTGCGGCAGTGGTGGCTCCTCAGCTTGTGGCCTATCTTCCTCTGTCGGAGGTGGCGGTAAAGGTTTGTCGGGTGAGGTTGCGCCGCCACGAGGACGACTAGACGATCTCTCAGAATGTTCACCCCCCACGGGCACTCGCGCAGGGGAACGGGCAGGGGCTGGTGACATGTCCCGGGACAGCGACTCTGGTACATCGAACCCATATCGCTGCGCCGGAGGCTGTGGACTTGCTGTTCTAGAAGGACCGCCGAGACCAAGCACATTCAGGCTAGTACTTCGAGCATGACCACGCTGCTCCTCAGGGCCTCGCAGATGTCGATCTGCAGAAGAAGCGCTTCTAGAGGGTGCACTAGGTACGGTCGCCAAATGCTCAGCAGCTCCACCGACATCACCAGCATCGGGGTCCAAGGATGAGATGGGGAACAGGCCTATCTTTTGCTGATGTACGATGTCTAGGAGGGCATACGAGTGCGCATCGGCAGCGCATGAGAAAGTATCTCGGCGGACGGAAACCAAGCAACCTCCATACTCGATTGCTTTGATCGCTTTTGGAGGGGAGTTCTCGGATATCTGCACCAGTCGTAGTCGCTTCTTCAAGCCAATGACGACGACTACACCATCCTCAGAAGACCCATTGACGTCCTCGTTCAAGTCCACACCTCCAACCCAAAGACATCCGATTGGCTTGAAGGTCGAGTCTGGGCTCAGCTCGGGTAGCGAGTAGATGGAGAGGGTGTTGTTGCACAGTACGCAGGCCTTGCTGATCTTGGGAAGCAACAGGATCTGCTGCACGCCAGGCCCACTGTTGTCATTGTGCGGCGGCTCCAGCCGGGAGGCGATGATGGCAGTGGGTTCTTCGGAAGGGTCGTCGGTCTCTGGTGGTAGGAGGACGAAGTGGATGATCTCGGAGGCGGATGTCCCAACGTAGAGATTGCCGTCTAAACGCGTCAGTATCTGGCGAGGCGCACGTGTACACAGGGGCGCGCATACTCCATACTTCTACACATGTGATGCGCACGTCTGTAGAGGGGCCGTCAGCGGACAGCGGTAGGTTTGCGACGAGCTTGCGGAGGATGTATGGGCCATCGAGCGGAGGCGGTCGCTGCGATTGGAAAGATGCTTCTGCCATGATTGTCGACCATCACACGCGCCATGACCGGCTACGGCAGTGACATGTAGGATGCGCGCATGGTGGATGGTGGAATGCGCTCGTGTTGCCTGGCGAGCTATGAGTGCCACAGCCCACCAATTAGGGCCGCCCAACGCCGCACCTTCCGCGGTTTCACGGGAAGCTGTATGCATACGTAACCAACTCCAGCCCATGATTCCCAACGCGCCGTGAGAGCACATTCGAGCACGCTTGACCACGGCCGTAGGAGCTGCCAGTCCTTTCGCATTCCAGCTGCACATCGTTCTTGCACCACGGCCGGCGACCGAAGCGCACCAATGGAGGGCGGAGTCGACATGGACGAGAGGGCCGAGACTCGAACAACCGCCGAGAGGCAAGAGTCCGGCGCAGAAGACGAGCACGAAGAGGAGAACAAGTTCCAAAAGGCTATTGGCGCGTGGCGGAGTACGAACATGCACGACCAGCATTATGGGCCAAGGCTAACGATGCGCCAGACATCGATCTCACCACGCTCATTCCGCAACTCGATACTGTAGCCTCGGATCTCGTCGCGCACCAAAGAGACACGCTCACGCAAAGAAAAGATCTCGCGCAGAAGACCAAAGACTTCCGGAAACTCGACGATGCCAGCAAGCTCAGCGACATCAAAGGCCTCTTGAAGTGTAAGCCTCGACTCGCGCCGCCCATCGTGCTCTGCTAAGTCAGATTCACAGCATACCAAAACTTCATTGATCTTATTTCCAACCAGTCAAAGACGGTGCAGGCCGCCTTCTTCCAGGTCTACTCGCCGCTCTCTGAAGCACCCGACCCGTATCCGCTCCTCGAAGCCTCCGTCGACTCGCTTGTAACCTCGGAAGAGCTTGTGCCCAAACTCACGTCCGAAAACGAGCGCCTGCAAAAGACGGTGGCGAGTCTCACTACACAACTTGACGAGTCGGACAAGAACTTGGAACAGGAGCGTGCAGCGAGGAAGGCCCTGGAGGACAGCCGGGACAGCAAGATCAAGGATGTGGAAGCATCATGGTCGGCTGTCCTGAACGAGAAGCAAGACAACTGGGAATCCAAGGAGAAGAGTCTAGAAGAGAAGGTCGAGAACCAGGATCGACTACTAAAGGAACTCAAGGCCAGTTACGAAGTCTCACAGCGACTTGGCCAGGGGGAGGCCACTGACGAAGAAGGCGGCCGGGGCGCCACTGCTGCGGAGCTTGAGATCGTCAGCTCAGAGCTCGAGCGAACAAGCCATCGATTGGCCGAAATCACGGCACGAAACGAGCAGTTACGCCTCGAACTGGCCCAGTCTGCCTCCGCACCAGCGCAGCAGCTTGCTGCTGAAGATGACCCTGCTTTCCTGCGACTCCGTTCCGAGAACTCTTCACTCCTGCGAAAGCTTGAGAATGCGCGTTTCGAAAAAGACTCCGACCGAACACGGCTCGAAACTGAGACGAGAAGCTTGGAACGTGAAATCAAGTCACTCAAGAGTGAGAAGGAAGCTCTTCGCGAGAAGGTACTGAAGTGGAGCGATTACGAGAATGTGAAGCAGGAACTAGAAGTGTTGAAGGTATGCTTCTCAAACTGCATTTCCAAGCCCAAGCTAACTTGTGCTAGTCGATTGAGTTCGCGACAGGCGACGATGACGACGAAGCCACCGAGGTCGCACTCTCACAAAACAATGCGTCTAGCAAAGGCAAAGGCGAAACACTCGAACAGCTGCTACTTGCTCGCAACAAGAAACTCAGCAACGAACTTACAGTAATGCGAGTCTCACACCAGGATCTCCAGACCAGACTTGAAGCTCTGCAAGAAGAACTCTCCAACACAAACATGGACTTGGAAAAGTCACGACAACTCAACGAAACACTGGAAGCCGATCTTGAGAAAGTCCAGCAAGAGGCGACCAATGCCTTTGACCCATCTGGCATGTCAGTCGCCGGGACTTACGTATCGCGTTATCCACAATCTTCCTTTGCCGGGGGCCGAAGAGGCCGCTCATCACCCACTTCGTCCATCATCTCTGGCTTCGACAACTCGTCGCAAGCCCCAACATTGGCGTCTCTGCGTGCCGGAGGCGGTGGTGTCGAGCCCATGGGAGGCGGTTCTGGTATCCTCCCGATGATTACCGCCCAACGCGACCGCTTCAAGAAGCGCAACTCTGAGCTCGAGGCTGAGCTTCAAAAGTCCTACCAAACAGTTTCATCATTGCGAAGCGAGATTGGCGCGCTACAGAAGGACAATCTGGACTTGTATGAGAAGACGAGGTATGTGAGTAGTTACAACGCGGTCAACCGAGGGCCAGCATCCAGCGCCTCGAGTTACGCTACCAACCCTAATCCCTCGGCCATCAACATGGGCGACGGTGGAGGTTCAGCGGTCGATACCAAGTACCGATCAGCCTATGAATCTAACCTCAGTCCCTTCGCCGCGTTCCGAGGTCGCGAAAGCGCAAGGGCTATGAAGCGCATGCATCTCTTCGAACGCATGATCCTGCGGGTCACCAAGTTCGTACTTCAGACACGAACAAGTCGCAACATCTTTGCGGGGTACTTACTGGCGTTGCATTTCATGGTGTTCTATTTCTTGTTTAGTTACGAGGCGAGTGCAGGCGCAGCGGTCGTTGTTGGACCAAGTGTACCTGGAGGGCCTGTTCCTGGGCCAGAAGATGCGGCGGCGTGGCATAACGAAGACGAAGGAACGTCGTAATGGGCTGAGAACTAGCGAAGGATCAACGTCTCCAGACGTCTGTACTATTATGGTGGTCTTCAGCATGTGGGCGTTTCTATTCTGGACTGGCTGTAGCGTGTTGGCCATGTCGCACGCCCTGGTTGTTTCAATGAAATTGAGAGACCTGTTTAGTGTGCTTGACTTCCAACAAGACGTATCGTGACACGACAGACGGTCTGCTTGTTTTTGATCGGCCTCGTGATGACCTACGAAGCAGCTTCTTCAGAGGCCCCAAGAGACCAAGACATGTGCAAATACGCACCTGCAACAAGCAACACCAATAGCGAATGTCAATAACCTCGCCTTGAGCCTCCTACAGGCCCCAATTGCTTGCCGTGTAACCCTTTCTGATATTATGGTGCATCGGTTTCTTGACTATATGGCGGCTGGTAAAAATGTCGCGTGGCGAATGATCACAGGAAGATCTTGGATATGATACTTCGGTCTCCATACTGACGTGTACTTGACCGAAAAACGTACAACGGAGAGACGGCAAGGAAATGAGCCACTCTTGACCCAAGACTGCCAAATCTTTCTACAAGCGCGAAGGACGTTCCACGGTTATGTATGGTGTCTTGCAATATCAGTATTTCTGTATGGGTTATTACCAGTTTGCAAGGCGACACGCTCATCCATGCCCTCCTTCTTAGTCTTTTCGTAGCCGATCAACCGCTCTCGACAATCGTCGACCAACGAACCCACTGTGGAAACAGAAATGCGGCATGCAAGTGCGGAACACAAAACAAGTTTGACATGCACGACATCGACATCCCTAGCCAGCCAGCGGCGGGTCGACAAGCTAAAGCAAGAACATCATCCTAGAAACCCGTTCTGCGGCCTCTGCTGCCAATAGCGAAGCGCTGGCATAAGAACGTTCGAGGCGCCCTTCCTGCCCACGTCTGCCATTGGTCGGCCACTGTGGATACTTGAGTGGGAGATATTAGCTGTCATTTCTCCGCTCGATGTAGTTTGTATTAATAGTCATTATTGTGGATTTGTGGTCTTTTTCTGGGAGAGGTACCTTCTACTTTAGGCATGGTAGAGGATACGGCTTGTTAGGTAGGTTCACCGGGTACATGGGTACTTTAGCAGCTGAGATTGTGTGTAGGACGGGCGGCTCTGCGGGTGGTGGGGATGCAGAACGAAGGGAAGGAAATTGGAAGGACTAGGTGTGGAGAGAGCGACTGCTGGACCCGGTGGTTGCAGAGGTTGCAAGGTCACGCACTGTAGTAGAGGATCTTGGAGGTGTGCTATTTTCGATACAAACTTATCGCTGAGAGGAATATCGAGGATTTGGACGCGGAGTGCTTTGTGATGTTTACTCGCACAGGAGGGCGGCATCCGGCTGACTTAGTTGAAGAACCATCATCAAGTATCTATCTTGACAACCACATAGCCTCGATGACATACTCCCATCAGCAGCCTCGCATGTTCAGAATATGTTCCGCATCAGCAGCTCAATACACATAATCTCGCTCCCGAACTCTTACCAACCTCCCCTCCGTCCAGCCCCCAAAATAGCCATCTCGCCAGCGATCCCCACGGGCGTCTACGCCAAAGACGAACGTAGTATAGTGGCCGTCAAGCGCTTCGGTAGATGAGCGAACCACAACGCACGAACCTTCTGTCCCCTCCCTCTCGATTCTTGTCAGCCAATCGTACCCTGTCTGGCTATATTTGGGGTCTTTTTCTACTTTAGCGAGCGACACGGTCTGGTTGGGCAAGTGGAACTGGCGGTAACGGTTGATCGGCTTCGTGTACATGGACATGTAGGATCTGTGTGGAGCGAACTAGGCGCTGGGGAAAGAAAAGATGGCTGTCGTGTGCTTGCGACGTGTGGCTGCAGTTTCTATATAGGAACATGGCATAGACGGCCTTGTTCACGGTTTACTCACCCATCAACGCGCTCTCCTACGCTCGCCCCTCACCAAAACAACTGTTCCACTTTCGTGCTTTCCTTGACCTTGGGGCTCTTTCCTTGAATAGGTTTTCGCTGTTTACGTTCCGTCTTACCACGTTTTCATCTCGCTTCGACGTGTTCCTTTCTTACATTACGGATCTCGTTGCTTCCGACAAGGTCTTGTAATAGATCAGCACCCTGACCGATATTCTATTCCAAGAAAAGATTGCACGCATCCTAGCAACACCGGCAAGGCTCACATCCACTTCACATTCGTGATATAACATCATCGCCGTCTCGTCCACTGGATCGACATTACACAACATCCAACACCCGGCAACCAGTACCAAGCACTCGATCCATATTACCGCCAAGATAACACAAGTCGATAATCGAACATGATCTTCACTACCACTCTCGGCCTTGTCTTGGCTCTGGCCCCGACTGCCCTCTTCGCTGCTCCAACACAGACTGTCGACTCGATAGCAGCACTCGTCCCGAGACAGCATCTGGCGGGGCTGCCAGCGGCTTTGTACGACGAGTTGAGGAAGACAGACTCACTATGTGATCTGTCAAATGTTGCACTGCCTGCTGGTATGTATCTGGTTCCTTCCAATAACGCATGGCCCATAGATGCTAATAACAAGTAGCACCCACACCTCTCGCTGCCCCAGCGCAAGGCACCACTCTCCGCCACATCGCTATAGGTCGCGGCACCCAAAACTACACTTGTGCTTCATCTTCGTCTTCCGATGTGCCCAAAGCTGTGGGCGCTGTAGCCACGCTCTTCAATGCAACCTGCGATGCCGCCCGTCTCAACGTCAACACACTCGCCGAGGTAACCACGCTCGCACTTGACTATGCCATTCCAAACTCCGCCGAAGCAGAGCAGCGGATATCAGGCCACCACCAGTTCACTGCCGCTGGTGTCCCTCTCTTCATGCTGGAAACCGACAAAGTTAACTACGGCCGCGTCGAGTGCAAGGTCGACAGCAAGAGCGCCGCACCCCAGGCCGCAGCCAAGGGTACCAACGGACTTGGAAGCGTCCCATGGCTGAAGCTGAACGCCACCGTCACTAGCGAAGGCACTGACCCCTGGGCTTACAACGAGGTCTACAGGATACATACCGCTGGAGGCATGGCACCCAAGGACTGCAGTGGAATCGAGGGAAGCTTTACCGTTGAGTACAGCGCGCAGTACTGGTTCTATGCATAAGCAATAATGGCTTAGCTGCGGTTGTCAATTGTCCTTCTTCTTCCCCTTGTACAGAGCATTTTCATCGGCGTTCAGGGCGCAGAGTACCGGTTCAGCGTTCTGGTAAAGCATACAAGCCTACGGGCTTTGGTAGATAGCACTACTTTTCTCACGATGTCTGTCAAGCCTATAGATGGCGACAGCAATCGTAATATTCAATCGCAAAAATTTTTCCTCATTATCTTGATTATGCTCGACTGAGGTCTTCTTTCAACTGTCTTCGAGCTGTTCTCTTTTCGATTTTCGATACCTGGAACTTCTCTTCCTGAGCAGTGTTCCTTTGTCGGCGTCCATGTCAACCATAAGCCTTTTCCCGGACTCTTGTTTTGCCTGGGAGATCTTCTTAGGCCAATCCTTACAGATGTCAATCCGTGATCTGGGTGCAAACATTTCCAAGAGGAGGTAGATCAAGTAGTCGACGATGACACAAATACAAAAGAGCTTGCCCGCCCAAATCCCGCAGCCGAAATATCTCTTCAACCTCTCGATGAGGGCAAAACTTTGCACACCCGCGCGACCACGGGTGGCGCTCCAAGCGCCAGCTGCGCCTGCACCCTGATAAAAATCACTGTGACTGATGACGCCACTGATGCCATCATACACCCTCTCCGTTCGTTGAGCTATATCGGTCCAGGAGTACATCTGCTTTACTTGGTTATGAAACAGTTCGGTCCGGACTTTGCCGGCTCTCAGTTTGGCGATAGCACGACCAGTAGCTTCAACAAGCTCATCCTCTTCAGGCGCCGCAAACTCTACCATGTGTGTAGGCAGCACCTCGGGAATTCCACCGACTCGAGTTGCCACAACATACAGACCGCAGGAAGCAGCCTCCACGATGACCGTACCAAACGCCTCCGTCAGTGAAGGGCATAGATATATGTGGCCACGAACCATAACGTCTCGGACTTCCTCGTGACGGACTGGGCCAATCATGAGAACCTTGTCTTGTAACACATTGCGCTCGATCATTTGTTCAAGATCGATGGCCTTGGGTCCATTACCAGCGATAATGAAGCGAACGTTCGGGTTTGCGGCCACAATGTGGGGTATAGCGGCAACCAAGAGGTCTGTGCCTTTGTTATAGTAGAGTCGCTGAATCACAATGACGGTTATGGTCTCATCCGGGTCCATGGGCTGTCGCGGTCCCGGTGCTTTCGTGTGTCTAGCATCGACCACATCGTGCGATAGAGGACGGAAGTTCTCTGCAACGACGGCGTTCGGGATGACGGAAACCATGAGAGGGTCCAGTGAGGCTCGAAGTACGGTGTTTTCTTTGCTACAGCCTATCAGCATATGTCAGACGATACGAATGAGACACGCACCAAGTGTGACTGACGCATATGACATGGTCGACATCGCTCAATGTGAATTTGAGGAGCTTGTTGGTAAGGATACTCCCAGCATCCGCAAAACCAAACAGGCTATGGTCTGTGAAGACAGTTCTCAATCCCATAGTCCGTGCATGCAATATGGCCTCATGGCACAGACTACTCAGGCTGGCGTGTCCATGTACGATTCCAATGCGCTCGCGAATAACAATATTGCGGAAGATGGGAAAGAAGGAGAAGACGGTGGGGAAGGTGGTCTCGCGGTAGATAACCCAGAATGGGACGTAGTAGACCTTGAGACCGTTGGTAAGATATCGGACGCCTTTTCGACCGTTGTACGCATGTGTGATGACGATGACCTTGTGTCCACGATCTATGAGTTTCTGGTTGTGTTAGGAATGTACAGGTGGGGGATATTGAGCAGACTTGCACTTGACAATTGGTACATATGACTCTCTACTCCTCCTGAAATATATGAGTACTATACTGTTCGAAATCGCATGACATGGCCCGTACCGGGTTGGGGGTAGAAGTTGTCGCTAACCATGCTGTTGCGCGTGAGCTCTTGCCATGATGCAGGGTCTGGATCCAGAACGTACGCAATGTTGTAGGGCATGTTGGCGGATTGTAAGGACTGGCTCCTCGCATCTGCTCATAGAGAAGACACATGGCAGCTCAGGACATAGATGCGATGGTGACGCTGCATGAAGGCGTTGCTGTAAACATGGCGCTGTCGCGAATGGGTGCAAGGCATGGCGCGTCACTGGTCGGCGTTTAGCGTGTTGGAAACTCCGACCAAATTTCGAGGGTCCAGAATAATTTGTAGCCAACTTCACCATCCTGCAGTCGCAATCCGTCGCGAATCCCACCCGGCTATTTTCTGAACAATCGCTGTCCGGAAGTCGCCAGAGCTCAACTCGCGATGCCGGCCCCTCTGTTCAAACGTTTCGCGCCGCCTGCGCCCATCGCCAACAAGCAGCCTTCACCTGCTCCAGCGCGCGATCAGGTCACGAAAGCCTCCAGCCCTCCCTATGCTGCGACCGAGGTGGTCGCCGACTCACACCCCGCATCTGTACAGGACAGTGTGGTGTTGGAAGTCCCAAAGACTATCAAGAAACCCAAGAAGAGGAAGCGCAATGCTGAAGCTGCCGAAGCCCAAGATGATGAGGTTTCCAAGAAGCATAAGAACATCCTTTCGAAATTCGAGAAAGCCTCAAAGCTTGCTGAAGTGGTAGGGCAAAAGGGAGAAGAGGAAGTTTCATATGAAGCTCAAGAACCAGAAGAACTCCACGATCTCGAACCCATGCCGCAACCCGCACCGATTCCCGAGCCAGTTTACGAACCTACCTTCTCCACTCTGCCCACGTGGCTCGCTCAACCTACCACCGTGGAAGCATCGACGACGACCCCGTTTTCCGAACTTGGTGTTGATCCTTCATATGTAAAGAGATTAGAGAAACAAGGATTCAAGGACGCGCTGGCTGTGCAAACAGCATTGCTTCCCATGCTGCATCCTGGCTTTGACCAGCACTTGGGCGACATATGCGTCTCGGCCAAGACAGGCTCTGGAAAAACCCTGGCTTACCTACTACCCATCATCGAAGCCCTCAAGGATCGCGCGGTACCCGTACTGTCAGCCATTGTGGTAGTACCGAGCCGGCAACTCGTCAATCAGGCTCTACAAGTTGCCGAGGAGCTATGCGCTGGAACAAAGATCAAAGTAGGAACGGCTTTGGGCAGCATCGCCTTTGCGGCGGAGCAGAAGCAGCTTGTGAAGATGAGACCGCAATACGACCCCAGGAGAGCACAGGAACTTCAGGAGACGGCTTCACGACAACACCAGACTGGGCTTATGGAGAAAGGAGGACTATACGACGATCTGAGAGCCATGCCTTTAGACCACGTCCCACAATACGACTCGAGCGTAGACATTCTCATATGTACTCCGGGCCGATTAGTTGAGCACATCGAGCACACTACCGGCTTTCTGCTCAACAGTGTGCGCTGGCTCGTTATCGATGAAGCTGACCAGCTGCTGAGTCAAAACTTCCAGGGTTGGGCGACTGTGCTGATGGACGCCCTTCATGGTGAGACGCCAGTTGAGTTTATGAACGCTCAAGAACGGATACGAAAGCGAGAGCGCGATGCCAACTCTATCTGGTCCATGGCATTGCCTGCTCGTAGACAGCTCACAAAGATTGTGCTTTCCGCAACGATGGAGAAAGACCTCACGAAGCTCGGCACACTGAAACTCAAGCGACCGAAGTTGATTGTCGTACAAGACGCGATTGCAGAATCTCAAACGTTGGACAATGAAGAAAATGTCTTTGAGTTGCCGTCGACCCTACACGAGTTTGCGGTGCATGTTGGCGATGGTTCGAACAAGCCCCTACACCTGTTGTATGTGCTCGTCAACTACGTATTCCCAGGCGCCCAGGCAGCATCAGGCTCTTCGTCGGTTTCTTCCGCCTCTGGTACATCATCTGACTCCGACTCTGACTCGGGCGAAGATGAACGGGCATCTGTATCTAAACAGAGTGGCCGCGTTCTCATCTTTACTAAAAGCACAGAGAGTGCCTCTCGCTTGTCGCATCTGCTTGGTGCGCTCATGCCAGGTTTCAAGAATTACATGAAGACGATGACCCGAGCGTTGACAGCGGATGCGTCTCGAAGATTGCTCAAATCATTCAGCTCTGGAGTGGTCAAAATACTAATTGCGTCCGACGCCGCATCCCGTGGGCTGGACATTCCTGATATTACTCATGTCATCAACTACGATCTTCCGACAAGTATCACCAGCTACGTCCACCGCGTCGGTCGGACAGCTCGCGCGGGCAAGACAGGAGAAGCATGGACGCTGTTCACGAAGAACGAGGCCGCATGGTTTTTGAAGCAGGTAGCCAAGGGCGAAAGCATAAAGCGTGGCAGTAAGAAGGTCAAGCGTATGGAGTGGAAAGAGAGCACTGTGACGGCGGACGGAAGGAAGAAAGCGTATCGCACGGCGCTGAAGCAGCTGGAGAGCGCTGTCGCAGGCAATGCTGAGGCTGAATAGATCTGCGGCGAAACCGTTACCTGTTGACCGCACAGTAGTCCGAAGATGGCCAGCCCTGACTATTACGAAGATACCCAATCCATGTCCCACATGTAGTTGCGGACCGTTTCTATGCTGCATGTACCAAGCTTGCTCAATAGCCTTGGCTTTGCTTGATACCGTCCCTCACGATCGGCGCCAACGACAACGAGCTCTCTTCGCATTTGGAAGGTGATAAGAAAGCTTAATCGTCCGAGCATCGGTGTATCAGTGAACGTGCAAGGAGACAGTGAAGCTTCACCGTTGATAGGACGTGAGAACTTTCCGTAGTTCAGCCTGGGGCAGCGCCAACCTCAGAGTGCAGTGCTAAGCATTCTCCTCGGCATGCGTGATCATGCTTGGTACCCTCCCACACCGCGGTGTCGTGCGCTGGAGGTTGCGGATCACATCCGGAAGGGGCAGGTTGGAAGCGCAAGCGGGCATGTGACATGCAATTGGCCGAAGACGAGATTCGCGACTTCCTGAGCAAAAAGTCGTCCATGGCCATGATTGGCTGCGAAACCTGTTGATGTGACATGTCAGGGTTAGCCTCCACGGGAAGGCCCACTAGGCCCGGGGCTGCTGCACTGGACCTCCCATATGCCGCCTTTCATTCAACCAGACCTCACATCGCCACCTCCCTAATGCAGTCGCTGCCGCCCTTATCGCTTCGTTTGCTTCGACATTAATCTATCACGCTCCAACATCTACCGATTGTGTGGATGGGTCGGCGAGTTCTGCATGCTTTGGATCGCGCCTCCACGTACGCACAAGTGGCTGCGCTGTTGGCCGGCAGTTGAGCCGCTTGCCTGTCGCTTTCCATGGTCCAACGGTGTGCTGGCGTCGAACTATTGACATCCAAACCATGTGCCACGATGCGAACGACAGCGGCCACGAGGATGACGCATGATGGCAACCCACGAATTTCCGCAATTGCATGACCAACATATCTCCAGGCCGTGTTTCAAACGGCTGTGGCTGGCCCGCACCCTGCAGCATCAAGGTGCCAAGAGTGAGAGTCCTAGGCTTAGTAGCGCCTCGAAGCTTGACTGGCGGGCGCCTGCACTACCCAGCATTGTAAGAGCGCTACCTGGCTCTTAGCGAACAAGGCACGCTTTACTATTGCAACCTTCATCTTGGAATGTCACCAATGACGATCAATGTTTGGTACAGTACTATTTGCCTGCCGCAAGAAACGGAACATACCTCGGTCCAGCCCGATGCTATGGAAGCGGACCCTCACAGCCTGCAATCAGCCTTGAAACCAATGTACTATTACGGATGGCCCGCCACGTATTCGGTCCTAAAGTCGCACAAGATGGTCACTTCTGTCGCAATGTCCGATCTACAAGGACTGTAAGCTCTCCATGTGCCACCGGCCAACGTACATGCTCCGCATACACCCTCCTGGCCGACGCCAAGTCTGAATGCAGCAGGTAAATGTATGAAACGCGGCGCCACTCAATCGCAAGCATGATCTACCTGCCAAGATAGGACTCGTTACCATGACTGGTCGCGGGATCTAATTTCAATGTTGATCGCTTACCCCACTATAATCCTACACTACCATAGCGATGCCAATGGAGCGCAGCGTAGACGTATGGACAGGGTAAGGAGCACATCATCGTCATGGACACAAGACTATGCCGCGCTTTGTGGCAATGCTTGGTATAAAGCCAAGGCAAATCCTCCTTGTGTTTCTGTACCGGCTTCATCATCTCAAGCCTCTCAAACGGGCTTTACCTTCCCCTTCGCTTGTATCTTCTTCTTCAGTACAACCAATAGGCCATCGTTATCATGCCTTCTTTCGCCAAACTCACGGCGGCGTTTGCCTTCGCTAGCACAGTCGTTGCGACCCCAGTTCAACTGAGTAAGTTGTCCCATCACACGACAATGCCTCAGCACAGGATATATCACTGACAATTCCATAGACAAGGGTACCTCCTTCTCGGTCGAGCAGGTTCCTCGCTCGACATACCTGAAAAACGGACCCGAGCAGAAGATCAAGGCTCTGCGCAAGCACGGCAAGGCTGTGCCTCAAAGCCTTGTAGAGGCTGCCCAGAACAGGGCGAGCAACACAGTCGTTGCCGCTGCTGCTGCCAGCGGATCAGTTCCTGCTGCTCCGAATGACGAGTATGACTCTGCATACTTGAGCCCAGTCACCGTTGGAACCACCACTGTCCATCTTGACTTTGACACCGGAAGCTCTGACCTGTAAGCCACCTCTGAGACCCGCCCGTTGTTCGCGGTGTCAAGCCTTTTACGGAAGTCTCATCTAACCAAAACTCAGCTGGGTTTTCTCATCCCTCCAGGCCAGTTCTCAGCTTAGTGGTCACGACTACTACAAGGCCGATGCCTCTAAGGTCAAGAGCGGTTACTCCTGGAAGATCTCCTACGGAGATGGCTCTGGTGCTTCTGGCAAGGTCTACGCCGACAAGGTCACAGTTGGTGGTGTAACAGCTACCTCCCAAGCTGTCGAGGCTGCTACCTCCGTCTCTGCAACCTTCTCTCAAGACACCGATACCGATGGCCTTCTCGGCCTTGCTATGAGCTCCATCAACACCGTGAAGCCCGTTCAACAGAAGACATTCTTCGATACCGTGAAGTCGCAGCTCGCCCAGCCGCTGTTCGCTGTCACTCTTAAATACCATGCCGCCGGCACATACGACTTCGGATACATCGACAAGAGCAAGTACACTGGTCCCATCACCTACATCAACGCGGATGACAGCCAAGGATTCTGGGGATTCAGCGCATCTGCTTACAGCGTCGGCACCACTACCACTCAGGCAACTGTTTCTGGTATCCTCGACACCGGCACCACTCTCATCTACACCGACACTGCTATTGTCCGTGCCTACTACGCCAAGGTCAGCGGCGCCAAGAACGACGCTACTCAGGGTGGTTACATCTTCCCTTGCACTGCTTCTCTTCCCGACTTCTCCATCACTGTTGGTGGCGTCAAGCAGACTGTCCCTGGCAAGTACGTCAACTACGCACCCATTGGTGACGGTACCTGCTTTGGCGGTATCCAGACCGATGACGGTATTGGTTTCAGCATCTTCGGTGATATCTTCCTCAAGAGCAAGTACATTGTTCACGAGATGGGTAGCAATGGCCCAAGGCTCGGATTCGCTCAGCAGGCCGGCATCTAAACAGCTGCCTGAGTCGATGGCAAGGTTCAAGTCTTAGGGCGATGCAGTAGTGTGAGATATGATTAGGGTATACCATAATCGGTGCCGGAAACGCGGCGAAACTGTCTAGGCATTTGCATAGTCCGCTAGCCTAGTCTTTTTTATGCAAGTAAATATTATTGCTTCTTCACTTCTTCACAAATGGATTCCTAGCGTATACACCGTGACATGTGACAGTCAACCCTACGCTGGACTCAGCATCACGGAAACGGAGGTCTGGTGCACAATCCGTAAATCAATTGTCTCCGAAGGAGTATTGTTACTTTTGACCGCTGCTATATTGAACTATACACTGTGGGCCTAATACAAAATCTCCGAATATGTCAGAGCCGAGCGTATAGTGTAAGCCAACCGATGTGAGTTTTGTGGAGTCTTGCATTCCCGAATCTTACACGAATGATGCGCCACCCACATTAATGTCGCGAGGTAAGAGGCTGCTTTCGGCATATTGTGAGATAAAAACAGGCTCTCCGCACAGAGTAGTGTGGATCGGAATATGTTCCTCACATTCTTTGTGTCATAGCGAGTCTCAAATTGTCATGAGTCTCCGAAGTTGTCTTGCACGATACAGTAACAATGTTAGCATGATATCCTGTATCGGAAACACAGTTGTGATTTGCGCATATCTGCATCCAGAATCAATGAAGGCAGTGAGAGGCAAGTGCGTGCGGGAATACGTGGACAATGTGCGAAGCTGGGTCTCGCCTACTAGAACACAAGTTTCAATGACGAGCATGAGATCCTATGAGCCTCAAAGTGGGATAGAGGTGCTCAAGATTTTCTTGTGACAAACTATGTTGCTGGACTGATCATTCCCACACTTCTTGGCTCGAGGCTTGACAGTTCAGTGCGGTCCACTTGGATATGTAACCTGAAAACAAATTAAATGATACCATCATGCAAGCTATAGCTAGGCAATCAGTCCTGGCGAAGTTCAGGACAAATATGATCGGCCTGACAAGTATGACTTCATGAGTGGTCTTGTAGATCAAAGTTAGTCTTGGAGTCCTTTTGTTGTACAATCTTGGGTGCTCATACCTGGACAAAACTTCGTTAGACCTAACGCGCCGAATTCAGCAGGTATCGAAGGCCAGTGTAGGGAGCTTGTCAATACCCCGTGGAATGTGGAGCGTTTTGTTGAAGACAGATGAAGTATGGAACCCAACGTGTAGGTGACTCCATTGGGTGATTTCTTCACAAATGGAATTATTCGACATCGGCGTCGCCGAGCGATTCTATGATAATTTCTTCTTACATGCCCCACCAGGACACCAGAGAAGGCCTCCTCAAGATCGAACATGAGTGTGGGGAGTCTTGGGATTGGTGGTAGCGGAGGAGCTGCCGTGTCTCAAGTAGTAAGGTGTAATGGGGCGCCTGAACTCTCGTATCACGTCATGTGCCATCTAGCCAGAGCGGTAACAATGCTTTTAGACTAATGGAGAAGTTACTACCTTTTTGAATGAGCTACGGCAGTTCCATAATCCGCTTGGCCCGGTAACTCCTTAGTAAGCGGCTTCTTCTTCCTAACATCACTTGACGGGCCGACGGAAGCGCATATCTCTCAGTCAATAGCCGTTCAGGGCCTTGTCGACTCTGATTGGCTCTGCAGTATGCGTGGCGAGTAATGATAAAAAAACAGCTCCCGTTTTTACAGATGTCAGACTGGTCGGTCTTGGGTAGTGGCTGCGGCTATTTTACCCGCACCATTCACGACACTAGTTTCGCTGAAGGTTATTCGCAAACTGTTTACGTTGTATCACGCTGACCGGAATACTTTCTCGAGTTACGAAGCGACAATGATGGTGACACACTTTTCCCAACAGTCAGGCGATCGGTGGCGCCGCACGCATCGAAGCGGGCTAATGTGAGGGACTTTCACTGATGGATGATATAACGTTCCGAAAATTAACCCTACCCTATAGTGGTCAGGCCTTTTCGGTGCCCAAATATGTGTAATGTCACCCGGACAGGGGCAGTTAGGTGCGTGAATGATACGGTTAGCAAATGCTCGCCAACCTGGCTTTACAATATGAACTGAGAGTTTCCTACAGATACTAGTCTTGGCTCATGTTTCTCAATCGTTTTGACATATCTGTCGATGAATACGCAAGCAGCTCCAGCAAAGGTGAAACTGTTGGCCGAGAACACGCGACAGTGAATCACAACAACACGGCTGTAGATAGTAGTTATGACTTCGTTCACTGAGCTTCATTGGATACATAGCGAAGCATCGAATCGGGTTCGAGGGTCACCTTCGCGTGAGTAGTTCCGGGCCAATTCAGTGGCGCCGGGACTGGGACTTGGTAATTACGACCATTCACCCCATGGAGACCAACATAACCCCCCTGACCCAACATTTCCAAGTCTGAGATCTTACGCGCGGTACGCAAAATGAGCAGCATCATGGGAGTAGCAAGCAAATAGGAGGCGTTGCCGCTCATAATCACCGCGTGGGTATCAGGATCAATTCTGCCGAGGGCACATGATGATGGACCCGCGGAGCTATCAAGGGCTACGGAGGCTGAAAACCTGCATAACGAGTTGGTGGTGGGGGTCAGCTTAAGTCGCTGAGCACTCACGTGAAGTAAGCTGCATGCATGCATACATGACGCACAAGTCTCACGTAGTATTGTTGACATTCATCTGTGCCTTCGGGTATTACAGTGAAGTGGCGATGGCATGTAACAAAAAGCACTTGGACGCAGGGTATCATGCAGTACCTTGCGGTCCAAACGGCGTTGCAAGCGGGAGTGCATGCAGGTCGGAGTATTCGATGCCGGAGAGATGCAGGCAACTAGTGGTACTGTGTGATGCAAGGAGATGTCCATCTACGGCAGGTGCGCAGCACTCGAAGCAGCGGTGTGAAGCTCGATAACGTGTCCAATCAGCTCGGATAACATGATGACGGTTGTTTGGAGTTTGCAACAGAGCCTCAAAGAGAAACGATAGTTTCCACATAGGAGATGTAAGTGAAGCGAAGAGGCCGTATACTACGCAGGCATTAGTGATGTACATGAGTGACTCAATTTTGGGGAAGGCAGCATCGTTTCATGATTGTGGATGTTGTTGATATGGTGGTCTCGCGACAAGAGACGTTTATTGCTCCTATCGTGAGTGGTATCTAAGCGCGTGTGCGGCAGCAACAGGTCGTATGTTACGACAGCCTTGATGGTGCATAGTTGCGGCGCGGATTGATGTGACGGTTGCCAGGCCACTGACGCCGGGATATAGTCGACGGAAGCGCCGACAGGTAGACAGCGCGGATGCATAGAGTCGCATCACTTCTTCTTCTTGTCCTTGATTTTCTTCTTGGATTCTGTCCCGCTGTTTGCCCCGCTGCCTCCGTCACCGCCCATCATCTCCGCCATCATGTCTTGCATGAAGTTTTCGCTGACTCCGCCACCTGTCAGGGCAGGCGAGTGCAGGGGGAGGATCTTGCTCATCTTCCATCCCTTTGGTACTGCTGGCTCGGGCATCTCCTTTGGCATAGGTAGGCCTGCAATGGGTAACCTGAAAGGCGTGTTCTTCTGTGTTGGGTGGGCTTTGAGGTGCTGGGCGATGAGGATGTAGAGGTGGTGCTTGTTCTTGACGTCGTCGTCGACGAGCTTGCCTTCGTGTTTGAGCAGGACACGCACCCTACCCGGGTTGGCCCAGTCTTTCGGGTGAGTCTTGTCGGGCTCGAAGACGGTCCGGAGCCCCAGGTCGGCTGCGGCATCGGCCATCTCTCGTGCTAGAGGGCTGTCTACGGCAAGCTCCTTGCCCACGCGACGGCCTTCTGCGCGTGTGCGTGACTTGTCAAAATATATGGGGTATAGACACTGGTAGTGCTTGGACTTTTCTCGGTCCGTCGACGTCTTGATGGCGGGCGACTGCGGCTGTAGCATCTGCGACTGCAACTGCGGCGGCATGGACGAGGTGCCGGTGCTGGGTACGTTGGTGGCATTGATCAGAGCGGGCACGTCGTCAATGCCCATCTCTGACGGATCGCTGTCCGAATCGCTGACTTCTTCGACACGGGGATTCATCGTGACTGCCCGTTGGTCCTGCCCAGGGGAGTCAGCTCGCCGTCGCATCGCACCTGGCCCCGCCCGCCCGCCACTCACCTCGCCTTTCCCGGTGTGGTTGAATTATCGTGATATCTTCGAGGCCGCCTGCACGCCTGGAGGCATGTGGGGGGAGCTAAACGCGGGGCTTGGCTGTGCAAAGGGCAAGCGCTGCCGACCCGCTTCGGCGCTTCGGCGCTTTCCTTGCCTGTGCTCTACTACGGCCCGGCCGACTGCCTCTCGTCCCGAGTTGACCACAACGACTGTCTAGCACCACCTCCCCAACGCTGGGCTAACTCGCTTTTTCCGCTTCACCGCAAATTGCCGCTCCCCGAACCATCAGGTGATGTCCTCATGGCTAGCGAACGGCTTGTGCAGCTCCACGCAGGGGTCTGACCGTTATCACGCCGCGCCACCACGTCAAGCCCGTTCTGCCGGAAGCGCGTCTTACCCAGTCGCAACCACCACACCTGACCTGGCGTCCGCGCATTTTGTTCCTTTCCTTCTGCTGCATCATCCCATGCTGTCACGCTAGTGCCACGATCTGCAGCTGATCGCTTGTGGTAACTACGCTGCCTGTGTCTGGCGCCTCAACCGTCCATTGAGCTGTCGCTACTCCACTGTCAGTGACGATAGTCTCTGCTATCTAAATTGACTCGTTCCCCCGAGCATATCCTTGTCCGGCCACGCTTCACAACCACTCTAATTTACATACTCACCTCTGCCTAGGCATTATAGCAAACCGTGTCAGATCAATGCCATGCATCGGAAGGAGCACTAGCTTCCCCTTTCAGACTCTTTGGCCCTTTGGATGCACCGGGACTCGCCACGGCAAGCACGCAGTGCCCTGTCTTTCAACTTCCGGTAGAACACAAGCGGCTTCCTTCGTGTTCAATGCCGTCGCTGGATATTAGACAAGACTCGAATATCACACGCTAGGCTCGGTTACACAAGATTTACGGTTAAAACCCGATCCGATCTTCTTAGCAGTGGGTTGCATGTGGCCGTAGCGGACCTTGTCGATCCCACAAACCGCCGGCATCTCTTTGAATCTCCACTCTCACCATGTGGCAATGATACAGGTGTCGCAGCCGTTCGTGAGCCGCTAGTGCAAGGCCTTGTCGGTACATGCACGTGTGCAGCAGCCTGCTGAAGTGAGATTCGATTGGTAATTTGACGACATGAACGCATTATGTACGCAGGATCCGCGTTGGCCCTGCCAAACACCGTTCCTGTCTCCTGGATTTTCCTATGACGGGCAATATACGCAAGGATGATTATGTAGGGGCATTTGTGGTTTCTTGCCCTGACATCAAGACGGCCACGGCCCCTGGTCTTACATATGGCATCTTCCTATCATACCAGGCTTACCGTCCCTTTATCACATCGATATCAAGCAAAATCCGGTAAAACAGCCACGGTTTGTCCTGATTGGCTAATTGAGTAAGCGATTGACCGTTAACTCTCCACAAGAATGAATAAGCTCAGATTTCCTCACCGCATCCAGCGTACAGATTCGTGAACCTAAGAACTAAGTATGACCCAAGTGCTTTCATGTTCTAGTCGTCTCAAAGTTAGGCTCCCCGGCCGGCCCGAAATCTAGGGCTGAAGATGGCCTGCCGAGAGTCTAAAGACTGGTTCAGTGACCCTGAGCCTGATTACACCGCAAACGTTCCGTTCCAAGAAGACGCCTCACCGGTCGGATCGCAATACGCTTCGTGGTTAGCCTACGCGACTATCAAGCGACTATAAAGGCACCGGTCATTCACCTGCAGTTTCGCTCTTCTGGTTTTCTTCCCCTCAGCCGTTGAGACCTCTTCTTCTATCATCGTACTTCCCTTTTCACACTTGCGTGCAACTATTCAACTCCTACTCTACGCATTTCTTCTTCCCTTTCCCTCTGACCTCCTATCTTCATTCTACGAATAGCAACGATGGCACCAGCGCTGCTATTTGATGAGAACGGCACTTCCAGTCCAGCATCCGAGAGCAGCATCTCATCATCAGCCATGGATGAAGCCCCTGCACTGACCATTTCTCAAAACCGCCGGAGCCGTCGAAACCGCAACAGTCTTCGCAGTCCTTTACTCAAACGCAGTGCGAGGGGTCCTCCACTAATACTGGAAGAGGCCAAGGGAAATTGGCTGTCAGTCTCGGACGAAACGAAGGCCTGGAGGATTTTTGATGCTTCTGGGGGTGCCGCTGTATCGAATATTGGTCACAAGGACCAAAGAGTATATGATGCTATCAGACAGCAAGAAGAAACTGGTGTCGGGTACGCCGCATCGATGAGCTTCCAAACTGAAGTTGCAGAGGATTTTGCAGATTTCCTTCTTGAATCAACGGACGATAAGATGACTGAGGTGGTTTTCTATGGATCTGGTAATATAGCCTACACTTCTATGGCCGAATTGAAGCTCACAATCATCAGGTTCTGAGGCTAATGAGGCAGCTCAAAAGCTAGCTTACCAATATCACTCCAAACTGAAGGACAACCCGCAACCCCAGCGCCGTTGGTTTATTGCCCGCGATCGATCCTATCACGGGGCGACGCTCGGTGCTCTTGAGGGCAGTGGGCACAAGGGCCGCAAGGACATGTACAAGCCTATTCTACCGGAGAAGACTCAGTTCATATCGCCTTGTAATCCTTGTCGCGATATGATTAAGGGAGAAACGACAGCTCAGTATGTTAAGCGGCTTCAAGACGAGTTGGAGCGCAAGATACTTGACCTTGGCCCTGAGACAGTAGCCGGCTTCGTTATGGAGCCTGTAGTTGGCGCGGTAAGTAGCACCATTGTGATGACGCCATGTTTTCAAATGACCAGTTTCTGACATGTCGACGCAGGCACTTGGATGCGTTCCTGCATTACCCGGATATCTTTCGGCCATGAAGAGCGTATGCAAAAAGTACGGGGTACTCTTCATTCTGGATGAGGTCATGAGTGGCATGGGCCGCACCGGCTATATGCATGCCTGGCAAGATGAGGATGTCGTTCCAGACATCCAATTGGTAGGCAAGGGACTTGCAGGCGGTTACGCAGCCATATCCGCGATGCTCGTGGGACCAGTGATAACGGATGCTCTTGGAGAAGCTGCCTTCGCCCACGGTCATACCTTCCAGAACTTTCCCGCAGCATGCGCTGCTGGTCTTGCAGTGCAACACATCGTTCGAGATGACAACCTCCTAGAGAATGTTAGAGACAAAGGGGACAAGCTGATGAAGAAATTGATGACTCGTCTGAGTGATCACCCCAATGTATTTGACATCCGAGGTAAAGGTCTGTTTCTAGGGGTAAGTTTGAGAAGCAACCTTGACACATGTCGCAGCTTCTAACCAGGACAGATCGAGTTTGTGCAAGATAAGAAGACCAAGGCACCATTTGACCCTGAAGTGGCAGTGGCCTGGCGGGTCCATGAGCTAGGTATGTTCGTTCTACTTTTGCGAGTAATTCACCGACTGACTACTACATCAGGGCTGAAAGATGGATATAACGTCTATATGTATCCAGGATCCGGTACAGTTGACGGCAATCGTGGAGATCACGTCATCATCGCCCCTGCATACAACATCACCGACACTGACGTCGAATTTATCGTCGACCGTGTCAGTAAGACAGTCTTTGACTTCTTCGAGGAACTCAGCATCGCCCCGAAGTTGTAACCACCAACGCCTTGGCAACTCCGCCCATGCCGAACGAGAACATTGGACAGACGAACATGTCTCACTTGACAAGAATAATCATGATTCACGGACTTCTTTTTATTGTTACTGTCTGGGCGGCTTTTGTGACGAGCATGCGCGCGGTGGCTTTGTGATGATTGTCTGGGACCGGATTTTTTGGAGGTTCCATTGCGAAAAGAGGGCGAGCACCATTATCAGGAAAAATGCATGGGAGCGGCTGTTTGAACATATTATCGCACTGAGGAGGGATTCATGGCCTTGGACGAAAGACGACACCCGCATGGGCGGAAGCTGTCGGTTATATCAGAAAAGCTGTATGAAACATGTCTTTACTCGAGGCTCTTTGAAATCATTCACATGGGATCATGCCACGTTGTTCACCACGGACGGTGCTCAACACCAACTATGTGATGGGCAATGGTAGTTCAACACTTCTGTATAATGGAGCAGTGTGCAGTACCAATGTCGTGTCATTGACTTGGTTGTTAGCTCTCATTACCTGGCATCGGCGTCGTGCAGGAAGTACCGTTTGTGGCACTACTGCAATCGTGCAATACACAGAAGAAATTCGATCTGCTTTGCAGTCAAGAGAGAGCGGCGTGGGGTGCAAGCGAGCATAATACTAGCAGGTGGCCATTGGGCACATTGCCCACATATGGGCCAGACCGAGCTGAAAGCGCCTGCTAACATAGATCCGTGCCGCGCACGACTACAGACCATGCAGCGACTCAGCCTTGGCGGCTAACCAAAGGCTAATCTGTCCTCGTAGGAGCGCGGAGCTAGGACTTTAATGAGTAGTCTGCAGTCAATTGCCTATATGATATATTGCTACCGACTACCGAGTGTGGTATAGATGTGGAGATGCTGAGGCTATGACGTTAGTAGTGAGGCGGAGTGCAGCAAACCTTTCATCAGCCCAGGCTGGGTGAGATGGACAACAGCAAACCGAGACGGATGGCAGCAACAGCAGAAGGATTCCACATGGGCGTGTGTGGCGCGTACCTGAAGGATAAGACGGTTGGAAATATGTATAGTTGCGTCATAGCCAGGAAAAGCAGCAGCAAGTGATGAGCGGCAACGTTGTGTCGCTCCACGTGCGGAAGGGACCGCGCCTCGCAGCTTCCAAGGTTGGCGAACCACGAAGGTGCGGTCGGAATGCAGCGACGGCTGAATTTGGGTGAAGGCTGGGTTGAGTAGACGTTGGTGGTCAAGTATCTAGGGACAGGTTGCCATGGTATTGTGAATTGAGGGAGCGCTCGTCACGGAGGATGGTGGTTGCTCGACTACCACAGTAACCAGATGACACTAGACGCAGATCACTGTCTTCTCGTGACCATAGTCGTTGCTTCACTTTGTAGCGGTCACCCAAGGCCCCGAGGTGGAAAGGGCTCCGATGCTTGGACAAGCGCACATGGTATAGATTTGTGTTACAGAGGTGGTTTCTTTCATGGACGGTCTTCACGTGCAGCAGTTTCACTGTCATCAGTCTGCGACAAAGTGGTGGTCAGGGCGTTTTTGCACAAGCGACCAGCTACGGCCAAAGGCGCAGCGCAGACACATGGCTTGGCCTGTTGCAGCGTTGGAGGTGAGGGCGATGGCCGTGAAATAGAGCCGGGCACGGAGGCTGGCACGGTGTAGTCGAGTGTAGTAGGGCCAGTTAGTAAGGTCGAGTTTGAAGTTGGGCGCGAGACGCGAAAGAGAGACGGTCGACTGGCGTGCCGCGAGAAGATTGAACGAATGACGCTCCATGTGGACCGCACAGGCCCCGGCTTCTCACCACAGACTCCGCAACAAGTGTGATCTCAACTCGCCTGCCTCGACCCGGCGACCACGACGCTTTCACACGTCTCTGGCATGTTCGACGCCCGCCATTCTTCCCAGCGTGCACCCTCATCGCCCTCACGCCTGCTATAGCCCGCCCCCCGGCCCTGCATCCAGCCGCGGCACCAAGCACCTTGGGCAGCCCCATCGTCGACTGGCCACGGCGTGCGATAACGTCTCTACCGCAAGCCAGCCCTCAGCCCTCGTCCCAGCACACACAAAGCAGCGACGGTGCGTCGATAGCAACGACGCTCCCCAGAAGAAGGCGCCCCATCGCGCTGTTTGCACGCCCCAGCGGCGTGTCTGGTCGGCTCGTCTGCGCAGCAGAGAAGTAGCGTCACCACGTCGGCTCTCGCACCGCCAGACACAAGCCAGCCATGTCGACGCCCTCGACCGCCACGGCCACACTCCCGCCCCATCACCAGTTTTATTCTCACCACCAGACATACCAGCCCAGCATGTCCAATGCCCAGATTGCCAACGGCTCTGCGCGGATAGGCAACTCGCTCTACAACGGCTACGCTAGCGCTTCCTCGAGTTCAGACCTTCGCCGAAACGCGACTGCCCACACCAGACACCCGCCTCAGCTGCCGCCCATCACACAGGCCTCGCCCATCGACATGGCCGCCAACGACCCGGGCTCGGCCCAGCGGCGGCGGAATCCCGACTGGGCCGACTTCTACAGGAACGGCATCCCCAAAGAGGTCATTGTCATTGACGACGACGACGATGACGACGCCCAGCTACCTCCACCGCGCCAGCAACCGCCTTCCTCACGGGGCACTGCCACGAACCCAGCTGCGCGCCATACCGACAAGAAGCGCAAGACGACCGCGTCTACGGCATACGACCCCGTCTACAACCAGCACACGTCCTACTCCACCACCCAGACACCCTACTACGACTCGCCTAACCATTCCCTGTCCACCGACAGGACCACCTCCGCTCTCAACACCACTGCGCCTACCTCGCTGGGCTCACAAGTCAGCAATGGCCATCACATCTCGCCTCTCGAAAACAGTGCAGCAGGCCAGAAGCGCAAGCGCACGCGTGCCGTGGTACAGGACGAAGCAAAACAAGCCAAGAGACGGGAGCTGGACAACGACGACCCCTTCAGCCTGTACCAGCCACCCCCCAACCCGGTCATCAAGGCCAAGGATGTCTATGTCCAGGTCGTCCAAGACGTAAGAAATTTGACTTGCCCTCAACCGCTCCATACTGACGTGTCGCAGAAATCCTACACAAAGGACCAAAAGGTCGACGATGAAGACGGCCACTACATCGTAGTGCCAGAGGCTGACCTCACAGAGCGGTGTACGTGACCAGCACAACCTACACTGAAGAAGCATGCTAACACCTGACATCAGACCAAATCACAAAACTGCTCGGCCAAGGCACCTTTGGCAAAGTCGTTCAAGCCTACGACAGACGGAAGGGAACAAACTGTGCCATCAAGGTCATCCGGTCTGTGCCCAAATACCGAGATGCCAGTCGCATTGAGCTGAGGGTACTCTCAACCCTGGCATCCAACGACAAGCACAACATCAACCGGTGTATCCATCTCCGTGATTGCTTCGACTTCCGGAACCACATTTGCATTGTCACTGACCTCTACGGACAAAGTGTCTTTGATTTCCTCAAGTCCAATGGCTTTGTCCCGTTCCCCAGCTCCCACATCCAGAAATTTGCGAAGCAGCTCTTCACGAGTGTTGCCTTCCTCCACGACCTCAATCTCATCCATACCGATTTGAAGCCGGAAAACATCTTGCTTGTGAACAACAATTACCAGACTTTTACATACAATAGAACTGTACCGTCATCGTCAACAACAGTCAACCGAACAGCGCGGCATCGCAAGGTTCTCCTTGACCCCGAGATCCGCCTTATCGACTTTGGATCAGCGACATTCAACGACGAGTACCACTCCTCGGTAGTATCGACTCGTCACTACCGAGCACCAGAGATTATCCTGAACCTTGGTTGGAGTTTCCCTTGCGATATTTGGAGTATAGGATGCATTCTTGTCGAGTTCTTCACTGGCGACGCCTTGTTCCAGACTCACGACAACCTCGAACATCTCGCAATGATGGAGGCCGTCTGCAGTGGCAAGATTGATCGAGATATTGTGCGAGCGGTCTACAAGCAAGACCGCGGCTCATCACGCAACTCGTCCAGCTCGTAAGTGCTCCCGTAATCATGTATACAACATCGCTAACAGGTTCAGTGCTGCAAGATACTTCAAGAACTACAAGCTAGACTATCCCAACGCGGACACCAACAAGGCATCCAAGAAATATGTCAAGGCGATGAAGAAGCTTCCTGTACGTTTGATTACTTCATGTTGCTTGATTGCCGTCTAACTTTGTCAGGAAACAATACCAGCACACACCGATTTCAACCGTCAATTTCTTGACCTACTGCGGCGAATATTCGTGTACGATCCCAAGAAGCGAATAACAGCCAAGGAGGCATTACAACATCCTTGGTTCAAGGAGTCACTCATGGACGACGGGACCGAAGCACACAAGATCCGATTGGAGCGGGAAAAGAAGGCCCGTCGAGCGGAAGAAGAGCGCCGGTTCCGCGAACAAACTCAACGAGCGTACTGAGCGATGTGCAACTTGATTTTGTCCATGAAGGACGTCTTGTATAGATACCTAGCTCCGCCGCGTGGGTTACGGGTACGATAATGGTGGTGGTGGTATTGTCTTTTGCTTCACATCTACTGCATTTACGACAGCGACATGACGCATGGGGAGAAGGGTCACTCTAGGTCTCACTCTGGACTTGATGGCGTTATTTGCGTGGCAGTGTTATACTGGATTACCAATCATTCTTGTCTTCTCTCTGCCCTACAGCGACCGCGGAAAAGTATTCTTGCCTCGAGCAATTTGGCAGGCGATGGAAGAGACTGTACGTTAACCATTCTCTGCATGTGCAGCTTTGGGTGGATGGCAGGGGATTAGCTGTACTGAAGGTGGTTTTGGACGTTATGATCTATCTTCATGGAAAGCAGCACCAGCTTTGAGTATTGACCACCAGAGTCTTACTGTACAGCTAGGTAGCATTGTATAATTTAGGATTCCAAGCATATGTGCTTGGGGACACTGTATTTAGTAGCGTGGCGGCTAAATAGGCCGTACACAATGTGAAGGATTATAATCCATTTCAGATTGCATGTTCGCCTTGTTGTGGACTTCAAACCAGTGATATAGTGGTGAACTTGCAGCATCGGCACTGACAGCGCCCCATGGACGAGGCTAGGTACTCAAACATCAGCAAACAGTAAGAGACTGTACTGTTCCGCGGAGAGTGCCAATACTCTTTCTCCCCCACTGCCTCCACATGCATTCACTGCAAGGAATCTCAAATAGGTAGGATTGGCGAAGCCACTAGCGCGTGCCTGGAACCCTTGCCTTCTGTCCAGTAACAAGCCGGCCCGCTGTAAACACGTCCCCTCGGCGCGTCGCAAACATCGAGTTGAGCATTGCGACAACAGCAACCACACCACGAGGACAGACGATATGGCGAGCGCAAAGCAACAGGAGAACATGCTCCTTACCGAGCACTTTACTTGGCCTCCTATAGTATGTATAGTTTCTGAGTGACAGTGGAGCAATGCAGAGTGTTGCAGGTGCAGGTACTCGCCATACGCCCAAGTTGAGTGGATGCATCTGTCTTGCACTCGAGACAAGGCTACTCGACGTCCTGCTGAGCATTCAAGAGTCGCTTCAAATCTAACGCTTGAGCATCGTAGTCTCTCATCGACGACATCATCAACGCCGTAAACGAAGTCCTATACCGCTGCACCGACTCGTTCGAAACCGGTCTCTCCTCCGCTGACCCCTCCTTACTCGGCTTCGCCGACCTATACGCCTCGCAAGGACGTACGCCCGACAAAGATGAACATGGCAACGATCTGTTTCCCGAGGCTAGGCTGGAGATTGAAGAGGGCGTATTGAAGCTCGAGACGCTCATGGAGAATGCTGTGGACAAGAATTTCGACAAACTGGAAATTTGGACACTGAGAAACGTTTTTGCGCTAGGGAGGGGGAAGGGCGGGGACGAAGGCTTGGGAGAGTGGGTCAGATTAGGGCATTATGAGGTATGTATGCTGACGGCGATTCTATCACTTCGAAGCGCGAAGAGTGGAGGCTTGGAAGAGTACTGACAAGAAGAGCAGAATCTCGAACCCCCGCCCAAAGATTCTAAACTCACTCCAGAAGCCCTCTACACCCTTCGCCGTAAACTCATCGAAACCCAAAAGTTGAACGCTGCGCTGGTTGCAGAGAAGACACGCAACGAGGCACAAATAGCGCGGCTAAGAGCCCTACTCCAACCATCTGACGCATCTAAGCGCGAACAAAGAAAATCTACGACATTGTCGAGAGCGCCATTAGAAATGAACCAACAGAGCGACGGAAGCGCATCATTCGCGTTCCTAACACACACATCAGCAGCTCAATCCCTAGGTATACAAGCCCTACCACAACAGTCCAATAGCAACACCGCCTCTGTCGGGGAGAATAAGAACAACGATAAGAAGCCCACTCCTTTAACTACCCACACCACATTTACAACCTCCCAACTCCCCTATCTCCGCCAACTCCTTGCCTCCCTAAAGCCCCATCTCAGCAATACCGCTCTACCTAGCAACACCACTTCATCGCCTCATACTACAGACTCCCTATCACAATCCAAGGATAAAGAGGAATTGAGTCGTGAACGCAAGGTGTACGTTGAGAGTCAAAGTAAGAGGATATTAGAGAGACGGGGTGTAGATACAAGGGATGGTGTCGAAGGCGTCTGGGAGGGTGGAAGTAGGGTGGGAGCCGAGGAAGTCAGGGGATTGGAGGGGTTGGTTGACGGTTTCAACAGAAGAGGCAAGGTAGGAGAGAATGGAGACCATGGTGAGGCCATGGATACAAGCTGAACTCGTTTATCTTATTGCGACGGCAACAGGCACGATTGTACGATGTGATTCATACGAGGTTATCCTTTCGGGCGTTGGGTTCTATTATGGTCTCAGTGGATTCCATGGTAAGCAAATCCGTGAGTCAGTGTTACGCTCAAATGACCATTGTTTTTTTTGCATGATGATTAGCCATACGTCAGATGCCAAGCTTGCCATATCGCTTTTTTTTTTTAAATCTTCTTCGTGCATTGGAGTAGTCTAGGCCAGGTCCAGTCGAACAAGAAACTACAAATCTCAAGCTGAGTTCCGAGATGTGCCCGCCTGTGCTGCACATTCTGATTTGAAGTCGTAGGGCACTTTCTCCGCTCGACTGATTCATCCCCTTATTCCAAGACAACGCGGATATGGTCGCTCTCAATGCTTTTCGATCATGATATCGCTCTTCCATCTACCCTTTAATATTCCACTAGTTTGACTCTCTTCCGCAACTCCTCGGGCACCTCCTCTGCCTTCACTATGCCCATGCGAATGGCGTCACCCCACAAGAACATTGCGCGGTCGTTAGCATAGGCCAAGTAGTCGAACTCTTCCTCATCCTGCGGTTTGAAAAGGTCAGCATCTTGCTCCGCTTGTGTTTTGTTCTCTTGTGTCTGTTCCGCCATCCTTTCACTCACGATCCCAGCCCCCTTCTCTCCAGCCTCAGCCTCAGCCCTAATCTCTGCTGTTGCACTGTCTAACTCTGCCGCTTCTTTACTAGGGTTAGCGTTCGCGTTCTTGTCCTCGGCATCGAAGTCGGGAAGGCCTGGAACATGAGCTTGGACGATGCCCCATGCTACCCACATAGCGGAGTTGGCCAAACGCCAGAGCTTGGTTTCAGCTAGTAAGCGGCGAGTCTCTTCTTCAATCTGACGCTCGGCTTGCGCCTCCTGCTCTTGATACTTCTCGCCTGGTGGAGCACGTGAGTCCAGCATGAATGCAGAGATATTGCTAGGGGCGGCAGTGGCTGCCAGTGCGGTGGTGCTGCCAGAGGATGGAAGAGGACCCAGGTGCGGGGTGGCAGGGTTAGAAGTATAGCCTCCAGCAGCTTTGTACGAGGGATTATGCATCAGGTACGCCCGGATAAAGCGGTGTTGCTCTTCAAGTGTCGGATAGTACTTGGTGTTGCAACGCCACGGAATCTCCGCGTCATGGTAGTTGTACGTCCATTCAGTCTGCTTCGTTGTCAGCTCGTACACACATAGAATGACGACTGAGATAGTTGCGGAACAATAGAATTGTCTGGAAGAATATGCTTACAAAGTGGTTGGCAAATTCCAAACCGGGCAGGTTTGCGTTAGCGTACTCGAAATCGATGACCACGAGCTGCTTGTGCTGGTTTGCTGGAAGCAGTAAAGGCGACTCGCCTTCCGGCACCATACGTAGAATGTTACCATACTGGGTCTACGCAGAGTTAGCTCGTGGATGATATGACGAGAAGTCCGACTTACGTCGTTATGAGCGAATATCATCCGCTCGTTGATCTTGTCTGCGCCACCATACTGTTCCTCTAACCATCTTCGATACTTCTCAACCACCTGCCTGAACGCTGGCCACTCCATACCGCACACGTATCCCCGCTTCTTCCATCTGTCACCAGGAGTTTGTGCAGAGTCTTGGTTGCTCTCTCGAACCTGTTGATCGAGCCAGGTGACAATTTGCTCACAGCGATCAACCCACTTGTCCCAGTTTTGCCAGACGAATGGACCGGCCTCCCGCTCTTCTTTCAAGAGATCGATGCCTTCATGAAGCTCTCGCATACGCTTAGCAATTTGCTTGGACGTCTCTGCATTGCGCAGCTCCTTCGCGGTCAACGGCTTTGCATGAAGAAATTCCTCGAAGCGTCCATTGGTGAAGGTGCCAAGTAGACGTGGACCAATTCGCTTTCGAGCAAGGCGTGTTAGAATCTGCAATTCAGACTCTCGGTCGATCAGATGTTCTACCTGTGGGCCGTAGATACGAAGCAAAAGTTTGCTGAAACGTGTTAGTATCAGCTTGCCTACGTTGAAAAGGACTTACGGAGGAGGATTCTTGGGCTTCGGCTGGCCGTCGTCGCCCTGCTCTTGAAGCGGTAGATTCTTGGGAGGCGAGACAACGTAAACAGCATTTGTCAAGGCACCGCTCAGCCTCTGTACATCAATCTCGTTGCTCTGTTCCATAGACACCTTCCGCCAGCCTTTGAGCTTGAGTGTATGAGCTAGACGAAGGATTTCGGCCCGGAACTTGGTCCATGCCTCCCTCTCTTTGCGTGCTTCTTTCTCAGATACGTGAGGGGCGGACTCGCTGTCTGACTCATCTACGTTGTAGGCCATAGTCTTCGAGTTGTCTAGAATAGCCTCGCAACTCGGGACTAGCTGGTCTACGGATTCAAAGTAATCCGTGTCTAGAGAGATGGCGGAGTGTCGCTTCAAGCCTGTTGATGATCTGCGGAAGTGTTGCATCCTCCTCTTAGCGTCGGCCGGCTTCATGGATAGGGTCTTTTCAAGGATTTGCGCCAGTTGGTCGAGGGAGTCCTCGCCGTGAGACGATTCGGAGCTGCTTCTAGCTAGAGCATGAGGCTCATCAATCGTCTCATCAGGAACAGCCTTTGTCGATTCTTGAGCAGCGCCCTCCTTAGCAGCTTTGCGCCTTGCCCTGCGTGCATGACGTCTGCTTCGTTCATGCTTGAGCCATGTGCCCACTTGCTTCAATAGATTCTCGTGCGGATGCTGTCCGTCAGAGGGAGCGTCTGTTGAGCTGTTGGAGAGCAAGGAAGATAAGGATGGATTTCCCTCACTTGGCGCTACCTTGGTTGATCCCAGTCGCTCGACTGAGGGCCGTCCAGATAGTTTCTTCTTGCTGATGCTTGCGGGGTAACTTCTTGTAGGCCTGTCGAGATCGAGGTAATCCTTCTGGTCAAGCTCCTTGTTCTTGCCAATCATCAAGGGGGAAATGGTGCTATCATCGGGAAAAGACACAACTATGGGCACATGGTCAGCAGGTGTTTTGGTAACCCATGCGCAAGCGACATGATAGCAAGTCAGTCAGATAATGGGTTCACTGCTTTCGAGCGCTGCGCTCGGGCATATTGTCAGATGAAGCGCACAAGCTTCATGATGGCTGCAGAAGTTGGCCAGACGTCGAGAGTCAACTCGACGGCCAAGCAGGAATTATTGTCAATCACTGAATAGTCACATTGCTACAGCTACGTTGACATTTGAATAGAAATCCCGGAAGGTAGCGTGGAACCGATTGCGAGAGTTTGCGAGCCGACACACGACAGCGGAATCATGGACTGACCTTTTGTAGAGCGCGGCGAGGTGCCATCGGTCAACGTAGTGTTTTGCGGGAGGGCGAATGAGTCGCTTGGGTGAGAGTCGCTGGGCTGCGACTGCTCATTGGAGGAAGTCGTCATGGCAGTTGCACGGGGCTCGCAGTGAGGTGCGCGGGAATAATGTAAGCGAGATGGACCTCGTGGTAGAGCAGAGCTCGGTTGGCGGCTCCGGACGGTAATGAGACCTGGTAACAGGCGTGCCCACGTCGGTAGGTAGGAAGGTCGGTTGTTTGGTGGGCAGGTGGTGTTATCGATACCTAGTGCGGCAGGAACGCCAAAGTACACGCGAGATCAGGGTCCACGTGCCAAGCTGATTGGCGGTCAGGATAACTTGTGAGGACGAAGACTGGTAAGAAGAGAGAGAGAGGGAGAGAGGGAGAGAGAAAATATACAGATTTCCTATATTCGGATCTTGAGTTATGTAAACAATTCAGAGGCAAAGCATCATAACTGGATCAGACGGCAAGCTGGTGTGTTGACGGTCTTCCTGCCTATCAATTGGGCAGCTATCGGCCTCGTTCCAGTATTCGCAGCCTTGGCAACGTACGTCAGGGTTCAAGTAGACAGAAACCAGAAACCTGCCACCCAACCTGAATGTGGAGTGTGCGAGCGTAACGTGGCAAACCATGTGCACATGGCCTATCAGCACATGAGAAAGTACCAAATATACCTTCTGAGTACTACATTGTATGTACAGGCTGGTTTCGATGCAGTCCCCCAGCCCTGGTATTCTAATAGCCCCGATACAACAAGAAAACGACCCATACAAAATACCATAACGCCTCGCTTGGAAACTGATTATATGTCTGTGACAGATAGCATGCTGTGCGTGGTCTCTTTCAAAAGGATACTCATTTGGCCCACTCCACCGTTTCCAGTGCAAGCATGACCAACAATAGAGTCGATGGCAAGATCCAAACAACATAACTCTGAAACAGAATCCTTGACATGGCACCCATGTACACGTTGTTGATTTGGCAGATTTGTGCCAACTGCAGCGCACTTGGTGCACCACTGAGCAAGAAACAGACGATGATGAAGATGGGGTCGTCAAGAATGCTAACAGGAACGTATTTGGCGGTCATGGCTAGCATGGGTGCCATGAGAAGCGTCGGGATAAGCATGCGACTAACAAGTGAGGCAATCACAAGCTTCTTCTCCACGCTCGGGTCTTCCATCGAGTGCTGGTCTTCCTTGGGTAATGTGTTACGAGCAAGGTTGGCACCCAAAACAACCAAGATGAGTGGAACGGCGACTTGTCCACTTTGGTTGACAGCGCGCGTGACGGAGTTGCTGACAAATGTACCTGGATCGAAGAAGAGATGTTGCAGGGGAGGAATAGAGGCGACGAGGATAGCAATCAACATGGCCCATAGAGGAGGGTTCATGAAGTCCCATACGCCCTTGAAGAACCTTGACAAGACAGAGCCAATCTTAGCCAGCGGTCGCTGTAGCCATGTAGGTAGGGCCTGGAAAACTCGGTTTCCAGCGCGTGTGGTGGAGACAGAAACGGTACTTGCAGAGCGCTTAAGTGCCATGCCAGCTCGCTTTGGCATGCCTTTGATGCCTTTGGGGACATTTTGCTTCTTCTTGTGAGCCTCGAGAACACCATTGAGGTGTCCGTTTGCAAGACCATTGCCATTACTGTGTCCGCTCATATCGCCGGCTCCAGGAATAGTAGCGTTACCATTGGTGGGAGTGATGAAATCGGTGGTGGCTTGGGCCTCTTCACGATTGAACAGAGAGTCTGAGTCGGACTCGTCTGAGTCTGCAGAAGTAGCGTAGCTGGTAACATTGCCAGATTCGTAGTCGGAGTGCGAGTCATCGAGAAGACGCTGCGCCTCGTCGTCTGTGTACTCTCCGTTTTCAATGGCGCTGTTCTTGCCACCGTCATCGTCTTTGTACGCACTGGCAGGTGCCAGAAGCACATTGAAGCCCCATGTCCATCGCACGAGCTGACCAAGTTGTTGGAAGATAAGGAGATAGAGGATACCACGCGCGCCAACGTCGTTGTCGTTATCGCCAGGGACCTTGTCCCAATGTAGACCGGACAGTGTTTTGGAGAGCGAGATAACGAGAGAGATTGGAAGCGAGTTTGAGTTTCCGAATACCTAGTAATGTCAGCTTGTGCCGCTTGCCTGGACAAGGAAAAGAGACATACCGCCATGGCAACAACAAAGTTGGACGCCCTCTTGTTGAACCTGCATATCCGCGACACGAGAAGTGCGGCGATGTAGGAGATGAGTGTTTGTACGACAAAGATTACAGGAATGACAGCAAGATCAGCCAGCTTCTCCGCTGTCAATTGTGATGCGAGCTTGGTAAAAACTGGCTCGAGGTTAGCTGAGGTTGGCGCTCTTAGTCCGAGGCGTTGCACGTACTAAGGCAGGGTGTAAACAGCTGCGTGTTGAGGTTGGCGAGAAACTTCTGGCTCTCTGCATCGAATTGACCCATTCGCGCAACAATGTAGCCGGGCGCGCTCACGCAAACGACTTCCATGACGGCCTCGAAGACGAGAAGGGTGAGGTTGGCAAAATCGGGATGCGAGCTGTGCTTGCCGCTCTTGAAGACTGTGAATAGGCCATTGTTGCCGTACTCGTAGGAGTTGGAGGCCATGGCGACGAATTCCGGAGACGAAGTTGGGAGGCTGCGCAGGCGAAAGGCCTGGGGAGCCGAGAAGAAAGGCATATTAGATGCCAGTTGTGTTGTTGGGAAAGCGCAAAGGCGCGACCGAGATGGAAACACTCGAGTTATCTTGAAGCGCAAGGCGTCTTGGCTGAGGACGCGCTATAGGCGGAGATCGACGTCACAGCCCGCGCCAGGTATAGCGGAAAGGCAGGTTAAGCCGCGGGCCCTGCAGGAACTTTGATAGGGGATGCAGCGAACCGGTCTGGATCGGAGGGGGCGAGGCGAAGAAGAGGAAGAAGAAGCAAATACAGCTGCCAGGCTGCAGATGGTTCGATGGTTGGACGATGGAAAGATTCCCATATCGTCCCCTCCAGCGCCTAGATGGTGGTACTCATCGCCCTGGCAGCGCCTTCCAGCCTGTCGTGTCGTGTCGTGTCGTGTCCCTGCGCCACATGGAGCCCATGGAGACATCGAGCATTGGCGGCCACATCGGCCATTGCAAATGCTGTCTTGACTGATGGGCAACGCACATCAATAGGCGGGGCGGCCACTAGGTTCCCCATGGCTCGGTCATTACCGCATACTGATTCTGTTCCCCCAAGCCTGCTGTCGTGTCTCGGTTCGGCGTGTGCAGGTGCTGCTTGGCCGGATCCAGATTTCCAGTCCATGCTCACTTGCGCATTCCGACGCTGCAAAGCAGGCTTGCTGGTGCAGCGTACATGGGCAAAGCAGGAACTGCTCAGTCCCCTACGGACCCCTTGCTGCCATCTGTCTCTACACTGCACTGCACGTCTGCGCTATGGTTGCGGTGCGGCCTGGTCGATTGTTGTGAAATCATTCAAGATTGCAGACGCGCGCTATTACTCGTCTCTGCAGCATCACGTCACAGCTCCAACTTGCACGCTACATGTAGCCCACAACCACCACACCTCCACCATACTACCAGATCCGCTGAGATCGCCGCTACATCTCCTTCCGCGGTGTAGTCGCAGCTCCTGATACTCGTCCTCTACCTACGCCTTCTTATTACTATCTCCTCCACTCTCCCTCTCCCCTTCCTCGTCCCAGTACCCCGCCCATCTCAGGCCGCGACTTTTCCCACTCTCTCGCCATGGCCTCCAATCCATCCACCCCGGACGCCGAAGTCGACTCCGACACCGTCTTCGACAGTCCCTCACCCTCCCCCGCGCCCTCGAGTCCTACCGAAAATGCCTCTTCGCCTGACCTGCTGTCCGCTGAGCGTCCCCCTCCCCGAACGGCATCCACGACCTCCGGCGCGACCGCCAATATGACATCGTCCTCAACGCCATTGGGAAACATCAACGCCGCCAGGAATCCCCGCCCCTCGAATCCCCCTACCATCTCCAGCAGAGGGAGCGGGCTGAACGTCTCCCAGGACATTCTCGCAAGAATACAGGCAGTACATCTCGGCCGGAAGGGCGCTCCACCAACGGGCTTGCCTGGGAGAGGGCCTGCACCACAAAGCCCTGGTCCGTCGCCCGACAGTCGTAATCCCATGTCTCCAGGCGGTAACCCTGGAGGCTTACCCGGAAACTTTCGAATGCCTACCAGGCCACCCACGACTAACTTCCAGTCCGCGCCTGCCGTTCCTGGTCGCGCAGGTGGCCCCAAGCCCTCCCTCGCTGAAAAGCGCGGCATGAGATTCCAGGGCGCGTTGCCAGGCGGTTTACCAGGCTCGTCTCCAACTGCTGGTGGAGCCGCTCCTCCTGCTGGCAGGAAGAAGCCCGGGTTGACTCTCTCGCAGATGAACGGCGAAAAGCCCGCTGAAGAAGGTGCAGAGCCCAAGAAACAAGAGACCCATTTTGATAAATTTTCACAATTCGTCGATACCAAGACTGGCAGCCTAAAATTTGCCGGCAAAGCCATACTCAACTCGGACGGCGTGCAATTTGCTAGCGGTTCCTCTTTCAACATCTCCTTGGATGAAGTCGACACACTAGACGAGCTCGGCAAGGGAAATTATGGCACAGTGTACAAGGTCAGACATAGCAGACCCCGAATGAGGAAACCAGGACAGGGTCTGGCAGGAAACAAGGCTGCACCAGGTTCGCCGTCGCGAAAGGAATTTGGCGAAGAAGCGAGCCCTACCAGTGCAAAACCTGCTGCGGGTACCGGCATAGTCATGGCAATGAAAGAAGTGAGGCTGGAGCTGGATGACTCGAAGTTCGCTGCTATCATCATGGAACTCGACGTCCTCCACCGCTGTATATCACCCTTCATCGTTGACTTCTATGGCGCTTTCTTCCAAGAAGGCGCCGTGTACATCTGCATGGAGTTCATGGACGGAGGCTCCATAGACAAGCTCTACGCCGATGGTGTGCCTGAGGGTGTCTTGCGCAAAATCACCATGGCCACGACTATGGGTCTGAAGTCACTGAAGGATGAGCACAACATCATTCACCGAGATGTGAAACCTACCAACATTCTCATGAACACCAAGGGCGCAATCAAGATCTGTGATTTCGGTGTCAGTGGAAACCTGGTCGCCAGTATTGCCAAGACCAACATTGGGTGCCAAAGCTACATGGCGCCAGAGAGGATATCTTCTGGTGGAATTGCACAGGCAGGCGCTAACCCTGGAGGTGGCACATACAGTGTACAAAGCGATATTTGGAGTTTGGGACTGACCATCATCGAGTGTGCTCTGGGGCGATACCCGTATCCGCCAGAGACGTACAACAACATCTTCAGTCAGCTCAGTGTAAGTTTATCAAACAGCTTTGTGCGTCAACGACTAATCATCCCTAGGCTATTGTCGATGGTGAGCCACCGGATCTGCCTGCCGAAGGGTACTCCGACGCGGCACGAAACTTTGTACGCGGCTGCTTGAACAAAATCCCCAACCTTCGGCCAACATATGCCATGCTGCTCCAACATGCATGGCTTGCACCTCTTGCTAAGCCGGACACCATCACCGAAGAGGAAGAGGAGGAAGTCGAGGCAGCAAGCGAAGCTACTGGTGGTGAAGCTGCTGGTGACAAGGGACCCGCCGAGGCAATCGAACCTGTAGAAGACCAAGAGGTCGCAGACTGGGTCAAAGCCGCGATTGAAAAGAGGAGGAGCGGCAAGATGAAGGGTGTCGAGAAACCTGCACTCCACGCCGCACCTCTGGATGCAGCGACGCAGAGTCCTTCGCCTAACGGTACAAATGGCTTAGAGCAAGCGGGATCAGTAGAAGCTGCCGCATAACATGCCCTGAGAATCTTGGATCACCATGGCTACTTGGGTCATTCCCGAGAACATTAGGCCGCATCCGCTGCAGCCTTCTGGGTTTAGGGCGTTGTATAGGCGTATTGCGGGGAACGATTGCCATGAAGCATTGAAATCGGGGCATTGAGCGCAGAGGCCACATGTACCTAGCATAGCATACACCTGTCCAGATGGACTGATATTGACACTTTTGAGTCACAAAATCTGCACCTGCTCTATGTAGCGTAACAATTGGTCTTTCTTACCTTTCATCTCAGTGAGGGCATGGCATTGCGGCAATAGGCCACTGCATGCATGCTGCTGTTGTTCTGTGGTTCGCGGTGACGTAAGCGGAAGGGCTCACTGGCACGTGATGGGTACCCCTGCTTGGCCAAGATTGCTCGCGGCGGCCATGTGTCGTGGTGCGGGAAAGAACACAGTGGTCGGAACAACTACAATAAGTAGCCACGACTTTCTTTCGTACGCCCCCACCTTCTTTGTAATGCCACCTGCGTAGAACCAGTTTTACTTGATTTCCTCTGGAATCCTTTTCGACAACAATCCCCAATCACTTTTAGTCATTCTCTCGCATACCTCGCCCCGTCCACAGGGACACGTTCAACATGTCCGGGACAGATTACAACTACGATGAACAGGTACATCTTGGGTGCGCGCCAGGTTTAAAGTCCTGCTAACAAGTCGCAGGGCCAGTTCTTCCCCTACTTCATCCTCACTGTAACGACCCTCGTCACCGTCCCGACCACAATTTCCTTCTTGAGGCCGAGCAAAGGTGCGCGCTTCCCGCCACTACCGCTTACCATTATACTGATGCACAATCAGAACTCGAGAATACCGGAGCGCGGATAGAGTCCGACTTCACCCCCGAACATGCCGACCTCATCCAGGGACAGCGCAAGAAGCAGAAGCGGCTCGAGCGGAGGATAAAGCGGGGTCTTGTCATGTTGGGAGGATGGGCGCTTAATGCTGCTATGGTCTACCTCATACTGGTTACCGCGCGGACTACGCCTGACATATGGGATCCCTACGAGGTGCTGGGTGTTTCTAGGGTACGATGGCTGTTTCCCCGCAACGCGCACTTTCGACAACGATGCTAACTCGCAGACCAGAACGCGGACGAGAAGGCCATCAAGAAGCATTATCGACGACTGTCTCTTAGCCTGCATCCCGACAAGGCTCGCGAGGACCCCGCAAAAAACATTACAATACAATCAATCAACGACCACTGGGTAGATGTTACAAAGGCGTTCAAAGCTCTCACCGACGAGGAGATTCGCAACAACTTCCTTCAATACGGCCACCCTGACGGCAAACAGAGTTTCAGTATCGGTATTGCGCTGCCTCAGTGGCTCGTCACTGACGGCGCTGGCAAATACGTTCTGCTCATCTACGCGCTCGCGCTCGGTGTCATTCTGCCCTACACTGTCGGAAAGTGGTGGTACGGAACACAGAGACTGACCAAAGATAAAGTTCTTGTCGCCAGCGCGGGCAAGGTCTTCCGCGATTACGACAACGAGCAAGGCGAGGTGGGCGTCATTCATGCGTTGAGCAGTGGAGAGGAGTTCAACGAAGTTCTCACTGGGCACAAAGCGGAAAACGGTCTCTCGAAGCTCGAACAAAAGGTCCTTTCCGAGACTTCCGGATCTCTCGTCTCGCAAACGCTTACGAAGAAGGACCGCCAAAAGCTAGACGATCTGGAGGACAGCCGAAGACGCAAGGTACTGACCTTGTTGTGGGCATACCTTGGTCGTGTCGAACTTGATGACGAGACATTGAATGACGAGAAGTTCGAAGTTGCGCCCATTGCACTCCGACTTAATGAAGCTTATACCGCCATCGCACTCGCATATGGTACCACCAAAGCAGTACTCTCGGCATACAGGACTTCCCAAAATCTCATCCAAGCTTTACGACCGGGTGCATCGCCTTTGGAACAGCTGCCACATTTCACACCTGCTGTTGCTAGCGCGGCTGAGGCTGAGCAAGCAAGATCACACTTGACTATCCAAGAATTCATGGACATTCCCGATGATGAGCGCAAAGCCCGTGTTGTCAAGTCTGGTCTTCTGTCTCAAGATCAGTACAGCACAGCTATGACCGTAGCTTCGAGGATTCCACTGTTCCATCTTGAGAAAGCCTTCTTCAAGGTCGTCGGAGAACGTTTCGTTACCCCCAGCAGCTTGGTCCAGTTCGTGCTGAAAGGTCGTTTCATTCCATGTGGAGCCACTAACGTACCCGATGTAAACCCGAAGGACCTGCTAGATATTGATCCCGCCGAGGGTGATGTTGCGGCAATTACCGGACGTAAGAATGATCGTTCTGGAGAGAAACCTATCCAGCCACCTCTGGCATTCGCTCCCTATTACGCCCGCGACCACGCGCCAAGGTGGCACGTGTTTCTTGCGGACAGCAAGCAGGGGCGTATCGCGGTACCACCCTTCACCTTCTCAACCTTCGACAAGCCTATTCTTGATGAGAGCGGTAACCCCACCTACAACGTACAGACCCTGAAGATGCAATTTGGCGCACCACCACAAGCTGGTAGCTATACTTTCGTCATGCACATGATTTGTGATAGCTACGTCGGCATGGATACCAAGATGGAGGTTACCCTTGTCGTCGAGGACGCCAGTAAAGCCGAAGAGGTAGAAGAGGAAGATGAGATTAGCGAGCCAGAAGAAGGTAAGTTTCACTGATTTGAGTCATACCCATGATCAGTACGGCTAACATGTCTGCAGATTCGCTGGCAGGTCAAATGCACCAAATGAAGACTGGCGCTCCACCAAAGAAGCGGAGACAGGCAAATGACGATTCCAGCGGAAGTGACACCGAAGGTGACGTTGAGTCTGAGAGCGAAACAGATACCGACACCGACTCAGATGACGAGTAGGGTGCTTCGTGTTTCCTGTGAGAACAATACTCGATCTCTTTGAGTATAGGATACCCAGCTTGTATTACAGAGGCTACGGGTTAACGCCAACGGCCGGCGTCAATTCTTCATATCATTTGGGCCATGGCTGCCATAGGCATTTCCAGGCGTTCCGGAAACAAGGTGCTTTGCAATTAGGGACTTCTCGATTTGTCCTTTTTAGACAAAGCGTCAGCACCCGATAGGGTTTTAGGAGTATGTGTAGATATCCACGTCAAATCACATTGAGCAATTTTCGATTCAACCTCATTTCTGGCCAACTTTCTGCTCATAATTTGGGGTACTTGATAAATATAGACTGGACTAAAAACCAAGATTAAACTCGAATGATCTATCTACACCATTATGCGAGTGCCTCAGGAACACATGGCATCCGAATCCAAAAGCATAGACTTAACGCATGGACGTATAACATAACTGCGGAGATCTGTAACTTGGGTGGTTCATCAAAGTTCGGTTCCACAACCTGCGGGGTTTCAGCCGCGTCTCGCTTCGTCCTCAACACCACCTTAATATCATGAACATCACCTTTCGACCAACTCCATCTGCTAGGATCAGTATAGTAATCACGAATTAAGAGGGAGCTGCTGTCTGCGTTCCAGGAATGCATACATGGCTAGTGGTGTGGTGATGGGTAGACTGATGGTCGCCATGGCATTACGGAAGACATTAACATGGTGATTACGACTCGGAAGCATCCACTGAAGAGACACCAATGCTAAGACACGATCTCAATATACAGAGGTTCGCATGTTGTGTCTCTGTCCTGCAGAAGTGGTACACAAAGGATCGCGTAAGCGATCTACATTCATACATCCGCCTCCGCATTCAGCACTGTCTCAAAGAACATCGACTTCTACCTGTGTTCGGCCTGCATAAATTTCCGAAAATACTGCCTGAGGGTTCGCTAAGGCATAACACAGCCACCCCAAATGAGTGCTATACCTTGGCTGCCGATCGGATACTACGGCTCCGCTATCCTGAGGCTCATACAATAGGCCTCAGTCTGCAAGGCAAAACCGTCAAGCAAATCTTGGCAAAGTGTTAGTTGCACATCTTGTTCTTGGCAAGATGCGGGTGCGTTCATCGCCGGTAACAAAGTGACAAGTCCCCAAGGTTCGCGCTACATGTGTCACATCTAACGGCAATACAGGGGGCAAGTACCGACATATGGGCGTTTTTCTTGGGCATCGACGAGTCGTTATACAGATGAGACGTTGGATAAAAGCTGATGGAGGGTCGCACATAGTTTACTTTCTCATCCCACACTCACTCTTCCGGTCTTTAGTCCTTCCTTCCTACCTTCCTTAATCCCATTTCAATTCTTTAGCGACTTTGACAGTCTGCCAATCCACTTTCTTTGAATCATTAATACGTCTGTGACGTTTAATCTTAACCTTTTTTAATCTATCGATTCGCTTCAGGAAGACTATTACCTTCATCCACTTCACCATTATCATCAACATGTCTATCAAGGCTATTGCTACTATTGTGCTTGCGGCCGGCCTCGCTGGTAAGTTCACTCCACAAGCTCAAAGCCTAAGTATGCAATGTAGCGTACTGACCCAACACAGCTGCAAAGCCTATCAACACTCCTCGATCTCTTCCTGGTTCTTCCAAGCGCCAGATCGGCTTTAACTCTGTTATCAACGGCTTCAACGGCAACGATGGCGACTTCAACTTTATTGACGGATTCAACAACTTCAACCAGCAACAGCAGGTCATCCAAATCCAACAGCAGAACCTCCAGATTGTCGACAACGGCCGCCAACAAGCAGTCGTTCAGCAAGTGCAGGAGGTCCTCATCGTCGACCAAGTCAACAACGGTTTCAACAACGACTTGAACAACCTCTTTCGCAAGAGTAACTTTCAGAACCAGTTCCGCGACGTCTCCACCGTCACGCTCGTCGTACAGGAGATTCAAGTTGCTATCGACGATGGCAGGGGCAACCAAGTCCAGCAGAACATCTTCGCGCAATCTGCCGTCGTCGCCAACCGTGGGGCTCGCCAAACCCAGACCGTCATGGTCTTCGACAGCCGCACCCTCGTCGCCCAGGATATCCTCGGCAACAACGCCTTTGCCAACCTCGGTGGCTTTGGCGGCATCGCTGGTGCCACTGCTGCCTTGGACAACAAGATGCCCACAAAGACCGCTGGTATCCAGCTCTTTGGTGCTAAGCCTACATGGTCAGCCGTTGCCGAGGATCCTGCTGCGACCCTTGGTGCTATCTGGCAGGGCGCTCTTCAGGATCTTCAGAACGCAGATAACGATGAGCAAGACAACAAGCTCAACGAACAGATTGCTGCCGAGGAGTTGAAAGCTCTCCAAGAAGCACTTGGACAACAGGACAGTGCTGATAAGCAGGCCGACGAGGAGCAGAAGAAGGCCGACGAGGAGCAGAAGAAGGCCGATGAGGAGGCAGCTAAGCAGGAAGAGGAGCAGCAGAAGGCTGAAGAGGAGGCCGCAAAGAAGGACGCCGAGGAACAGAAGAAGGCTGAAGAAGCTGCTGCTAAGCAAGATGCCGAGGACCAGAAGAAGGCTGATGAGGAGGCTAAGAAGGCTGCAGAGGAAGAGCAGAAGAAAGCCGATGAAGAGGTAAAGGCGCAAGCTGAGCAGGACAAGAAGGCAGCTGAGGAGCAGAAGAAGGCTGAGGAGCAGAAAAAGGCTGAAGCTTGAGACTCAGCGATGCTTTGTCTCTCCTATGAGCGTAGAGGCTCGAGCGGTATACTCATGGAGCTTGGCAGCAACTTGAGCAGTTTACCAACACTAAATAGCAGTAAGACTCGGTGCTGGAGTCACCTACAGGCGGTATCATAGCCTTGATGAGAAACGTTGGTATCAGCGAGACTGATCCAAGTAAAATCTAGTCACGACATCAAATGAATGATTTGTCTCTTTCACTTGTCGTGCTCAGTGACGTACTCACATTCACGAACAATTGCCAGTCAATCCCTTTCAATAAGACGGAGACGTTTTTTCTTTCGAACACATTCTGCCTACGCGACCTATGAGAGACATTTCACCAGACAAGTTAAGCGCTACTTTCCCTCTCCATCTCAAGTCCTCAAACACAAAGGCTACAACGATGACACCGCCTAACCACTCGCTGCGACGCTATCGCCATATGAACAGGCTATTTTTCTGTTTCTTAATGCTCATTGCCGGCATTTGCGTATTCTTCAGCTGCAGAACATCCAATCTCATCGCGCCCAATGTGCTCAAGGTTACCAACTCCCCAGATCTTGAGTCCGGTTCTATACTCTGGATGCCTACAAGAAAGCAAGAAGACTGGAAGATCGTAAAGGCGACAATGTACTATGAGTCTGGCGATAAGACACAGAACGCCCGCATTCTTACCCTTCATGACTTCCACAACGAGTGCTTCAAATATGAGACACATACATTGCGTACGCTGATTGTGCGAGGCGCTCTCAACAAATTCCTTCACCTCCAATCACTCATCATCGAGGAACTTCAGAAGCCGATTGAGCAGCGTATGGAGTGGATACTCTACTTTGATACCACTATCGTCCTCGCGAACGCTCACATACCCTTACACCACTTTCTGCCACCTATCACTGATGTCGAAACTTTCAAGAGCCTTTCCATCATCGCTACAAAGTCCGAGAGTGATCATCTAAATTCTTCAGTCTTCTTCATACGGATTAGTGGCGGCTCATTACGGATCTTGACTCAAGCCATGGAGACAATATATGACGCGCCGTACATCGAAGGATACAAGAACGAAGACAACGACGGAGGCCTCTCATCAGTAGCCCTACAGAATGTTCTTTATCTGGAGCAACATCGAAATAAGGTAATTTTCCAGCCGCAACAATGGTACAACAGCACGACTTCGTTGTTCAATCAACCCTACTTTCCCACACCAGCTCATCGCCTGACACCCGATCTCAAGACGTTGACAGTTGACCGTGAGGGACAGCAAATGTTTCCAGAAACAGCAGATGTACATCGCTTCTGGCGCACAGCGAGCGAAGCTAGACGCGTGTTAGATGAGGCAAAAGAGAAGGGTTATACGGATGAACAGGGTGCCTTGTGGGAAATGGCTAAGGAGGTGAAAGAGTGGGTTCAGCTACGGGCTTGGGATATGGAAGAGCTCGAAAGGAGGATCATGCTGTTGAGGGCCAGCTTGAACAACGACTGATTTGATTTTTCGGACATATAGTCTGTGAAAGAAGTGTGTAGTGCATCCTACATATCATGATTCATCCAACAGATGATCATCTTCGGTCCGGTGTGTGTAATCATGAATGGTAGTACTGTATTATCGGAATGAGTCCGCGGCCGGATGGTACGGTGCTGCAGGGACGTTGCCAGCTATGCGGGATCCTTACCACCTTCCAATCATGTAGCATAGATGATCTGGGCATCTCGGATAGCACGGCTTAACGTCAAGTAAGCAAGCGCTTACTCGTCCGAGCTACGCATTCTCCTCTCTTCATATAGTAGCACGTCGCGTGCTCAAACTTCGTGAGATCTGAAAAGAGTTCTTTGCAGCTATTATTTACTATGCCACTACCCCCAGAAGTCATACCAATGCAAGACGTGGTGCCAAGAACCGACAACTTGCAGAAGGACATAGCAACCAAGAACAACCAGTCAACCTCACCAGGAAGAAACGAAGCATATTCCGCATATTCAGCATATACCCGTACCTACCTGACCTACATTCTTGGCGTCGTCCAGCTGATATCTACGTTGACAACAACAATCTATTTTCCATTGATACCAACACTCAGCACCCACTTCTCCGTATCCGTTCAAGCTATCAACTTGACAGTCACTGTATACGCCATTTGCCAGGCCCTATCACCAGGAGTATTCGGTTCTTTGGCAGATTCGTATGGACGACGACCGGTACTATTGGCGCTTGTTACCACGTACACGATGGCAAGCTTGGGCCTGGCGCTCAATAAGAACAGCTACACAGTTCTCATGGTATTGCGAGCATTTCAAAGTATCGGCGGGTCGGCAACAGTGCCGATCGCTTATGGAATTGTAGCTGACGTCGCTGTTGTGTCAGAGCGAGGAGGCATGCTAGGACCAATGTTGTCGACTTGCAACGGTATTTCTGCATTTGGACCGGTCATCGGTGGAGCGCTGGCGATGAAGTCCACAGGACCTATGGGCGTTTTCATGGCTTTGCTTGGTATCGCCATCTTGTGCCTTCTCCTTGTTGGCTTTTTACTACCAGAAACGTCAAGGGCTATCGTTAGGAACGGATCTAGGCCCGCAACTGGAATCTGGCGTACTTGGACATCCTTTCTCTCGAGAGAGCAGGAGGATCGATCTGCTACGAGTATTCAAGACCGGCCTTCGATGCCAAAGCCCAGCCAGACTTTTCGAAAAGTTTTCGATTCCATACGCATTATCCGGCATCCAGACGCTGCTGTGATCCTCTGTATGGTAGCCTCGTCTTATGGTATCTACTACACCTTTCAGGTCGCCCACTCTGTCCTATTTGAGGAGCTCTACGGCTACAACGAGCTGCAGATTGGCCTGAGTTTCCTCCCTGCGCTAACTGGTATGACGATCGGCGGCACAATAGCTGGAAAGCTTATGGACTTCAACTATGCTCATCATGCACGTCAAATTGAGATCGCGGATCCAGCGAATATACTAGATTTTCCAATCGAAAACGCCCGTTTCAGAAACATGATACCAATCATACTCGCTGAGATGACCTTTATAACGGGCTATGGTTGGGCAGTACAACACAATGTACACCCTGCGATTCTTCTTGTCTTAGAGTTCTTCATTTCCACCTTAGCTACACTGCTAAGTCATACTGCGAACGCGCTCCTCGTGGACGTGTTTCCCGAAGTACCGAGCACTGCGTATGCCTCGGGTCAGCTTGCACGAGGCGGATTCAGCGCGGCGTCTGCGGCTATAATCGATCCGTTGATGCGTTCTGTGGGTCGTGGGTGGTACTTCACTATCTTCGCGGCGTTCACTGGGGCTGGATGTTTAACGTGCGTAAGTTTAAGTCGATGCGCTGGTATGCGATGGCGCCGAAAAAGGTATCTGGACACCAGCAGTAGGTCAGTAGAGGGAGCGAGTAGTCAAGGAGTTTGAGGTGGTTTCTCAGATGTCGAAAAGTTACATTGTAAAGCCCGGCTATTCGGATCAAATCGTCCAAATAACACATGATTCTCCTGCATTTTTGTAATCCAAGTGCTCATTTCTGATATGCACCATGGCTGAAGGTACCGTGTTCAGCTACAGAAAGATATGAGCTGGGATTTCATCACAGCAGGTCATCGGCCGTATTTTCAACACTGAGACGACCATGTAGTATTCTTCATGCGTTGGTGGCAGCAATATTAGATGTCCGTATTGTCGGTATCGTACCCCAGATTCTTGGCGCAAGCATACGAATTAAATTAGTTACTCGGACCGTGCACGTCTGTAGTCTTGTAGACTGTAGATGCATTAATGGCAATGTTCACGCTCATCGCATGACGGTGTGTAAGATGCGACATGAGAAGAAGTGTCGGGACGATGCGTTGGGTAAAAGGCAGACGTGAGGCGCAGGTGTTTCCGGTGAGGATGACTTTGAATACAATGATCAAGCGCTATCTTCAGCAGATGACAACAAACGTGGAGAGGGTATTCAATGTCTGACGTGTCGGTGATGTCTTGGGCTATGAGCTTTCGCATCGAAGGCCGAATTTCCAGGGATGAGGAGTCATATCCCGCCACGCTCTTCATAGACCCACCCATGTCTCAAGTGAATCATCTTGAGATGTGATGATTGTAGGCCGAACAACGTTGGGTATACATCTCGTGGTGATCTGATGTGGCACCGGTTGGGCCGACGCGACTGACCCAGACCAGATCGGGTAAGGCGTGGTAGAAGTGACGTAACCGTGATTGGCGGGCAACTTTGCCTGACCGGAAACCTGTACGAAGCTCCAGAAGCTTCTACCGACAGGGCAGAAACCACGACTAGCTTCGAGATATGACGAGAAATCACACGATGCCACTGAGTGCTTCCTGACTCTTCGCGAACAACTGCGTACAATTGTCTTTAACGTATATAAATCCCTCGAGTCTTTGTGTAACACCTCTTTTGATCTTCAGAGATACCCAACACCAATACATCGCATACACGAATCCTGAGCACAAGCTCACGACACACGCTATTTCCTCTGGCTTCGGGCCATATACAAGACATAATAGCCACGAATCAAGATGACTTCATTTGACGCATACACCGACCGCGCCGCGAAAGCTCTAGCAGACAGCTTCGACCTAGCTAAGGGCTATGCGCACTCACAACTCACACCCCTCCACCTCGCCGTATCGCTTATAGATCCGCCCAAAGATCTAGCGAACCAGGTCGATGTCCCACCGCCGCCGCTATTCAAGCAAGTCCTCGAACGCGCGAATGGCGACCCCCAACTCTTCGAGCGCAACCTGAAGAAGGCTATGGTACGGTTACCAAGCCAAGACCCTCCACCAGAGCGTACCTCACCTTCACCTGCTATGGCCAAGGTGCTTCGCGCTGCAGAAGACTTGAGCAAAACACAGAAAGATAGCTTCATTGCCGTCGACCACCTCATCCAGTCTCTTTGCCAGGATGCTCAATTACAACGAATCCTTGCCGAGTCGAACGTTCCGAACGTAAAGCAAATCGACAATGCCATCCAAGCACTTCGAGGCACAAAGCGGGTAGACTCCAAGACGGCTGATGCCGAAGAGGAGAACGAGAACTTGAAGAAGTTTACCATCGATATGACAGCAATGGCACGGGAGGGCAAGATCGACCCTGTCATTGGTCGAGAAGACGAAACACGCAGAGTCATCCGCATCTTGACTCGACGAACCAAAAACAACCCAGTCCTCATCGGAGAGCCTGGTGTTGGTAAGACTACAGTTGTCGAGGGTCTTGCCCGCCGCATTGTCGATGCGGATGTACCTGCCAACCTCGCAGCCTGCAAACTACTGTCTCTCGATGTCGGTGCATTAGTTGCTGGCAGCAAGTACCGTGGAGAGTTTGAAGACCGCATGAAGGGTGTCCTGAAGGAGATTGAGGAGTCAAAGGAGATGATAGTATTGTTCGTTGACGAAATCCATCTTCTCATGGGCGCTGGCTCTTCCGGAGAGGGAGGCATGGACGCTGCCAACTTGCTGAAGCCCATGCTGGCTCGTGGACAGCTTCACTGCATCGGTGCGACCACCCTGGGCGAGTATCGAAAGTACATTGAGAAGGACGCTGCGTTCGAGCGTCGTTTCCAACAGGTTCTCGTCAAAGAACCATCGATCCCCGAGACTATTTCTATTCTTCGTGGTCTCAAGGAGCGCTACGAAACTCATCACGGTGTCACCATCATGGACGGTGCTATTGTTGCATCCGCTACTCTTGCTGCCCGCTACCTCACTCAACGCCGACTGCCTGATTCTGCCGTCGACCTGATCGATGAAGCTGCGGCAGCCGTCCGTGTCACAAGAGAATCGCAACCCGAAGCGCTTGATAATCTCGAGCGACGCCACCGACAACTACAAATCGAGATTCACGCGCTTTCCCGAGAGAAGGATGAGGCATCTCAGGTCCGTCTGAAGGAGGCGCGAGCGGAAGCTGCCAATATTGAAGAAGAGCTTAAGCCGCTCCGTGAGATGTACGAACGTGAGAAGGGTCGTAGCAAGGACATTCAAGAGCAAAAGCTCAAGCTCGAAGGTCTCAAGACGAAGCTTGCTGAAGCCGAGCGTATGCGCGACATTCAGACTGCTTCAGACCTCAAGTACTACGCCATTCCTGATGTCGAGCAACGCATCAGCGAGCTGGAGCGGGACAAGGCCCGCGCCGATGCTGAGATGTGGGCCCACCAGGCAAGTGGAGGTGGTGAGGCTCTCATGAGCGACTCTGTCGGTCCAGATCAGATCAACGAGATCGTCGCTCGCTGGACGGGTATCCCTGTCACACGGCTGAAGACCACAGAGAAGGACAAGCTACTCAACATGGAGCGTCATCTCCAAGAAGTTGTTGTTGGCCAGAGGGAGGCTGTCGTTTCCGTCTCCAACGCCATCCGACTACAGCGCTCCGGTCTGGCCAACCCCAACCAACCGCCCAGTTTCTTGTTCTGCGGTCCTTCTGGTACTGGTAAGACACTTCTTACAAAGGCTCTGGCAGAGTTTTTGTTCGACGATGCAAAGGCCATGATTCGATTCGACATGTCCGAGTACCAAGAGCGACACTCCCTTAGCAGGATGATTGGTGCACCACCTGGCTACGTCGGACACGATGCAGGAGGTCAACTTACCGAGGCTCTTCGTCGCAAGCCCTTCTCTATCCTCCTGTTTGATGAGGTTGAGAAGGCTGCCAAAGAAGTACTCACTGTCCTTCTTCAACTCATGGACGACGGTCGTATTACCGACGGCCAAGGCAGAGTCGTTGATGCAAAGAACTGCATCGTCGTTATGACATCCAACTTGGGTGCTGAACACTTGTCTCGACCAAACGCACCCGACGGCAAGATTGACCCCACCACCAAGGAGATGGTCATGGGCGCGTTGCGCAACTGGTTCCTCCCTGAGTTCCTGAACCGTATTTCTTCCATTGTCATCTTCAACCGTCTTACCAAGCGCGAAATCCGGAAGATTGTCGATGTGAGGTTGGGCGAGATCCAGAAGCGACTCAACCAGAACGGCCGCAATGTACGCATCGAGATGACGCCAGAGGTACGGGATTACCTTGGCTCGGCAGGTTACTCACCAGCCTATGGTGCCAGACCACTTGCACGACTCATCGAGAAGGAGGTCCTTAACCGTCTTGCTGTGCTCATTCTTCGCGGTTCTATCAAAGAGGGTGAGACAGCTAGGGTTGTGCTGGATGACGGACACATCTTGGTACTACCCAACCATACCGACAGCGAGGACGACTCGGAAATGTACGATGAGTCCGATGCTGTGGCCGAACTGGATGACGCTGATGGAGACATGGATCTTTACGACTAGAGGAATTCAGTGAAACTGGGGAAGGATATTAAGTGAATTTCAGCATAGGCGTTTAGGAAGTTTTTTTTTCATGGGGAACATATGTATGCTCCGATAGAGGCATCATGATGGGATTACGAGTTACGGCTGATGATTGCTCATAAAAGTAGAAGCACGGGCTGGCGTTTTCTGGATAGCATACTTGATGTTTTTATCTTGTACATGGTTAATGAAATCAATAGTCTGAATCATTCAGGATGGACATGCGATACTGAGTGATGATCATTACTCTACTAATAGCTCAATTTCGAATGGGGATTTTGATATCTTGCATATGTAGTATCATTGGGACTCATTATAAGAAAACAGCGAAAGGTGCAAATCATATTTCACAAGGACAACTCATATCGCATGCACCGTTGTCAGAGTTGTAGCGATCCCAGTCATGAACTTTTGTCATTTCTTCGTTTAACGTTCCATGATGGACTACTTGGCCAAACATATGCTTGCCCAAGTCCGGGTATATTGCATCCCACTCCACCACAAATTCGAGTAATCTAGTAGAAGAAACCAAGGATCTTTCCGGCAACGTGCTTCCTGCGGGCCTCCTCGTGGTCCATGATACCGGCAGAGGTGGTGAGGACGATGTAACCGAATTGACGCGAGGGGAGTAGCTTGACAACCCACTTCTCCATGTCGCGGAGCTGGACGTTGTAGCGGGGAGAGATGACACCGGTCTTGTTGATGCGGCCGTTGAGCTGGATGACGATCTTGCCGTTGCGGTGGTCGTCGACCTCCTCGAACTCGCCAATGTAGCCTGAATAACGATATCAGTGAATGTTGCGGCGAAATAAACATCAGACGTCATGAAAGGGATCCGAAGACGTGTAAGTTCTCCGCAGTTAATATATCGGACACTTAAAGCTCATTGATCGTGGGGAGTCGAGATCAGTGAGTAGTTATCAGCCCGAAGAGGTGATGTAGGTTTACTAGCGGAGAACATTGGGCGGCATTGCACACGTCTTCAGGCAGGGTGGATTGCGCGTGCGACGAATGTAAGTACAAAGATGAACATACCGTGACGCTGCATGACAGTAAGGAACTTGACGATGACCTTGGAAGAAGGACGGATCATGACTTGGCGCTTGCCAGCCTTCTCGGCGTTGTTGATGGCGTTGAGCGCATCGTTGAGGACGGAAGTCTTGACCATTTTGACGGTGTTATCGGGAGATTCTCTGTGGCGGAGGCGACTGAGGTATCTGCGCGTGGGTGGTTAGCCTCCAGATGCCAGAGCATGGAGAGTGCCCTTGCATGAGGGTTCTTCAGCTCTTGTCGAAGAGGAGAGGCAGTGTCGCCTTCATCCTTGCGGACGACGGCGAGTGCATCTCCTGGCTCTGAAGGGCACTCGGGTCAAAGACATACCTCGTGTGATTGCGGTGGGCGGTAAGGAAGATGGGAGATCGCGAAAAGTTCGAGTTTGGCGAAAATTGGTGTCGTGGTCCGTGTGCTCGCTAATGGACATGGACTTGGCAGCAGCGACGGACCCTTGCACACGCTCCACGCTCCCAGGCTGCCACACTTCAACACCTGCCAGTCCTCACATCACTTTGCTGTCGCGATATAGACCGACGATGTCTTCTCCGCCGAGGAAAGCCCATGTCTTGGGCGCATGGCTTGATCCTAGCTAACATTTCAGCACTATCGCGCCTTCACGTGCACTCGCGATCGCTAACCGTCTTAGTCATGACGTAGCGGCAGTCACTTTGCCTCCGACCATCTCCCACGAGCCCAAGTCTAGAATCTGTCAGTATACACCAAAGTCTGCTATACTATATCACCATGTCTGAGGCATGCTGTACCTGCGCTGCCCTCCTGTCGTCGATACCTCCAACATACGATGAGAAGACCGAAAAACCGTCACAGTTCGAGCGTAGACTTGACTGCTGTGACCGTGCCATATGCGCCAGATGCTTGACGGACAATCCGAGATTCCAGAACTACTGTCCATATTGCCAGATATCGACGGGACCATCGGCACTACCAACACATGGCCTACGCGATCCTCCTACGTATTCGCCACCAGACGAGCAGCAAGCCGGCGACGAACTACCGCCATACTCAGCACACAACGCGCTACAACCGCCGCTTGAAAAGACGAACTCAGATGCTGAAAACGCGCCTGATGTCCTACACTTTGTTGATCAGAACAACGACTCGATCTTGTCACTATCGCTTCGATACGGTGTACCCGCCGATGCTTTGCGCCGAACGAATAACTTATATGCAGACCATCTGCTGGCGGCGCGTAGAACGGTCCTTATACCTGGAGAGTTCTACAAAGGTGGGGTCAGTCTTAGTCCGAGGCCACTAGAGGGAGAGGAAGAAGAGATCAAGAAGACAAAGCTACGGAAGTTCATGGTTAGATGCAAGGTCGCCGAGTAAGCGCTACAACCTTTCAATTCATCGTAAAGATACAGAAACTGACCTTCCGTGACAGGTACGATGTTGCTCTTCTCTACCTTGAACAAGCCGATTATAACCTCGAGCACGCAATCACAGCGTACAAGGCCGACGAAGAATGGGAGAAGGAACATTCCCTAGAGGCTGCGAAAAAGGGCAAGGCGAAGGACACACAAAGTTCTGGGCGGCGGAAGTGGGGCTTTGGGGGTCTCACTGGTCAACTATGAAAGCGCGTACGAGCCATTCCTCCGGTCATGGGCGTTTTGTACCACTGCGACATACTTTAGCTTGATCAGGAATACCCTAGCCAGCGGCTACATATGTATTATTTCGCATTGACTGGTAGCAGGATTGCCAGGAAATGAGGGTTGTAAATTCCTCTACTCCAACAGTACTGTCAAGTTCTATATAACAAAGCACGCTTCTCATCTATCGTTGCCGTATCCAAGTGCACTTGGCCATCTACTCTTCCCATCAGTCTATCCGAATATTCACCAAGCTTACCGTCTAAATTGAACTGCTATTTTTGCTGGTTGTGAAATCTCATGTTCTTACCTGCTTGAGAAGCTCACAGCCAATCATAGCGCGAAAGCACCATAAACTCGTAAGCGCCTATACACCCCGCGAATCAACATCTGCACCTGAACTCTCGAAGCGCCCGCACCGCATTCGCGTTTCACACTTTAGTGACCCTGCATTCAGGTCACTCTGTACCCTCATTCGACGGCATGAAAGCGCACTACAGCCGCTCATGCTCTGACTTTGCCATGTTTCGTTACCAGTGGAACCACAGGCAAGCCACAGAGTCTGACGCACGGTACGATCGGCAACCTCACTGATTGAGTGGAGAGGTCACAGACCACAGTGAACGGTATGGGCTGCTAAATGTACATATGCGGCAATGCGGCAATACGATATGCTGGTTAATATCACTATTCTAAGACTGGTCTGCAGCTTACGCGCTGCGAATAACAATACACCACCACCGCCAACCCAGCAGTCCGGCGCTGCTAACCCAAGTTCCACCGATAGTCGCAGCGGCAAGACAGATTACCGTTCTTTCTTTGCTCTTGTTCGTCTATTTCGAGACGCGAACTGAAGACGGCTGCAGGGGGTTGCACGATGTGTTCTGTAGGCTTGAAACCCGAATTGCGACCAAGTCGTTTTAAAGGCATGTGCCACCCCCAGAGTTGTTTCCCATCATCCCAGGCAAAGGTTCTCTCAAAGCCTCAGGTTATATCAGGCCCTCTGTGCTTGCTTATTCTTTCGTTATCTCGTTATTCGTCCTTCATTTCAAGAAAGAGAGGTGCTCCTGGTTGACACCAATTCAACGACCCAATTCTTATACCCTCATACCTTACGCTTTGCGTTTGTATAATACAACAAGGAATACCTTTGAAGCAAGACTACGATCAAGATGAAGATCAACCCCGCTCCTTTCCACCTGGCACAGGCCATCATCACAGGTCTCGTCGTCGTCTTCAGCATATGTATTCTTGGCACTTCGGCATACACTCTGGATGTCTTCAACAGGCAACATCTCACGAACCCTTGGTGGGCACCGATGTGGCCTCAGCATTTCGACGTTCAGGGTACCAAAGCACTCATCGCGTCGTCCGTCGTGACACTGGTTCTCTGTGGTGCATTCTTGATCGCATCATTTGTGCCTCAGGTAAGCAACAACCTTAACATAATTGTGTGTAGGGATGCATACTGACAAGCACCAGCTTGCCCTTCGCCAGAAGTACACTCTCCGCGCCCTCCTTTCCCTCGCCACTCTCCTTCCTACTCTTCTCCTTACTCTGATTACGACGATCTGGGCACACATGCTCAACAACAACGCTCCGGAAGTTGATACCATCCAAACCTGGACCTGCAAGATGCAGAACTCGCAACCGCTTGCTCAGGATTTGCCGGGCGATATCGCTATGCCGGCTGGCATGGGAAACGGAGACTTCAAGACGCTTTGTGGAGCCAGCAAGTTCGCGCTTATTGGCACGCTCATTGTATTCTTGCTTGTAGGCGCAAGCATGGCTGTTACGGTTATCACTTGGATGGCGGATAAGTGGGCAGCAAGGCAACAAAGGAAGGAAGTTGAGATGGGCAACATTCCTGTGCCTACATCGTAAAGGCGAGGCCGATGTAAGACAGGATGATGAAAGAAGCAAACAAGCGCTTGATGGGACGTGGCAAGTCGAGAGATTTGATGCATTTGGGTTATGGATCTCTATCAGCAAGCGTGTCCTAACAGGGAAGGCGTACCGGTGTAATGGTTTCTATACGTGACTATGAACAAGGGTGTTCCTTTCAATGTACTATTAGGCAAATGGAGGCCACTTTCTCCGTCCAATTCGCATCTTCGTCATAGTTCGGACTGAATGATGCATTGTGCACCGGTGTGGCGGGGAATTGGGTCCAGATCAGGATCGGCAGATCCAATAGACGATCGCCCTGGAGTTGAGTAGAGGGTGCGTAAGCTTGCGTGAACGGGAATAAGGCATGCCGGTATCCAGAACGTAATCACGCTGAGCCGTATGTATGGCGCTGTTTGATTCTGGGAAGATGGCAATGCTTGCTGAGGAAAGCTGTCTGGAAAGTTGGACGAGGCAGCATGCAGGTGTTGTTGCGGAGCAACGAGGGCAAGCGCGACAAGCAAATGTCTTTGTACCACCAAGACATTGATCATGAGACACTGTATGTAGCGGTTTCAGCACAATGTTGGGGACGACGCTGCATCTCAGACAATCGACAGCTTACAGAGTGAGCGATGCGCAGTGGGGGAACGCGTGAATAAGCCGGTCAACGATCATCGTTTGGCTCTCTTGGTTCGGCCTGTCGCGTCACGACTCCTCATCCACATCAACTGCCGTCATCCGGCCAGGCCTTCGAGCATTTCTGACCCTCTTGCTTTTTCCCGCCTTCAGTTATTTCCATCGGCTCTGAATCAGAAAACGAAACCTACCCGCCGTTCCTCGTCGAGCATCTAAATTGATCACCCGTCCTGTCATCCCGGATCCTTGTTCGTCTTCAGCCCCCAAAGGCTCGAGCGTGCATTGAAGCGGCATCAGAAAGATCCCCTCTCCACCGCAGCGAGACTGCATAATTCTGCCTTTCTCTGCCTGCCAACCTCGCCCCCCTTCTCTCGCACACTTACCCACTTGACACCCGCTATGCAAGCTCGCCACGCGCCGGCAGAAGAACACCGCAGCAAGAGGAAGTTCCAACCCAGCATTACAAGCTATTTTGAGGTGCGGGACGATTTCGAGGATAACGACGATCTGCGGGGCCTAGATCCGATTACCCGACCGCGACGCCAAACCACGCGAGGCGCTGCACAACATCAGCAGCAACAGCAGCAGCAGCACAGGGAGAGACTCGCTCCCGACATCCCAGGACAGGTGCAAGCAGGCTTGCTGAGCGTCGGAATGAGAGTCAGAAAGAGTGTGCCGGAAGGCTACAAGACGCACAAGGTCTCCGAACTGTCCTCGGTTCAGAACACCATGTCGAGACCCACATTGGCCGTCAAGCCGCCACGAGAAGCTGTGCCAGACCAAGTTCAACACCAGCGAGAACTGCTGCCGTTTTGCGGTCTGCACAAGATTGGAGGCTTTGCTGAACAGCCTACAACAAACCCACATCTCTACAACACGACCGCCACTCTATCACCACCCAATTACTTCCCTCTTCCTGCCGAAACCTTCACCCAGCCATTCTCCTCGACAGCCTCCACCGACAGTGGCTGCTCCACCACGTCGCAACGCCCACACAACCCCTCGAAACGCTCATGGCAAGACGAAGACGAAGTCAGGCCATTGGACACTAGCTTCTTCTTCGGCTCATCCTCGACAAAGGGCATGGGTATGGGTGTTGAGGTCGACGAGGTGCCTGTCAGCCCGCTGAGCGAGACTCCGCCTCCAGGACTGAATATGCTGCCGCCGGTGAGGCAGTTCGCGCAACCCAAATCGAGAAGAGCAGTACAAAGGACAATTAGCGACGATGACATCGATATGGATTTTGTGAATGCATCGCACATCGAGGGTAGGCTTAGCGCAGGCTGCGGAAGTGATTTTGAAGAGGCGGATTTTCTGTCCAACGAGGTGGATATGGGTGGTATATGAACTCTAGTGGTCATTTCCTACTCTTTCGTCGTTTCAACGTTGTCAGCTCTTTTGCTCTTCGCTTCTTGTTTATACTTTCCTATTGGTTGGTTATCCGCACGCTCGTCGCTCTTGTTATGGATGGCGTGGAATGGTGTTCATGGAAAAGGTTATAATGTCGGCGCGTATACCCGGTTCTCTCTTGTTTTCAAAGGTTTCCAATCAACCCATCCTATATGCTGTTCTGCATAATCTTAAATCGACTTTTTTGTCACATGTTACCACATAGTCATTGGGCCTAGCTTCCTCCGTCGTCTGTGATATCGACCGTCCACGTTCGTCCTTGTCTACTCATTACCACCGATCTAGCCACTCCCGGTGTGATCATACCAACTCACTTGTGTTAGCAGAGAGAAAGAACTCCATTGTGCCTTTCACTTTAACATGTAGAATATTCAAAGCGAGTTTAAAATTGGATAGCTGTCTCTCAATCGTAACGACACGAAAAGCTGTTGGAGGCTAAGAGTGCTGAGTGGGCTATCTAGAACCAGAACTCCGACGCTATGCATGTAAAAGTCTTGAATCTTTCTTTCTCTCATACCATGTATATGATGCATCTAAGACGTCGACTTCGTTAACAGGAAGCCGACATTGCATTCCGATTCTTTTAGGACGTCGAGGAATACGTCGTCATCCACCGCCACCGCCATGTCATCAACGACCCCTGCTTCTTCGTTCCCTCCTTGCTCATCCGTCACCGTTTCTTTGAGTATCTTGGTGTCAATATGTCGGTATTCCATCAACATTCTGAGCTTGGGAAGTTTCGCCGCGCGCCTAGCCTTGATCTTCGCTTCCTGTTCCTCAATGTTGACCTGGCTTGCTTTTGTAAGGGTTGGGTAGGGATCTCCTTCTGGGTCATCGGTATTGTCTTCGGCAGCCACGTCCTGTTCCTCGGCTTTGATTTCCGGTGAGCCCTTACAGTCACACGTACAACCGAGTATGTCGTGTGTCTGGCAACCTTCACGCTCGTCTAGCCGGAAAAGGTCGCGAAGTTCTTCCTGCGAAAAAGAGGATGCAGAGGCTTTGTTGTCCACAACAGCATTTGCAAGGCCCATCTTCATAACTTGGCGCTGATAAATCTTCTCATCTAGGCCGCCTTGAATGAGGAGTCTATATACCTTACACGGTAGTTTCTGGCCGTCACGATGGATACGCGCCATAGCCTGCAGATCTGTAGCGGGATTCCAGTCGATATCAAACAGCACGATGCGCGATGCACCAATAAGATTAAGACCCACACCACCAGATTTGGCAGATAGAAGGAAGGCGAACGATGCGGTTTTCGGAGTCTTGTTGAATTTCTCCACAAGAGCCTGGCGTTTGGAAGCTGGGGTACTACCATCCAGACGGAGGAAAGTGTACGATAACGAAACAAGAAGTCGTTCGATCATGTCCAGTGTGGTAGTATAGTTCGAAACGATGACGATCTTCTCTTCTGTGGTAGTATAGATTCGGTGAATCAGGCTGTCAAGCAGTCGCAGCTTCGCGCTTGAAGCACTTGAGCTGAGAATCTTACTCGGTATAAGAGGGAGAAGCGACTGTAGCATTTCCGATGGCGTGTCATCATTATCCTTTGATGATTTGAGCAAAGAAGGGCTGTTGCAGACCTTCTTTAGCACATTGATGAGTTGTAGTGCAATATCCGTACTTCCTAGTGCAATTCTGAATGTCGGCGAATTCAGTATTGCGCGATATGCCTCTGCCTGCCCTTTAGTCGGCCTGCAGAAAACAATGTGCTCAGTCTTGGGTGGAAGGTACTTGGAAAGCACCTCTGCTGTCCGTCGGATCATGAATTGACTGGTGAGAGATACGAGCTCCTTCCATTGTGCCTCTCCTTTTTCGAGCTCTGATTCACACGCCCCTGGCTGACGGCTGCGCATGATGGGCACTTCGAATGAACGCTTGAAAGCCGTTCGTTGCCCGAGTAGTCCAGGGTTGACAAAGTCAATTGCGGTGTAAAACTCACCCAAGTCGTTCTGTAAAGGCGTTCCTGACAGTATGATCCGCCGCTCAGTATTGAGAGACTGGATTGCAAGCATTGCTTTGTTGTTAGCGGTTTTCAACCTATGGCCCTCATCTGCAATCACGATATCGACACCACTACCCTTCTTCAGCTCATCTTGTACGATACGCAACATCTCGTATCCGACGATCATGATGTTATAAGCTTTGCCCATTGTGAAGTTGGTGATCTTGTTGTTCTTTCCGTCTAGCACAAATACACCAACTCTCTCGTTGCCTAGCCATTTTCGAAACTCGCGCTTCCAATTGTCGACCAGGCCAGCCGGGCATACAATGAGGGCCTTGGTAATTACTGGTGAGGTATCGTATATCGGATTTTGTTTCATCAGCGTCCAGAGCAAGGTTATGGTCTGCAATGTCTTGCCCAAACCCATCTCATCAGCCATGATGGCTCCTTCGCCCTCGCATCGCATGCCCATGACACATTCGTATAAAAACTGCACACCCTCGCGTTGATGTTCGCGAAGGTGCTTGCTGAGGACTGGGTCGACGACAACGTCAACAATCTGCTTTCCGGTCGGACAGGACTTGGGCCGCTTCATGACTAGAGCATTGGGCGCGTGAGGGTCGTGACGTGGCTGTGGAATCGATGGATTTCGTTGAGGCATGACGGTATTTGACAAGAGAGGGGCCTTGAATTGTTGCTTGCGCTGGGCCGATGGCTTGTAATCTGGTACATTCGCCCCATTACCAGCAGCGTTATTTTTCTTGCTTGCTTTCTTCTTTTCCGATGAGAGAGGCTTGTATCCCGATTCGGTGTGCTTCGTTTGAGCTACAGGCGCAGCTGCAGCATTGCCTGGCAATGTGCGCCTAGCGAGGTAGTCCGCCTTGTCGATGGGGCCTTCAATTTCAATCTCCTTGCCACCAACGGACAGCGCCGAGCCTGGAAGTAGCGGCCGGCTGCATACTCCCTTGCCCAGCTCTTTTCCCGTCTCGCTATCCGTGAGCGTGGCATAACCACCTGTCACAGCGAGCACTCCATCGCCATCCCACGTCTTGTTCTTCTTAGTTGTGTATTTCCGCCATAATACTGTGTAGTAGTTTCCGTCGAGACCCGGGGGCAGGAACTGTGCTGGCGCGGGATTATTGAGCGTGTTGAGAGGTTGACGACTGCCAGAGGAAAGCGCGTTGGACAAGATTCTCCGTTTCTTGCTCGGTGGCTCGCCATTCTCTGATCGAGGGCGAGCGAGGGTAAGCGGCCTGAAAGGCTTCATCTGTTCGATTGTTGGATGTGGGGTAGCATGTCGTCAAGCCGGATGCTTTGGGGTCGATGATGAAGTCTTGGGAGGCGACGCGCCACAACGCTAAAGCGCGTAGTCACGTGGCGTCGGTATTACCCTAGTTCCCGGAGTGGTAAGTACTCTCTAAACACTTATAGGTTCAGATCGTCGGTATGCCGCTTTGAAAGACCAGTCAAAGCCTTTTATTCTAGTAGCATTATCATCGTTCCATAAGAAAAGATGTGTACTATGCATATCTACGTCTCGACAAGTTGTACCCAAGATCAAAACAATCCTACAAGTGTGTACTATTATTTCTCTATCCCAGCTTCCACATGTGTTACCGTACATACCTTGAATGCACACTCTGTGATAATAGATACATTGAAATAAAAAGTTACTGGGCAAGAGCTCGTCCTACATTCTGATAACGACGCCGCGACATGATAGACGCACGCTCTAAGATCGAAACACCTAGTTGCACTTTTTCAAAAACCTTCTATAACTACTATAGTTACTTCCTAAGGATGCTTACTCCAACATCCAGTCTAAACACTCCCAAATCTTTTTGCTTTGGATGGTCCCATGATCTAAGCCATCATATGCCCTAAAGTCAATGTTGCGCTTGTAGCGATTAGCAATCTCTGCAGTCTTTCTCGCTGCGTCGTATGATACATTGGTGTCTATGGTCCCATGATACCATCTTATAGGATTGGCATCCATGTTTTCCAAGTCAAATCTAGATGTTGGTGTGCGCAGTCAGTACAGAACTCCTATGCAATTCTTATGGTGACATCACTAACCCCCACGGTCGTACTTTGAGTCTGAGATCATTGTTGTATCCCTCATGACCTTGCCTTGCCGCCTCTTGTCAGTTCAAACGAGCGCGCAGAATTTTTGTCTCGTTACCTTTGGCACTCACAACGTCTCTGTGGAGGAAGTAGTTGAAATTACCGCCGGATGAATACAGGAAAGACGCTCTGCCTCTGAGCCATAACGTCAGTCTCGTTCTCAAAGATAGTCCCGTGCTTGCAAAGTCGGGATGATTACAGCCGCACATGATAGATGTCTTGCTCAGCCTGCTTTTTGGGAAATGGAATGTTGCCCCTAACGCATATGGTCCTCCACCACTCACACCATAGACCTTGAACTCTTGAATGCCATGGTAATCGAACAAATGCTCGACATCTTGCATGAAGCCTAAGATCCCTCTACCGTGAAGCGTAGAATGGCCATAGCCCGGACGGTCAATGGCAATGATGCGGACGCCATGGGTTTCAGCATAACCATGTATAGTTGCCACCCCTAGTCGGCTACCAGGAGTGCCATGAAATATGACCCAGCATTGTCCTACCTCTTTCAAACGACCAAGTCTTGCGTAACTCAGCTGAGCTCCTGAGGGCAGCCTGATTATCTGGCTGTCTCTGGGCCAAACCAAATCGTCTAGGACCGTGTTGTGAAAACCGCTCTGACAACGTTCCTTCGTGCTTCTCGGATCAGAGCGGCTGGAAATAGAAGGTCGAACGACAAGGTCAACTTTCTTCGCTATGGATGGTATAATGCGAGGGTGTGCTGCTTTGATAGGAGACTTGTTTGAATTGTTCGTGCGCAACTTGGACTTGGAGGTTGGTGTTGGTAGGCGCGCAGCGCTTGTTCCGCGTGTTAAATTTGTCTCGGGATTTTCCCCCGCGGCTGATGCTTGTCGGGGTTGCATACAGCATCCTCGAAATATGTTGTGATTTGGATTGCATCGAGGTTGGGTCGCCATCGCCCGCCCCATGCGGGCGAGAGCATTCCCGAAACTTGTCCTCATTGTTGTAGTAAGTCGACCACTCCGCACGTTACTCGATCAACGTTAGCCAACGGGAACATCAAAACGACCACGTCAAAGAGCTTGCGAGAACCAGATCTGGAGAATGTATTGAGGTTGTTGTTGAGTACGACCGCGTATGCAAGGAGAGCTGTGCCACATGTACGACTAGTCCCGGCGCACCAAGCGTACAAACACCACATTGTTAGCTTCCGCGGAGTAGTATCACTAATCGACCGAACCACGTAACGTAGCAAATATCCGCAGTCGTAATAGGCTTATCATGTGACGGTATGAGCTGAAGGGTAGAACAGATACATGCAGTCAACTGGAAGAACTGCCCTTGCTGCAATCCTATTGTGACAATCGATGAATGCCTAGACGCGAATAAGGCGACTGAGACACATTAGTAGGACGGTTCTGATGATCAGCATAAACTGAGAAGGCCAGGTGCGGTGTTTGAAGTGACCTCACAACCATCAAAGGGTCTGCCCTACTCCATGACATTCAGACGCAGATATGGGCATATCAAATGCTATGAATCGTGGCACTCAATCTTGAGCCGCACTTGAGAATTCTCCCTCATAGTACTAGGCGACTGTTAGCGAATAGTCCACATTCCAGAAGTGCATTCGGCGCCAGACTTTCAAGAAGGCCACACTTACCTCCGTTACGTTCTTTGCCAACTTGGTGTCCCTCAACTTGGACTTTGCGTTTGGTATGGACCAATTGTTGACTCCCCACCACCATCTCCGTATCCGCGCACCAACGCCGTGTCCACTGAACTTGGCCGAACGGTTCCAATGTCGCCAGCCATTGAGTACGAGAGTCCACATCACGCCTTGGGCGAAGCACATTATGACCTGTGCTAAAGGTTAGCGGAGGATTGCCCGGTTTTGGGCCTTGTTGCAGCCGTACCTGATCCCGCAGTGTGATCCATAACACGCCCTGCCACCCCTCTGCTTGCTCGATACTCTTCAGATAACTTTGTTCAAACCGCAGGTCTGGCAGTGGGGGCATCGTCTTCTGTCGCGGTACCGGGTCTAGCACACTGACTGGAATCTCATCTTCGCCGACTTCCGAGCTGTCGGGGTCTGGGTGTTCATTGAGGGTGACGGGCTGCTTCTTGGATGCGGCCGTCGATGGGTTCGCGTCGTGCCGTACGGATGGGTGTCGGTTGATGGATGCGCCTTGAAGCACGGAACCAATCTCGGTGGGGATATCCGACTCCATCGTGTCTGCTGTCTTGCTACGTCGCGAAGCTCGACAGGAGTGTTGGAGGCAGCAGATGCGCCCGAGTGAATGTACAGTCTTGGCGATTGACGTCGGGGAACGGTGCCTGCCTTTAGCGCAGCTGGACCCTAGCGGCGGCGACCAAGCAGCCCCACGACATTGAGCCACGCCAACATCCTCCACCACGCAATTCTTACCCCAGACCGACCGCCGAAATGGGTAACCAACAGTCCGGGCTGCTCGACAACATAGCCTCCGGGTCCAACTGTACGTAGGCGGCCAGAGCAAAGGCGTGCTCGACAGAGCGCTGGCGGGGCTGAGAAATGCTTGCTAACAGCACATAGTCGACCGCGAGGAGGTTGACCGCCTAAGGAAGCGGTTTATGAAGCTGGACAAGGTGCGCGACCAAGGACGTGTAGGGCTTCTGGACCGCTTGGCTAATTCCAGCCCAGGACAACTCTGGCACCATTGAGCGCGACGAGTTCCTAGCCCTCCCCCAGATCTCTTCCAACCCTCTCGCAACACGCATGATCGCCATCTTCGACGAGGACGGTGGCGGCGACGTCGACTTCCAGGAGTTCGTTTCTGGTCTCTCGGCTTTCAGCAGCAAGGGAAACAAGGAGGAGAAGCTGCGCTTTGCATTCCGCGTATACGACATTGACCGCGACGGCTACATCAGCAACGGCGAGCTCTTCATAGTACTGAAGATGATGGTTGGAAGCAACTTGAAGGACCAGCAGCTGCAACAGGTACGTACAATGAGGCGAGCTGGTAGCTGCACAGCGCACGAGTCTAACGTGCACGTAGATCGTCGACAAGACCATTATGGAGGCCGACCTAGACCGCGACGGCAAGATCAGCTTCGAGGAGTTCACCAAGATGGTTGAGAACACCGACGTCTCTATGAGCATGACCCTCGATCAGTTCTAAGCGCTTTCTCTGTTACAAACGCAACGGCATCCCCAGGCACGAGGGTTTCCTTGGCGAGGCGTTCATGGTGTTGCGGGCACACTCGGGAACGGGCTCGACAGTATTTGATATTCTTCAATCCAAACCCCGGAATCTTCGGTCACCCATGTTGCACAAATTTGGATATTGACGCGAGTTACGAATCTCTGTACTACTGATTGCATGCACAGGACACCGATCTTGCCATCGTAGCACGCATCTCTTTATTCTACCACAGAGGGATCCATCTTGTTCAGTTCTACAGAAACCTCTTTCCGATGTATCCCCTATCAAACCCCAAACCAAAAACGGGCATTCCACATGCCGCATATATTACAATGAAAAAGTGGATGCCAGCTGCGACACAGAGTCCAGCTCCCTCCCAACTCCCGGCTTGAATCGTCACTTCGCCCTCTCCATCACCAACCGCATGATGTCCTAGCAAAATTCCTATCTCATGCAACGCCTTCGCACTAGACATGGCACACAATGCTCCAGCAACCCCAAGCGCTGCACTGACCCCTAAAAGGAATTTGGAAATCTTTTCGTTACGGCCGCCTCGTTCGCGAAAGATGAAATAATATATCAGAGACACAAGGTAGAGGGATGAAGCGAGTGCAGGGAGAGGATATAGAGCGGATTTCTGGAGAGTCAGCGCAGAAGAAAGGACGGGATGCTCCATCGGTATGCTGGAAAGGCCCGGTGGTGTGTCACCTGGGAAGCATTCTAACGGTGCAGGAATCTGTCTGTCGTTTGGCATTGTGGCATTTGGCGGGAAGGATGCGCAGATACCTGTGGTATGTCAGCCACTCTCAAATCAATGTTGGCGGCAATGTCCACACTCAGAGGGCCAAACCAAGGCAAAGACGTATCAAAATACCCTATCCTCACTTCGACTGGTAGCTGACCAGCAGTCCCGTTCTGCGATATCATGACCCAATACAGATTTTCGATTCCCACGCCCTTGCTTATGCAGCCCAGGAGGATGAAGAGATAAATGATGAGAGAGACAAAGGTAAAAAGGCAGACGAAGAAGGTCTTGTTGAGGATCCTGTCCTTCAAGAAGGCTGTCAGGAGAAATGGCAGCATGTTGACTGTGGTGGAGATCCGTGTTTGTCGAAATGAGGTATGAGGACTCGATGACCTCCCGAACCTGGGATGCTAGACTGATACGAGTAAGTGGAAGCTGACCATGTTGGTTAGTATTTATGGATAATGCGGATACAGATTTCACAGTGACAATTCAATTTCAGGAGATCAACATGAACTTCTGGTAGTGACATCGTCGGTTCGAATGATGTGTAAGAAGGGACATTAAAGCAACAAATGGTTCCCAAAAATCGATGGCAGACCTGCTCCTCGAAACAATTGATGGCCGTGGCGCACTGCACTTGAATGGCAATCGATTCTGCAGTATGTAATATCGCGTGCGCGCGTCATAGGCTTTTTTCTTCACTCTGCTTTCGCATTGATCGTGTTTAGTACACCCTGATCAGATGTTTTTCGGTTTAACACGCGCAGCTTGTGAGGTATGATTGATGGAGCTTTCCAGCAGCTCTAAGGCATTGACGGAGTCCCAGCAACATAGGGAACTGTTCAGGATATGACAAATCCACAGGTCTTAAGAAGACTTGTACGTATCATGAGCAGCGTTGGCGTGAAGGATCGCGCTGCAGGAAGCATGGCAGTTTGTCATCAATACGCAAATTCGGGAAGTAACTGGAAAAAAGTACTTGGCTGAACGCCTGAAGAGCACCCGCCGACTCAGCCTAAGTTGACGGTACAAACATCGGCGATCCGCGGACTCCGGTTCTACACAGTAGACTACGCCTGCATACAGCTAGCAAGATGTACCCAACGCGTCCTGAAGCTGACACTCCTATTTTGCGCACTTTCAGAATGTCCGTATGTCCGTCATGGTACCGCAATACAATCATCAGGACTTGGGTCAACCATTCCATAGTTTGTAGAGCTGATGTCATGTATTACAGCTGAGGCGCCAAGTCCTTACGCCCCGCTTCCATCCCCATGCCGACGAAGGGCGCAGCTTCCATCAACGTCTAGGATCAACTTCGTGCCGCCGCGCCAAGATACTTGGAGGCTGATTTACAACACGCGTAGTACAGCGATGGAGCTTCCGACCGGGTTTTGTCCACTAGCTGACCATATAAGTCAAGCTGTGAAGTGCTTAGACGGCCATAAATCACTTCACTTCTGTTCAATTGACATCGTCAATCACCGCTTCTTCTCGTAGATCACAACAAGTCATCTCCATTGCACGTATCCGATCAATCCCCAGACATGGTCACTGTAGCAATCGCTGGAGGTACCGGTGGCGTGGGCCGAACAATCGTTGAAGAACTTGTTGGTCAAGATAAACACGAAATTCTGATCTTGAGCCGAAAGGTACAAATACAGGAATTTGCCAACCCTGAAGAAGAGTTGCTAACAAAGTCTAGGCTAACAAGATACCAGGACTTGAGTCCGTACGAGTAATCGAAGCAGACTACGAAGATGTAGCGTCTGTCAAAGAGTCTCTCAAGAAACACAATGTCGACGTTGTTATATCTGCGTTGGCGCTTTTCACTGAAGAAAGCGCGAAAGCTCAGATGAATCTCATCCAAGCAGCAATCGATTCTGGCTCAGTAAAGCGCTTTATGCCCAGCGAGTACGGGGTCAACTACTCACACCCAGGAGTCCTCGAATTTCACCCAGCAGCGAAATGGTGGTTGGATGCTGCCGATCTACTCCGCAGCTCTCATCTCGACTTCACACGTGTCATGTTCGGCTGGTTTTCAGATTACTTTGGCATGCCGCATTGCAAGAGTAATATGAAGCCTTTTAAATATGCCCTTGATTTCGACAACCGGAAAGCGGCACTCCCAGGCGACGGCAAGGCGTCAGTCACGTTCTTGCATTCCACAGATGTTGCGAAGTATATTGCTGCTTTATTGGACGAGGAGAAGAGATGGCCTGAGTTCAGCGCTTTTGCTAGCGACAAGTTGACGTGGAACAAAGTCGTGGAAACTGCGGAGAGAGTAACTGGTAAGTCATCTTTGGCAACCATATCATGGATATTTAGAGCAAAGCTGACAACTGGAATCATAGGCGAAAAGTGGGAAGTCACCTATGATCCCATCGATAAGCTAGAGCAGGGTCAAGCGACACTGTTCGAGCAACCTGAGGGCTCTTATGGACTTCCCGAAGATGCTACTCGAAGCATGATGGCTGAGTTTGGTGTCATGGCCGTCAAAGGCATTATGGATATCACAGGAGAGGGACTGAGGAACGATGTCTTCCCGGAGGTACATCCGATCACAGTAGAGGCTTTGATGCAAAAGGCCTGGGGAAGCAGATGATAGTAGCACTGTAATATGAGCTGAGGCGTGGTCAATATAAAATCATGGACGCGCAAAGGATTAATCGTGTTGTTTGGTGCATGACTCGAAACCTAAGCACCAACAAGAACTTTTGACGAAGCTTGCGACGACTGGTATACGCACATCTTCATGACCACACTAGCAGCGGCCAATAAAACAGTTTTGATTACACCTAGTTCGAGTCTCTTCCGACGCTAACTTCGGCGCTTCCCGCCTGGGCGCGGTCCTTGCGCCAAATTGTCCGCCCGCTCGTTTCAACGCTCCTAAGCGTACGTATGCAGCCAGGCCAACTTCACATAGACAAAATCGCATTGTACAACATGACGCATGACACTAGTACGATTGAGTCTACAATGCTGCGTTCCAGGCCTGTCAACCTGGTGGCGAAGCTACACCATGTGGGTTAAGCCCTTCAACACGTCCACGTTGGGAAACCTCGAAAAGCTTTTCTGGGCTATGGCGAGGCTTAGGGCCTTTGAACGCCGCGTCATGTATCGTGACGAAGCTTTCCTACTCGTAACGAGGCGTTTATGGTAAGTATCTCCAAAAGGAAAGGACAGCAGGACAGAAGAAAGGAATGTATAAAGGCAGTGAGGTTCAAATCGACATATTGCTTTCTATCATCACCATTTGACGTCTTATATCGGCTGCACAAGATTCTTTGCCTTCAAATTCATCGCTTTACACTATTTACCTGATCTTTTTCTGGAACTGACATTCCAACATGGTTAACATCGCCTCCATCCTCGCCGGTGCTGCTGCAGCCACATCCTTTATCAGCACTGTAGCTGCTCATCCTGGCGAGAAGCATGATCACGTCAAGATCAAGCGTGAGATTGACGTTCGTGGTCTGCGTGCAGCAGCAGCAAAACGCTCCTTGGCCGAATGTCAAGACACTCTCAAGCACCGCAGCTTGATGCGTCGTGCGGAGGCACGTCGTGCAAACACCTTGGATGCTCTTCGCGAAAAGCGTGGTATTACTGCGAGTACGTCCTTCGTCAATAGCACCCTCATTTACCCATGGACGTTGCTGACATTGACCCACAGAGTCCAAAAAGTACCGTCGCGACCTGGCCCTCCTCCAGGAGTTCGAGAACGTCAATCACAATATGACGGGTGTGATGAGTTACACACCCAACACTCTCGCCAGTGACATTTTCGCTGCAAACACCTCCTGCATCCTCTCTCCTGAAGTCACCGACGGCCCCTATTATGTCACTGGCGAGATGATCCGCAAGAACGTTGTCGAGAACCAAAAGGGCATCGATCTCTATCTTGAAGTCCAATATGTCGACGTAAGCACCTGTGAGCCTGTGCCGCAGCTTTACGTCGACGTATGGAACTGCAACTCTACCGGCTACTACAGCGGTGTCGAGTCCGGCCAAGGCGGTCTTAATACTACTTTCCTGCGCGGAGTTCAAGAGACTGATGCGGATGGTGTTGTAGCCTTTGAGACTCTGTTCCCAGGTCACTACGAGGGTCGTGCAACACACACGCACCTCCTCGTCAAGACTAATGTGACCGTTCGCTCCAATGGTACCACCGGCTCCGATGGTGCCGTAACTCATATTGGTCAGCTCTTCTGGCCTGAAGACCTCAAATCCGCTGTCGAAGCTACGGAGCCTTATGTTTCCAACACCCAGGCATATACTACCAACGATGAGGATATGTGGTCTATCGTCCAGACAGATAATGACTTCGACCCCTTCCCGGAGTACGTGTATCTTGGGGATGACGTGGAAGATGGCTTGATGGCATGGATACAGATCGGCATCAACTCTACAGCTGATTATACTGACGATGAGTACTATGCTGTTGCTGCGGACTATCAAGCGGGTGGAGGAGTTGCGAATGAGAATGCTATGGATATGGGTGGTGAAGGCGGTGCGGGGGGTAACGGAACTATGCCGAGCGGAGCTATGCCTTCTGGCGCTATCCCCTCGGGCACAGCTCCGACAAGTTTGTAGGCCTTCTTGTACGATAGCTCATGGCTGATAAGACGTTTGCCCTCATAGCAGGAAGTATTTAGAGCAGCCGATACGCTGCACAACGAGCTCCTCTACTAAATCAACTATGTTATCTGCGTTACCCGTCTTCTCTGATCGCCTTTCTGAAGCTATTTATCCCCAGCGATACCTTTCTTGCAAATGTGGTGGTTGCTTTTACTTTCGCCGAAAGGCCAGTCCTAGACCACCAAAAGACAATGAAAGACCGGTGAATATGATAAGGGGGCCGTAAGTCGTCCCATATCCCAAGCGTCCTACCGACGTCGTACTTCCAGCCTGGATGAGAGGCACACTGACAAGCCCACCCGCTACGTATCCGATACCCCTGGCACCATTGAGTAAACCGTACAGCACCCCACTATCCACGGCTTCGTTCCTTCGCGCTGCGTCGTTCTCTATGTCGTTTATGACTCCTCCCCAGGTTGCGCTGTAACCACTAGCGAAGAAGCCAAAGGTGATGGCAAACAACACTAGTAACGGTATGCCCCCTTGCGCGGCTAATCCCCAGAACAGAAATGCAGACAGAGCAGAGCTGACTGCAGACATTACGGTAACAGTCGGGGCAGAGAGGTGGAAGTATTTGTTGTCGCTCAAAAAGCCAAAGAAGGTGGAGGAGCAGATGCCGGGTATATTGATCAGAGTGATGAGGAGTGCTGAGAAGGTGTGGGACAGGTGGGAGACGTTGCGTGCATACTCGCTGATGTAAGTTTGCGGAATACCGTAACCAGCGCTCTGCAGCAGAGTTGCGATACTATAGACCCAGAAAGTCTGATGTTTGAGGAAGTGCCAGGGAATTTTGCGCCCACGAGTAGTGCTTGTGTCGAGGCTCGAACGCGGTGGCTTTATCATTGAAACGGAAAGAACGGCAGTTCCGAATGTGATAGCGGCCCATACAATCAAGGTAGTTCGAAAACCGTAGCGATCGAGGAGTCCTCGGAAGATAAACGGACAAACTGATCCTACAATGTTTTTCGTGGAAAGACAGATGCCGTAGGCTACAGCTCGATTGCAAATTCGATTCTGAGTGTTAAACCTAGATATTGGTGTACGAAGTCAGTGTATGCTTCGCAAGCAGTTCGTACAAAGATTTGACCAACCATTCGCCGAGGGATAGTGTAGTCGGGCTATAGACGAGTGCGCAACCCAATGCTGCTAGTACTCCCTGTGTCGCGACGAGATGCCAAACATGTCTACTAAATGACGATAAGATAAAGGCGGTGCATGCGAGTAGAGCACCCAAGATAGCTGCGCTCTGGCGATAACGGGCCCAGCGTTTGGTGAACAAAGCAAACAATAAAGGCATGGACAGGTACATGACGCCGTTGGATGTCGTGCCGATGATACCGGTAAGTTTGCGATCACCTTCCAGTGTCCAATTATCGAAGTAATATTCTTGAAGAACGCCATAGCTCATGGCGAAGCCTATACATGTGAGATAACTTTTACCTGAAACCAAATATTCCAGGTATCATACCCCATATCGGTAGCTGCGATAACGCAGAACCTACAAGAGCGAACACTCTGTTCCTGTCCAGACTTCTCTGTCTCACGTTCTGCTCAGCATTATCGCCTGTATTCAACTGCTGTGGCTCGCGAAGAGATATGTCGTCGCCACTCCCGTTGCTTGTCATTATTGAATAACCGACTGGGTTTAATGATTTAGTCTTTGTCGTTTCTCAATCTTTGTCGTTTCTCACAAACATAAGTTTGGATGATAGAGTTAGGGCAGGGCCAATGCTTGATATTGCACGAGTGCCTCACAGGAACAAGCGGCACGGCAATTAAGCAGACTGTTAGTCATGATAAAGCGAATGACGGGATGACGATCGTTACCAAAAGAGCGTAGCTCATGATGTCATTCACAGAACAACACTAGTGGCACGCCCTTTGAGCAAAGATCGAGCATGGCAATGCCAATCAACAGTGAAGAGGCCTGCGATATACTTGATGCTCGAGAATCCTGAAGTCGCTGCTTTCTAAGCCTTACATCTTTCTTTTACTGCAAATCCCTCCACACTTGAAATGAGAAAATTGTAGAAGATCATAGATTATATTGTTTCTACTTAATATGTTGTTATCCTTTCCTCATCATTATGGAACGTAGGAGTAAAAGGGCAGAGTTTCAGTCATTTTGCCTGAAGGTCGCTAGTTCTAGTAAGGTAGGAGTCTGGTCGATTTTGTGCACCGCGAGAGAGGGGTGAGTTGACTGTTCCAGGAGTTACTTGTGGTAGTTAATGTGTCTAAAGATGTAGATGGATCTTTACACTGGTCCGAAAGATTCATATATGGTTAAAACTTATTCCGTCTTGCTCAGCTCGAGCGCCAGCCTTCTGTTCGTGCCGCTGGGTTCCTTGTCTCTAGCTGTTGCTCATTAGACCTCGTGTATCTCTGACCCGATTCAAAACCTGACACTGACCTTGATCCTCCTGGACATGTCGTATGCGGAGGGTATACGTCTTCGTACAATATTCCAGTGGTGACGGGAGTCACGATAGCCTCTTGAAGAGCGCTCGCGACCTCAAGCAACAATCAGTGGAGGGGTTATCGCATGAAATTCTGAACCGAAGGTCCAGAGGGAAGGGTAGACCTTCACCCTTCTTCCATCTCTACCACGCCATAGATATGAGGCGATTTGTCTCTCCTATTTGCCTCCAACCATTCAGTGATCATCTCCCAATCTGCTTCCAAGTCATCTTCGGCAAGTGAGAGGGGGCAGGCTTCCTCGTCTGGCATGTTCTTATCATTCTTCAGTTGTATTGTGATGGTAGCTCGGTCGAGTATGCTCTTGCGCTGCTTTGCGGCCTGTTGTTGGAAGGCTTTATAGAAAGCATCGCAATGTGCGTTCAGATCCAGCCATACGTTGAAAGTGGTCACGTCCCATGAGATACTCAATCTGATTCTACCAGCGTTTTTGTTGGGATCGGCGTCTTGGACAGGGCTTGCTGCAGCGATGTTTGGTCGAAGAGGCTGTGGGTGCTCAATGTGCGAGCCCAGAACCGTAGGGGCTGGTGAAGGCTGTTGACTTTGTACTGCTGTTCCATATGTCCGCTGTCGAGAGATCAAGGGCTCTACCAAATGATGTGGATGGTATTGCTCGTTTTGAGGATGAACGGGGCTTGCGCGAGCGGATCCGCCGTGAGTCATTGCTGAACGGTGAAACGATACGGAAGGTGGTGTTGGTGCTGGAGGACGCATGTCCTGCCTGTATTCTTGGTGAAGTGGGTTCTGTCGAGCTTGCGATTCAGGAACAATGGTAGGCTGATAGTCTGGTCGAAGGGCGCATCTAATCAGCCAAAGGATCTTCCTTGACCATAGTGAATATGTATATACGCACCTGGAATGCCTTCACCAGAGTCCTCGCAACCAAGAAGAAGGTCCGTGTCAAGTGCTTCTTGTGGCACTACATAGAATATGGTGTTGTGCGTAGAGTCGGACCGTGGTCGGCGCCAGGTCAGCTCTATTGAGCAAGAGGTTGGTACTAGGTCGAATCCTGCGGCTGTGCGACTAGGCACATATACTTCGTTAAAGTCTGGTTGAACTAATGTGCACATGGTATCAAGACCGCGTTTTTGGACGACGTCTCCACGTATCACACTGTATCTCGTCTGCGCAAGTCTCATACGGACCAGGTGCTCCTCAACCTCAGTTCCCCCGAAGAGAAGAAGTAGTATATACTCCCCCATGGAGATCTCATTTCTGGTGGAATGGGAGGTTACTGATGACGCTGACCTAGGTGGACTGAGGGGATATGTTGTTGAATTTGAGGAAGGGCGGCGAGCCAGCCTTTGACGAGGCAGAGGGGATCCAGCATGACGCGAGCTATCTACAGACGGCGAAGCAGGTGAACCAAATGTTATGTCGAGTCCGCCTGGTAGGAGAGCAGGAACCTCGCGCTGCGTTGGTTTTGGCTGCAAGAGATATGCGTTGATCTCTTCGAGGACCTTACTGTCTGCGCAACATCTAGTGAGGATATCAACGGCTTTCTCAGGACTCTCTTTCACCAGCTTCGAGACCAGCTGATGTGTGCCGTATAAGTGGTACATGATGCGCAGTCGAAGCGACCGGACCGCATGTGAGTGGGGCTTACTTGCGTCGCATGAACGAGGTTCTGATGGCTGCGGAGAGCAGCGCTAGCCCAGGCGCATTCGAGCAATGTAGCTCATAATGGCTGTGGCGTGAGGAGGTAAGAGATTGACGATCCTGCAAAGCGCATTGCGTGTAGTACGAGCCTGGCAACAAGGCAGAAAACGATGAGGCGCAGACCGAAGACGTGCACAAGAGCCAAGGAGCGCTTATCGATCCATCGATATTCAAGACAATCGTTCGCTTGGATCTGCGCTTTGCCGTTCCAAGTTGACCGGAACTGCAGGTCAATACAGGGCTGTGGAACACCATCCATCAAACCTTGGATGGTCATATGCAACCCTCAGCACACCGGTCACGGCGTTTCCGTACCCCGCCCGGCTGACAAGAGGCTTGTTCCAATCACATCTTCACAGCCTCCCTCAACCGTAAGAGCCGAGCCTACGAGGACAGTGAATAACCTCGTCCAAGCCGATGTTGTTCAGAGGGCGTTGTTAGCACACCATCGTATCATGTCGTTGATATCTTCTCCTAGCTGTACTTCTCAGGATATACAAGCTATGGTAGTAGCGACCTCCGTTAGCCGAAACATCTCCAGCGGCAATGCTGTTCAAATCAACGGGCCTGTGGCAGATAAGGTCTATAATCTTAACTTGTAAGTCAAACCCCCACTCCGACCGACAGAGCACGCTCCTAACGAATACAAGCAAGACTCTAGTTGTGTCTCCAGACTGCAAGTGCGGCTGGGGTACAGAGATAGTCTCGTCTGGGAACGAATCAGCACTACCGAGTAGATGCGCGGCGAAGATGCCGAACAAGAGCAAAGTACTCAAGACTCCATCTTCGTCGAAAGTGTCCGGGAAATTTACTGTACAATTGCCAGTAAGCAGCAGTCAGTGCGGATTGGTACAGAGTGGTTCCTAACAATTACCAGAAAAAGACATCGGATAAACGTGTCCTCCAAGGCCAAAATCTAACTCTCAACTCGAGCACGAGTGACGCCCGTCATGTGGTTCGCGCCATATTCCGACCCACCGTTTTGAACAATTTCATTGCACACAAGATTGTGCGCCGTCTAAGTCTTGTAGTGTACAGCGGTTCTTCGTTTACGATGGAGGCTACTTCGGATCGAATTCACCTTCCGCCCACCAATGATTATGTCGATCTCGCTCGCTACTCGCAAGAGGGAAAAGAAGAATTCGCCATATGTCGCTTCTACGTTGTCAAGGATAGTCGGTTCGATCTTCTATTTGGTGCTGGCTCAGTCAACACTTAGCTGAACGGACAAGGGCGAACAAAAGCCGCGGCAGTTTGATCTGCGCGCGGCGCATACCTTCTTGCCGCTTCAGACCCTAATAGGCTGTGGTATCAAGCATAAGTATTGTCAGCGCAGGACTGCACCCCTCAGAAAGATGTTGACTACTATTGGATGCCAACAGCAGCATGAACTCGAGTTTCTCTTGGGGTGCATCATGGCTGCAGGATCGCTTCGCGATGGCGAATCAATGGCTACGATCTTGCATGCATGCTGCGAACCAGACCAACCGCAATTACGGTCGACTCATAATCAACACTGCGCCCCAAAGACGTTTCCGGCGAGCTCAGCTGGACATAAATGTAATCTCACACCCATTGAGCTGTCAGCGCAATCTCTGGTCTTACTGCCTTGATCAACTAATCCATAATCCACACGCTGAACACCATGGTAAACAGTCTTCTCTCTGATGAGTGATGAAGCTAAAGTGCAGAACCAGGCTGAAGTATTCGCTGTTCTCGCCGCGATTCAAGCTACCACTCAACTCGTGGAACAAGCCTTTCGAATTGTCGATCGCCTCCGCAAGGCGCATAGTCGTCAAAAAGCTCTGGCTGATGTCTTGACCCGACACCGTAGCGAACTCGAAAGCATCAAAGCGATCATCGGTATTATAGATGATGAGGAAGATTTGCAAATCCCTACTGTGGCTACAGAACTAGTCCGACTGCAAGGCGTTCAAGTCAGGCTGGCCGAATTGCTTGAGAACCTGGATCCGAAGATGACAAGTAAGATGAATCAGATTGCACGCCAGCTGACGTCTGGCTCGGCAGACGAGAAGAAACTGGGTGACATTATGGATGAGTTGGTTCAAGTAAAGACGATGCTTGTGTTGCGGATCCAAGTCGCCCATGTCGGAGTGATACGTACCATAGGGAAAGAAGCCGTGGTCAATGCTGAAGCGATACAGCGAATCGATGAGTATTTAAGGGAGCACGTCCATAATTGCGAAGGCCTCAAAATCGCGAAATTATTGAAGGGCCGACGTCCGTCAAGTGAGTGCTTAGCTGCCCGCGTTTCCCTTATACCAACTGACATTGGCAGATGATGGCACTGTGCCATTAACTCTTGCGGACCTCAAGGCTCTGAACAACGAAGCTAATGGCGAGGGCGAAGATAGCGGCGACGAGACGCTTGTTGACGATTCTGAGACGTCGCCACGAGATTTGCCGGTCAAGACGGAGCGCATTATTACACGCAACATAGCGCGCAACCAGGCTCTTCAGATTAATGCTGCAGTTATAGAGGACCTTTGGAAAGACGTGAACCATCTCAAGATTCATGACAACGTCGCCGAAGACGAGAGTACGCAGGTCAACTATGCCATGAACCGCGAGGTGTTTTCGATGTTATTTGAGCAACGGAACAAGGTCGTAGCAGCGCCCCGACAGAGGACGGCAGTGCGCGCCAAGAGAGCGTCTTGAGGGTCTAGGACGGTGGAAGTTTTAGATTCAGCGAGTATTTATTCTTCGCAGAAAGCGGAAGAGTGCCGCGTGTTGATAATCGAACAAATTCCTCACGTATGAGGTTACGGTAGAACGAATTACATTGTTTAACGGATTTGTAGAAGTGATGGGTGCGTGAAAGAAGTGCCAGACTGAGGTGGTGACGCGACTTGCGAGCGCGTGTGGCTCCTCCGTCCGGTGCATCGGTCTAACCTTGATCCGAGAAGCTTCCAGCGGCGGCCGTCACAGCGTCAACATGCAAGCCAAAGCCGACCCACGCCTACGCCATCACTATCTCCCCCACGACCTTGCCTCGACCCTCTCTATCGCCCTTCACTAGACAAAGCCGGCAGATCCAAATTCTGCTCCAGTCAACCACATCAGCCCAAACACCGCCGCCGGCGCCCGCCACAGCCATGGCGCTCGACACCTTCTTCCACAACAAGATCGAGACGATGAAGCTCGAGATCATACAGGGACAGGCCAAGCTACGACGACTCGAAGCCCAGCGCAACGACTACAACTCAAGAGTGCGGTTACTGCGAGAAGAGCTCGGCCTCCTGCAGCAGCCGGGGTCCTATGTCGGCGAGGTAGTCAAGGTCATGGGCACCAAGAAGGTGCTTGTAAAGGTCCATCCCGAAGGCAAATACGGTATGTCGCTGCCTGCTCAGAGCCACAACCAGAGCCACAACTAACCGAGCCAGTCGTCGATGTCGCCGACAGCGTCGATATCAGCAAACTCACCGCCGGCAAGCGCGTCACCCTGCTCAGCGACTCGTACAAGCTCGAGAAGCTGCTTCCCTCGTCCGTCGATCCCCTCGTCTCCCTCATGATGGTCGAGAAGGTGCCCGACAGCACATACGACATGATTGGTGGCTTGGACCAGCAGATCAAGGAAATCAAGGAAGTCATCGAGCTGGGTCTGCAACATCCCGAACTCTTCGAGTCGCTCGGTATTGCTCAGCCCAAGGGTGTGCTGCTATACGGCCCACCTGGTACAGGAAAGACACTGCTTGCGCGTGCCGTCGCCCACCACGCTGACTGCAAGTTCATCCGCGTGTCTGGTAGCGAGCTGGTGCAAAAGTACATTGGTGAAGGCAGTCGCATGGTCCGCGAGCTCTTCGTCATGGCACGAGAACACGCACCCAGCATCATCTTCATGGACGAGATCGACAGCATTGGATCAAGTCGAGTCGAAGGAAGCTCAGGTGGTGACTCCGAGGTGCAGCGAACCATGTTGGAGCTGCTGAATCAGCTCGACGGTTTCGAGCCCACCAAGAATATCAAGATTATCATGGCAACCAACCGATTGGACATTCTAGACCCTGCCCTTCTACGACCCGGACGTATCGACCGAAAGATCGAGTTCCCGCCGCCAACCGTCGAAGCCCGTGCCGACATTCTACGCATTCACTCTAGAAGCATGAACCTGACGCGTGGCATCAACCTGACAAAGGTTGCTGAGAAGATGAACGGATGTTCAGGAGCCGAGTTGAAGGGTGTGTGCACCGAGGCCGGCATGTATGCACTGAGGGAGAGGAGAGTGCACGTAACGCAGGAGGACTTTGACCTGGCCACCGCAAAGGTGCTGAACAAGCACGACGATAAGGCGACCAGTTTGAGCAAGCTGTGGAAGTAGACCACGTTCCGCCGTCTTGCTACTGCGCTGCTCTGCATTATGCATTGCTGGTGCTTACATCAAGATTATGTGCACCAAACACAAGGTCATAGATTCTTGGTATAAATAAATAATGACTACCGAACTCCAAGCTTCTTCCTCTCGGTTGACGTGGATCCCGTGTTGTCACCTTGGACGTGCCGGCGCGTCATACTAGCGCGGAGGAACTCCGTCGCCGAATCTACGTTTCCCCTTCCCACACCACCCTCCATGCACTACATGCAGATCTTGACCCGCTAGGTGTAGCTTCTCACACAGCATAACACACTCACACCTTGTGTAGATCCAGACTAAGATCCATGTTCTCTAATCGCCTGCGGGAATCTGGTAACAGGCATATAGTACAGCCATGACGTCCCCCCACAAAGTACCCCGCGCGTGGTGGTGATACTTGCCCCCATGCATGGTATTGCGCAAACGGGAAGGCCGATTGCGCGACAAGGAACACTGTGAGTCGTCACACTAAACATGCAGTCTGCAAACCACTGGTTCAATCATACACCATTCCCGTTGAAGATCTCCCATTCACTGGGTTTCCTAGCGTCGCTAATGCTCACTGCGCTCGCCACCAATTCGCTTGTATGATCCTAGTCGTCTGTATTTAGTTTGATCCACTTCGGCCTCCCCTCTCCCTCACTTGTTGTGCTCGCAGTCGGTTTAGAGAACAGATGAAAACCATGGCCGACTCATCCAGGAAGATTGATGAAACTTACAGTAACAAGGAGCCTTCGGCACAAACTGTTGCAAGAGATGGAGAGGCGCCCGTATCTGTCCTCGAAGATGGGTCGCTGGATCCGGTGTACGAAGCCAAGGCGAAGATGCTGAACAAAGCAATCCAGGACATAGGCATGGGAAGGTATCAGTGGCAGGTAAGTGTTAATCCCGGCGGCGCCCACTTGTGTTGCATCAACACGCCGTACATTGAAAAGCCCAGTGAATGCTCACAAGTTGTTTCGACTTACCATCTTCCGACCGTCTAACAAGCTACAGCTCTTCATCGTCATCGGCTTCGGATGGGCCATGGACAATCTCTGGCCCATCGTAACATCGTTGATCTTCACACCTGTGAGCAACGAGTTCAGCCCTACCAGACCACCGCTTCTGTCTCTGTCTCAAAACATTGGACTTCTCTTCGGCGCAGTGTTCTGGGGTTTCGGTTGTGACATATTCGGCAGGAGATGGGCCTTCAATCTCACCATCGGTATCACGGCTGTATTCGGTATGATAGCGGCGAGTAGTCCAAACTTTGCTGCCATTGGCACTTTTGCTGCTTTATGGTCTGTTGGCGTGGGTGGAAACCTGCCTGTAGACTCTGCCATCTTTCTCGAGTCAGTAATGCCATACACAAAGTGCATGTGAGACATACACTGACTTTCTACACCCGAATTCAGGTTTCTCCCTGGATCACACCAGTATTTGTTGACAATCCTGTCGATAAACTGGGCGCTCGCACAAGTCTTTGCTACTCTTGTAGCATGGCCGTTGCTTGGAAATCTTACATGTCAACAGACGGATACAAACTGCGCGAGAGGAGAGAATATGGGATGGCGATACTTTATGATTGTCAGTATTATGCCACATGGTCTTGAGGTAATCGCTAATTCAGCTTCAAGGTAATGGGAGGTGTTGCTCTTATGATGTTCATTGGACGCTTCGTCTTCTTTACAATCTTCGAATCGCCTAAGTTCCTCATGGGCAAAGGAAACGATTCAGAAGCCGTCCGTATTGTTCATGAGGTTGCCCGCCGCAACGGCAAAGCTTCGTCTCTGACTCTCGAGGAACTCACGACTTGCAACAACTACGCGCTACCTGGTACCGCTCAGCAAACCAGCACTGCCACCGCAGTGGTCAAGCGCAACCTTCAGAAGTTGGACAGCTCGCACGTCAAGGCTCTTTTCGCCACGAAGAAACTAGCTTTTTCAACTAGCACAATCACCTTGGTCTGGGCATTTATCGGACTCGGTTACCCACTATACAACGCATACCTGCCCTATATCCAAGCCACACGTGGCGTAGACTTTGGCGATGGCTCCACCTATATAACCTATCGCAACAGTCTCATCATCGCTGTCCTGGGCGTACCAGGCTGTATCCTTGGTGGTCTGCTCGTTGAGGCGCCTTATATAGGCCGCAAAGGCACACTGTCCTTGTCCACAGTGCTTACTGGTGTATTCCTGCTATGCTCCACAAGGGCACTCAATTCTAACAGCCTCCTTGGATGGAACTGTGCCTACAACTTCATGAGCAATATCATGTACGCAGTCTTGTACGCATACACCCCTGAGATCTTCCCAACAAAGGATCGCGGTACAGGAAATGCCATCACAGCGAGCGCGAACAGAGTTTTTGGTATCATGGCGCCCATTGTTGCTATGTTTGCAGACTTGGAGACTAGCGTGCCCGTTTACGTGAGTGGGGCATTGTTCATCGCTGCGGGGCTGTTAGTGCTGATATTGCCTTTTGAGAGTAGAGGAAAGGCGAGCATGTAAACATTAGGTTGTAAAGAGAGTTTAGAATGTGTAAAGTACCTCGAAAGGACTTGTTCCTGTAGTTTCTATAAATTCAAAAGCTACAATCGGGTGTCCTCTTGCGGTGTCGTGAACGAATCCAGATATGCCCTAGATCAAACCACTAAACCAACTCCTCAAGCTCTGAACTGCTTGAATTCACTTTGCTTAAGATCCTAGTAAGTTAACGTATGATTACTGCGGAAGCTCATGCTTTTCGAGTTGCCCTCCACCCGTAGACTGCTCGAATGATAAGATGACTAATATGACGTATGCCCCTCCAACATGAGCTTAACTTTTCCCAATGCCCAGCTCACAGCTCTAAACATCCAATCAACAGTCAAAATGAGCCAATCACAAGAAATGGTTGTTATACTCACGGGTGCATCGAGAGGTACGTGCGTGCATCTAACAAGCTCATAGCATCTCTTTCCAGCCCAGCCAAAAGCATTGCAATTCTATATTCCTTCTCGTCTTCAAGTACTGAAGGAGTGCAAAAGCTACCACGTTGCAACTACTTTTCTGTACAAAGTGGAAAGAAGATATTGTGATAGTAAGATTCATCTCTTACTAACCCGTCCAAATAGGAATCGGTCAGGCAATCGCCCACCATCTGCTCTCCCGCAACCACAAGCTGGTGCTCGTATCACGAACCCAGTCAGCTCTCGAAGCCCTGCAATCTGAATATGGTTCTGAAAAAGTCGCCGTGCTCGCTGGAGACATGTCCGACGCTTCGTTGCCTGAAAAAGCTGTAGCTTTGGCAAACGAGAAATGGGGACGTCTCGACTCGTTGATCATCAACCATGGGTCTTTAGATCCAGTGAAGAAGGTGGCTGATACTAGTGCTGAGGAATGGAGAAAGGGATTCGATGTCAATGTTTTCAGTGCTGTTGGTTTGGTACGTACCTGTTCCGTCTTGGTTTCATTCATTTATTCAGTCAGTCAATCATCACCAAATTCAAGGATAGGAGCATATATGGCTGCTTCGAAAATGCTTCATCTCCTCTAGTTCATTCAAAAGCCCAGCTAACCACTCTAAACTACTCAAGATCCAAGCTGCTCTCCCTTCTCTGCGCAAGACCCAGGGCCGTATCCTCCTAACCTCCAGCGGCGCCGCAACCTCCGCTTACCAAGGCTGGGGCTGCTATGGTGCCGGAAAAGCGGTACTAAACCACCTAGCCCTTACCCTCTCAGTCGAAGAACCTTCTGTTACAACAATCTCTATCAGACCAGGCGTCGTAGACACGGAGATGCAACGTGAGATCCGAGAAGTGCATCACGAGCGAATGAGCGGAAAGGATAGAGAGAAGTTCAGTGGACTGAAGAGCGACGGAGGGCTTTTGAAGCCAGAACAACCGGGTTATGTCATTGCGAGACTGGCTGTTGGAGGTGACGAGGTCAAGAGCTTTAACGGCAAATTCCTAAGCTGGAACGACGAAAGCTTGGACAAATTTCAAGAGGATTGAGATAAGATGATTATTAGTCAGATCATTTCGTGGTCGTTATCATAAGGAAGCATCTATCTACATGTACGCCGTGATCATGGTAGCCAAAGGCCCTCTGTAGCAAGTTTCTCAAACTCAAATGTACGCCTGTACACCTTCATAAGCTCTAAAGCCTTGTGTGCGTTTATTTTGCTGGCCGTCCAGCCAGTGTGTCGATCTCAGTAGGCTTGGCTGGCGCCTGAGGCCTACCGGACAGCGTGTCGACCGTCTCCTTGAGAGCCATCCAGAACTCATGCTTGGGGCGGCGACGGTGCCACTCAGTCTCCCTCTTCTCCACAGTCTCCATCGGAGAGAACAGTAGCTTACTGCCCTTGATTCCGATAACGCTAATTGACATGGAGTCGTCCTCGATCTCATCTGCGTCTAGACCAGCAAAGCTCTCAAGATGTTGCATAGCCTTGATAGCGAATCTGACGGCCCTGACACGGTCCATGGGCGATGGTATGGTACCTTGCTGGAAGTGACCAGGCACACCGTGACGAGATTCAAACTTGCCCTTGCCGGCTTCCGCAATCATTTGAGCGATCATTTGCACGGAGTAGGTCTTCGACGCCTTCTCGTTGACCAAAATCACCTTACCAGACCTGCTGATACCCTTGTCCTTGGCAAAGACCTCGCGGAGGTGGTCGATGTCGCGGTCGAGCATCTTAAGGTTGATGCCGTCTTCGGGTGTGTATACGGCCAATGCTCCGATACTGAGACCGGCAACTGTTGCGATGTAGCCCGACTCACCACCTTGGGTCTCAATGACGAAGACGCGGCGACGCGACGCTGACGCTGATTGGCGGCAGGCATCGGAGTATTGGATAAGCGCGTTCAAGCAAGTATCCGAGCCAATGGAGTATTCTGTTCCTGGGACGTTGTTCGAGATGGTGGCAGGGATGATGACCATGGGAATCTTGAACGACTTGTAGTACTCCCGTGCTTTCCTCAGTTCCGAAACAGCTGTGAATGCTTCGAAACCGCCGACAACGAACAGAGACTGGATGTTGAACTTCTTGAAGACGAACGCAACTGTCTCGAGATCTTCACTAGGGAGCCCACGGTTCGTTCCAATCTCAGATCCACCCTTGGATGCCCAGGTCTCAGCATCGATCCACTTGATGTCTCGCACCGCACCCACGGGCTCATCAGAGTGGTGGCGGATTATGCCAGGGAAACCGTTGTGGAGCGCAACTGGCGTGTGGCCGCGAGCAAGGCAGTGCGCAACAGCAGCTCGTGTGGCTGCGTTCATGCCTCCGGCTGGGGCACCTACGTGGATGATACCGACGCGCATGCGCTTGTTCTCTGGTAGTAGAAGATCTGGCTGATCTTGCGCTGTTGTGATTTGGTAGGCTTGGTACTGTTGCTCGAATTCAGTATCGCGGAGCTGCATGGCCCTGTGGAAGTCCTTCCTTTCGATAGCTACAGCAACCTCCTTGGTCTGAGCGACAGCTTCAAGGAGTGGTCGTCGAACGATCTTGTTCTCTTGCATGCAGATAACCGGGCTGGGGGTTTCCGGGGTAGCTTCCAACACTGCCTTGACAGCCTCAGCACCCTGGAGTGTCGCAAGCATACGGTCGTAGGCGCATGGTGTACCTCCACGCTGGACGTGTCCGAGCGTAGTCACTCGTGTGTCAAGCCCCGCTTCGTTTGCAAGAATGTCCTTGACCTGCTGTGAAGTAACCTTGTTAAGGTTGCGGTCGATGGCTCCCTCGGCAACAACGACAATAGTCTTTCGCTTGCCCATCTCTCTCTGCTTCTTGATCTGCTTGCACATCTGTTCCGGCCAGCCTTCGCTGGGTGGGTTTTCAGGTGTGAAGACAAAGTCGGCGCCTGTCGCAACACCAGCGCTGAGTGCGAGCCAGCCACAGTGCCGACCCATTACTTCGATGACGAAAGCACGCTGGTGACTGACGGCAGTGGTGTCGACCGAGTCGATGGCTTCGCAGATACGGCCGAGAGAGGTGTAGCAGCCGATGGTAGCGTCGGTCATGGAAAGGTCGTTATCGATGGAACCAACCAATCCGACAATGTTCAGGTGCTTGAAGGGCTCGACCTGCTCCTGTGTGAGCTGCTTTTCTTGCACCAGCTCGGTCAGCAGCTCTGGCCACTCAGCACGGAACTTGTCCGCGCCTGTGAGGGAACCGTCACCACCGCAGATGATCAGCGCATCGATACCCTTGATGATCATGTTCTTTGCAGCCGTCCGGCGGCCTTCTCGTTGCATGAACTCCATGCATCGTGCTGTGCCAATGAGCGTACCGCCCTCGGATAGGAAACCTCTGACGTCCTCCCAGTGCATCTCTTTGATCATGTCTCCGCCTTTGACCAGACCGTCGTAGCCCTCGTATATCGCGAATGCCTCGCAATTGTTGTGAATGGCCATGCGTACTACAGCGCGTACTGCTCCGTTCATGCCAGGTGCGTCTCCTCCGCTCGTCATGACTCCGATGCGCCTCTTCTTACCCTCGAGGGGCGGTGGGATCTCTGTGGGCGCCATAGTGTGAAATCAGGTGTTATTGGATAGGGTATTGGGCGGAGTGGAAGGTGTAGGTTAAGGTTGGGGAGGTGAAAGTGGAGGCTGGAGGTATTCGCAGATGAATGTGAAGGTCCGAAAAGATATTTGGCCGTGGGTCAGTATGAGGTCAATGTGGATTCACCTGTCTAGTTGAAAAGTTAAGACGCCGAGAGAAGCGGGTCCCTGTGTGTTGGGAAGTTTCAATGGTCGACGGCGGGTTGGAGGGGTAGCTTTGCCGAGTCCTGAGTGTTGATATGTGAGTGTCAGAAGTGATGCGACTAGCTAGCTATTAGCTGGATTTACGATGATATATCTGTATCACGGGCGACAGTTGTACGTATTATTCAAACTGGTGATAAGGTGACGGGGCTCCGAGCATGGGTTCGTCCATATGACGTGGGAGCTCCAAAAGAAAAGAGCTCCCCGGTCCGCCAAGTGGGGTCACACCACTCGCCGATCCTCAGCCCGAACCTGGAAGCATCGCCAACCACGGCCGCCGGCACGTTCCTAGAATCGAACGACTTCATTATTGCCTTAACCTGCAAGACTTGCATGTCAACAAATGACAGCATAGCGAGACATCGTCTGTGCCACGATTGCTGTGCTGTCGTTGTACCATCTTCGTCTTGGCCGTCACCCCACGCGGCCTCTTGCGGCGAAAGCATTCTGATCACCACTGAGATACGGATGGCCCGGAAATATAATCATTTGTTGGTACCGCTCGACGTCAAACCAACCATGTCCAGCAATTGCGCGAATGTTCAATCGACCTTTGCTCGCAAATCCAAGCATTTCCCAGCCCATCCTGAGACTACAATGTCAATTCCAGAGACTCCAACATGCGAATATCTATCATCATTACCCCAATTCTAGAAAGCCCCCACTTCCTGACCTTCCCTAGCCAGCGTCTCAAACACTCTCGGTGGCAACTTGTACTTGATCAGCCCAGCAAAGACCATGAGATCCTTCGCCTTCTGCAGCAGCTGATCTGCAAGCACCTTGCGCATTCTGTCCTCGAACTGTCCAGACAGAAGACGCTCACGGTGTCGCGAGCAGCAGCCGATGCACCAGAGGAGCACGTTGCCAATATTGCGTGAAATCTCTGGTGGGTATGAGTTGAAACTGTTGGCTGTAGCGCGAATGTCGCTGACGTTGCCTCCAGCAGATAGAGGGAGGATACGAAGGTTCTCGATTTGCTAGATGACTTGTTAGTGACTGATAGTGCAAGACAGAGATGGAACTACTTACGCCGAGTGCTGCCATGTAGTCGCCAGCCTCGATGACCTTCTTTGCGTTGTTGAGCTGGAATAGTATTCCAACTGTATCACGGTTCATCTGTGACACCTTCCTCCACCATAGACTGTTTGCATCGTACAGTGCAAGAACCTTTTGGGCAAGTTCGACAGGATCATCTGTTCCGAGCATGCTCAAGCTCGACGAAGTCAGATCGCTCCGTTGCTGCTGCTGTTGCTGTGACTCTGCGGGTGTCAGCCGTGGCTTCAACGGCTCCAGACGAAGTGGCTCTTGGCCGAGCTCTACAGAGAGTGCCTCGGCAAGTGCGCGGTTCAAGATCGTTACGACACTGTCATACTCGCCAGCAAGGTGGCATAGTAAGATGGCATCGTTGATGCGTCCATTGTCGTCTGCCATCCTCGCGGCTTCACTAGTGATGGTGTTCAACAGGCCCATCTCACCGTCCAGCTTGAGCAACGGCACACGTTCCTGAATGAGACCAGGCGTCGTCTCGCCGTTCGACTTGACATCACCCAGTAACGTGGAAAACTCGCGCGTCTCAAGGACAAGTTCACGAAGCGCCTCGTGGCAAAGCTCTGCCTGCTGTCGTCCTGCTTCGCCTGGTAGATCCGCATTCATGCAAATCAACACCAAGTAGTCAGCTGCAGCATCAGCTCGTGCGGCACGGAAGTCACTGGTGTAGTGGCCGATCACGCGCCCAAAGTTGAGCTGTGGCTGCTGTCGTGTAGTGAAGGTTATGATCTCTCCACCTGCAGTCGTCCAGTCCGACACACGCAGTAGACCGTAGTAGTCCAGAGCAACGGCGAAGTGAACCGCAGAGACGTAGTTGTGAGTGTAGAGGTAGTTGATCGCTGGCTCGAACAGACCAGCAAGCGTAGCGAGATAGAAGTAGATTCCATAGCCACCCGCGGACTCGGCTTCGTCATTCATGAAGTGACGCTGACCGATATCCTTGATGGTTGTTCGCAGTTCTTCCAAGCCGAAGATCTCGCCAGCATTCTCTTCAGCGCGATTGCCTTCACGGGCCAGATTAAATTGCAGCCATACCCAGTCGTCCATGTTCTCTTTGATTGGCGCCAGATTGCGTTGGCTCATGTCACACCGGCCGACGATCTTGTAGCAGGCCATTCGGTAGGGATCTTCTGGCGTCTTCAAGCGAGTTCTCTGCGCATGCGTATGCGCGACCTTTTGTTGCGTATCTGGGTTCAGCCTTCGCTCTGGATCGGTGGCGTACTGAGTTATTGCCGCCTGGAAGTTTCTGTCGGTGTTCTGGAAGAAGTTTCTCTTCTCTCGCACATATTCAGCAGCCTCAGTGAGGAGGCCACCTCTGAGAAGAAAGAATATGATAATCCAAGGAAATTCATCGCCAGCTTCACCTATCCTCTGGAATAGATCACTGTCTGCGCCGAGCTCCTTAAACGCAGCCTTCGCTCGTACAAAGCCTCGGATTTTGTTGAGCATAGAGGGAACTCCACCAACGAGCGCCTCTGCAGGGTTCCTCCGCAACACATCTTCGACTTGCTCCAAGAACTTGCTTTCCAAGAACTTCCGAGAGCCATCGAGTATGCATTTACGCATGCGTACGCTGGCAGCAGAGTTCGGTTGGTCGTCCAAGTAGTCCTTGGCGAAGCTTCGTTCTTTTGGCTGGTTGGAACCAGGGTTGGAGGCCTCCAGTTCGGTTTTCTCGCCAGTGATGGATATAAGCGCTCCATACGCATTTGTGAAGTGGTCTGAGTATTCGGTGCCCGCAGCCTTTTCCACGTCTGAAAATGCATGGAGTACCGAGAATGAGCTCTCACGTAGCCTGGACTCGTTGAGCTTCTTGACCTCGTCCATGTACTTTTCTTGTTTGTCACGTGCGTGTCGGTCCTGAGAAGCAGCTTGTCCACCCATGACAGACTTATCGGTAGGTTCGCGCCCACCAAGCACGCTTTGAGAGGCGCCTAGGACAGGCGGTCCGGCAGCAGACGCGCCAAAAGTCGATCTCCCGTTTACAGACGCACCGCTGTTAGGGCCCATAGAACGACCCTTGCGCCCTGTTGCGCGTCCAAAAGCTCCACGGGCCGTGCTGCCAAATGCGCCGCTTTGGGATGCGGCCATATCTTCACTCTGTCGGCCGAGTCCGAAATGTTCGTAGATCCTCTGCCTCTGTTTGTCCCATTCGATCTGAACGTTGTCCTCGAGGAATGTGTCGAAGTCGCGTTTAGATTGTTCCAATCCTTCTTGAATGAGTGCTAGGGTGGATTGGGAGTGCAGGTTCGAGATGTAGCCGTCTACGTCGTTGTCGAACAGGTTCTGTGCCTGACTGGGTGCAGCGAGACCGCCTTGCGAAGAGAATTGGTTGAGGTCGCGGAGGGTGCTGCCCATCTTGACGCCAGAGGCGGAAAGTAGGTAGTGTCTAGAAGCAATCAGCACAAAGCAACACATCATGATCAGGTCCAACATACGCAGCGCGATCCTGGGAGCGATCCTGGACCTGGTCTGCTGAGGGACCTCCAGCACCCAGATTGCGCACCTTCCGTGCGATGTCTCCCAGTCCCAACTGTAGGGACGGCAGCTCGTCGAAGTTGTTGCCGCCATTTTCGCCAGCATTGCGCTTACGCCCTCGCTCGAGCAGATGGTCGAAGTGGGCTGAGCGACCGGTACCAGCGTTTGCTTGCGACAGCGACGCGCCCTGTTGCTGCTGTTGCTGTTGGGGCTGCTCCTGTGTGGTGGTAGCACCGAAGAGGGAGGATTGGCCCAGGCCGCTCGTTTGCTGCGTGTTGTTGGTCGTTGTCGCTTGCGATGTCGGTTTATTGAAGAGTCCGCCGAAGCTGCTCGGTTGCGCTTGCGTTTGCGGCTGTGAGGTCGACCCAGCGCCAGCGAACAGTGAGGGTGTCGTAGTTGCTGCCGGCTTTGCTCCGCCCAAGCCACCGAAAAGTCCGCCTCCAGTGCTCGGTGCTTGTGTCGTACTGGATTGCGCATTCGAAGTACTTCCGCCCAGATTGCCAAACAAGCTTGGTGTAGTACCGCCTGATGCGCCTGTTGTTGCACCAAACAGCCCTCCGCCTGATGTGCCAGAAGAGGCGGGCTGGGAGCCTCCAAGATTGCCGAAAAGCGACATGGTGGTTGTACGGGGCGGTGTTGTTGATGGTGCCGAAAACAAACCTGGAGAAACGAGATCGCGTTGTTCAAGCTTGAGAGCTCGGACCGCTGTGATCCCTGTCTTTCAGGTACGCGTCCATGTGAAAGAACTAGTATCATCCCAAGCTTACTGAGACAATCGACAAGTGTGCGTCAAGTAATATTCAATCTCCGTTATCCGTGTATTCGGCTCTCCAAAAAACCACGAAGCCGACTTCGGATGTTTGATGAGAGCGTGGTACGACTGGCGTGTCCGGCTGCCCTTCAATGAGCCAAATGAGAATGGGAGCATGGCCGAACGACATAAAGCTTTGTGTGCAAAGTAATGGCAATGTGACAAACGATTATACAAATATTCCGTGTCCATTATGTTATGCGAGCCCAACTCGTCTTCGTGACCTATTCTAGCAAACGAGTGACAGTATTGATTCAAAAGCGAACGTCTATCGCAGTTATTTCGAGATGTGATCTTCATGTCCTACTGCAATCTCATTCCAACAACACCTAGTTATGACTGATTTCTTGCCTGAGCCGCCGTTCTTCCACCGTGTCCCAAGCCCTTGGAGACACAGACCAGCCCGATACATTCGCGGTCAACCCCATATATCCAATGGATGGTATCAAGACGAACGAAAACTGCGACACCCAAAAATATCGAAAGCTTTCATCTGGCCAAAAGATGGTAGAAATGGTTCTAAGTTGGGTCGAATGAAAGACATTCTCCAAGGCAAAGGTCCAGACATCTTCGTTGGCTCTGCGGCTGATGCAAGAGATTTTGTGGCCAAACGCCCATCGCGATCCCAATGGTCCAAACATGTCAATCTCGATGACCGTTTCTCGGAGCCCGCCTTCAACCCTACCAAGTTCGCCCCTTGGACAGAGGGAGGTGTGCTGTCAGGTGGACGTTCACGCGAAATGGTTTACGACTTCCGTACGCGAAAGTATGTAGATCGGCATCCTCGCATGTGGACAGACGCGAGATGGCAACCAGATCCTTATAAGAACAGAAAATGGAACATGTTTCCCGAAGCTCTGCGCGATGTGTATGGTGGTTGGTGGCAGGATGGACGATACCTACCATTTCTTTAGGGTGGCCCATTTATGAACGACATGGACAGACATGTGTCGTAATGCCTTGCTAATTGGAAAAAGTCTTTCAGATGCAGCCTTCGTGGGTCGCTTCCCATATAGTTTGAGGAGTCTCAGTCGTGCTGGCGACCTGTTTGCTTCGTCTTGCGGTGGGTGTCAGTGCCGACTTGTCGAGAAGTTTTCCACACCTGGCACACGAAGTTCCTTTCACGGTCTTGTATGCAGCAATCATATCCTGTTATGGTTAGCATACAGTCAAACCATACCCATGGCATGGAATTTCATGTACGTACCAGTAGATATCTCAAATCGTCAGCATTTGGCCGAGATGCAATGCATCTTGTGATGGCCAAAAAGGGCTCTGTTGTACCCAAGCACTCGGCGTTAAGTTTGTAGCGTCCGTTTGCTTCGCGCTCGATGCCAATACGGAATTTCAGCATGAGAGAACCGGAAACGAACTGCATCTGTTACGTATGTGAGCAGATAGTCATTCGAGGCGTATGGATGCCATACATATATGCTGCGATCATCATCTTGTGCCTCCACTTTTAGAGTTGGGTGTGCCTTGCGGAAATCCACCACGATTCGAGATACATCCTCTTCAGTGAGTGTGGCACCGGCATCATCTACGTTTTCAGATCCCTTGCTCTTTGACGACTCCTTTGCCTTCCGTGCTCTTTCTACCCATCCGTGGGAGGGCATGGAGACGCTTTCCGATAGATCCGCATTTGCGCCGAAGCTTTGCTTGACGTGCTCGAATGTGCTCTGCATATCGGGGTCTTTCCATTGTTTCGTGAGCGCATTCAGGTTGTTCTGGGAACCCTTCACGCCCTCAACATATAGCTTATAAGTCGCGGAACTCCGAGGACGATGGAAAGGCTCGATGATGCGCGGGATAGCTAGGCGCATGTCGTTGATCTGTCGCATATCAGTATGAGTTCAGGAACGGCGTTAGGGAAGTCTCACCTGCGCCTGGAGCTGCTCCAATTGTGCGAGTGCTGCTGTACATTGCGCTTCGTCCCAGCCAGCGCCGGGTTGCGCTGCGCCTTCAGTAGCACCCATAGGATAATGTTAATAGAAGCGAAAAGTCACAAACGTTAATGCGAAGGCGATTCAAGAATAAAAAATATATAGTAATATCATGCGATAATGTGAATCTTTGAGGCTTGCCCTGAGTGAAGTGAGAAGAGTGACCCACGGACGCTTGACGGTCGGCAGGTCCACCCAGCGCTCCTTCCCCACCGACCGAACGCGCTCTCGCGTGGTCACGACCTGAAACAAAGCCCTCCATACTTCACAGGGCAAAATGGCGAACAACGACAAATGGGAGAGTGATCAAGGGCACTAGATAAGTTGATGAAATATTTATTTGAATGAAAGATTGCATGCTGTGAAGATATGTAATACTTGACGATTCTCGAACAAATCCTTTGCGCCTGGGGTTGATATACAATACACGCACAAGCTCCTCATAACTTGGCCTTCGCCTTGACAACACTCTCTTGAGGGCCGATAAGCGGATCATACACATTCATCCCCAGAGTGTCGTGAGGTACAGTGGCAGTGTGCATACTGAGTCCTCTTGTGTCAAGCATAGAAGGATTCAAGTCCGCAATGCTTGAGGCACCGATCAGGCGCATGTTCATCTCCATCTCATCCTTCAGAAGCTGCATAGCCCGGTCGACACCTGGGAGACCGTATGCGGACATGGCGTAGAGGAAAGGTCTGCCAATACCTACACCCTTGGCGCCTAGTGCGACAGCCTTGATGATATCTGTGGCACGTCGGACACCACCATCGATGTAGACTTCAATGCGGTCTTGCCAGCCGCGTGCGCGAAGAACGGGCATAACCTCTGCGAGCACTTCGACACCGGAGCGAGCAAAATCGAGCTGACGACCACCATGGTTTGAAAGAACTACGCCTTCGACGCCAACTTCAACGGCGCGGATAACATCCTCAACACACTGCACACCCTTGAGAATAATGGGCATCTTGGTGATGCTCCTGAACCACGGGATATCTTTCCAGCTGAGGCTCGGGTCAATGAAGGACGAGATGGCTCGTGCGGCGCCTTGACTACGGTCAACATTGTCTCCGCCGGTGCTCTGAACGTTGCTTCCGACATCGTCGAACTTGCTCCGCATGTCTTTCTCGCGACGACCGAGCTGTGGTGCATCGACGGTGATGAAGAGACCCTTGCAGCCGCGTTTCTCGGCGTGCTGCACGATCCGCTTTGTGACCTCGCGATCCTTGTTGACGTACAATTGCAGCCATTGGACCTGACCGTCTTTTGCTTCGTCCATGATTTCGTCAAACGAGCAAGATGCCAGTGTGGGTATCATCTGGATGACATTGTGCTTGTGTGCGCCGCGCGTGAGCACAACCTCTCCTTCTGGATTGCCGAGCTTGCCCAATGCCGTCGCAGTGACATAGAAGGGAATGTCGCATTTGCTGCCGAGCATGGTGGTGGACATGTCGACCTTCTCGACATCGATGAGTACGCGTGGCCGGAACCAGATCTTGTGAAATGCGCTGTGGTTTTCTCGTAATGTCTGGAAAGAGTCAGTCTGGGTAAGGACATGGTATTTGGGATGAGCCCACGATTTCGTCGTCTGCACCACTGGAGTAGTATGCCCATGCAGTCTTCTTCATGACCTTGCGCGCGACAGCTTCGAAGTCCATCAAGTTGTAGCATTGCTCCAGGATGGGCATGCGCTCAATGCGCTTCTGTCTCTCTTCCTCATCAGGGTCGACCTCCTTCGCCTCTTCCTTGACCGTGTTCATGTCCACCTCGCCCAAGTGCTTGGATTTATCGAGATACTTGTCAAGAGTGTCGGGCGGGTGAATGGGCTCGAACGCCTCAGTACTGTCCTTGCCGGCATACTTTAGGATAATCTTTTGGCCTCCGGGATGCTCAGGCAGGAACTCGGTAACATCGTAGGCGCGGCCGTGGACAATGACCCAGCAGGATTCGGCGTTGTTGTGCTCAGCGACCTGCTCGCCGGTGAGCTTCACCTTCTGGGTGTCATTACTGTCGTGGTTCATCGTCGCGGTGTTGTGGTAGGCGCAGGATGCTGGAGGATAGGTAATCAAGTCGCGAAGATAGGCCAGAAAATATATGGAGCCGATCTAGGTTATTTCCAGGCACTAAAAGCTTGGGCGGGCGGAAGGGCCAGGTTGGTGACGGCAGCATGTTTGGGGTGATAGCTCGGTACATTCATCCCCGCAGGCTTCGGATGCTGGTCGCGGAGAATGGAAGCAAGCTAGTACCGTCAAGCTCGAGGCGAGCTGGATGTCCGGGCTTGTCACATTTGGTATCCCGTCTCGATCCCTGACAGTCGACCGCCGACCGGTCTTCCTAGAGATATATCATCGGTCGGAGGAACGTGGACTTTTGTTTCAGGGTAAGTGGCAGCGTTTTTAATCGCTACCTATCGGTCGCGTGGAAGAAGCGGGCTCTGCTCCGAAACGCGGGGAAAGCAACGACAGCTAGCTGGGTGGGCATGACGTGCATTGTTGACTGCCCAACCCACGAGAATCAACATGGCGCGTCATCCCCAGGATGGTAATCAGTCTCCAGAATGCGATCACGATGGACGCCCATCTTTCCATGTTCGATGCGTCCCTCCCACATCTGATTCACATTGGCTTAAGGCGTCTGTCACATGGGCTCCCCTAGCCAAGAGAATCGGTGCAAGCGCCAAACACGGTGGACTGTCATTCGGTCACTCACCTCCTGCCTAATATTCTCAGACAGGCTCTACGTCAATTCTCTGCCTCTTCTCACAGTTGTCGGCGACACGCTTTCACTGCACGCCATGCAACTTGTCCTGCGACCGCCTACCACGCATTTCCTTTCTTCCTGGCTCCGAGGCACCGCGCATACCTGAGTCGACCCCACAGCATCCGCCTTCCGCCCCACCCCTGCACCGCCGACCGTCGACGAATACACACACCTTTGGCGAGTGACGACAGTTTGTACCGCCATGTCCAACAGCCTTGAAGCAAAGATTGTGGTCCTCGGCAGCCAAGGCGTTGGGAAGACTTCCCTCGTCCACCGATATGTGAAGAACGCCTTTACACCTCCTACAACACAGTCGACCGTCGGCGCATCCTTCTTGACCAAGAGGGTCGTGGATATCGATACGTCCACCGTAGTCCGGTTACAAATATGGGACACAGCAGGTCAAGAGCGCTTCCGGTCCATCTCCAAGCTATACTACAGAGGTACGCCAATAATCTCCTTACTTCGAATACGTCTCTGCAGCCCGCTGTGTTGATTTTTGGAATATACTTTGCAATGGCCGAGATGACATCCTTCCACTCTTCGCCGTAGCCCAAACACTCTACCGAAAAGCTAACCAACTCTTCTGCAGGTGCAAACGCTGCAGTACTATGTTACGACATCACCGATCCCTATTCGTTCGACGAGATGGGCCGCTGGTTTAAAGAACTCAAAACCAACCTCGGAGAAGACGTGATTCTCCATGTTGTAGGAACAAAGTCAGATGTCGTAGCCGAAGACCCTGCCAAGCGAAAAGTGCCGTTTGAGCGCTGCATTGAATACGTCGCCGAAAATCTCTACCCTACGCAGAATGGGCCGCCACACAGTGCTCAGACAAGCGGCTGGGGCTCTGTACCGGCAGCCTTCCACACCGGCGGTATGGCATCGCCACAGAGTAACCGATCGAGCGGCTTCTGGGGACAAGATTTGGGCTGGGATTGTTGTCATGAGATCAGCGCCAAAGATGGTGAAGGTGTAGACGAGGTCTTCCGTGTTATCACCCGCAAGTTGGTCGAACAGCAACAGAAGAAGCTCGAAGAAGAACAACGCCAGTACGCTATGGCTGGAGTCACTCCGGCCATGGACAACAACGGCAATGTGGCTGGGTATTTCGATTACCCTGGGAACGGCAATGGCAGTTTCCGCTTGGGCACAGGCGATAAGAGGCGGAGTTGGTTGGGCTTTCCAACTACACCAGCCGTCGCTGTACACCAACAAGATTGGGAAGAAGACATCAATCGGGTGCAGAAGAGCAAGAGTGGTAGGTGTTGTTAACAACAAGTCTGCACCCTTGTCACTCGGTCTATGTCTACACCTTTATCTGTGCTTCCAATCCCCATGCTCTCACAGTTGGCGGGTATCACGACTAGATTCATCTTGGTATGCCCACGCATATTTTCCTTTTCTTCATCTCCTCTTATGTACTATGCACTCGTGTGTGCTGTAGTACTTTCATTGCTTCTCTAAGGCTCCTTTTCCTATCTCCTATCTGTTGATCGTAGCGAGGCGTTCGAGCGTAGTCTTTGTCCCGTTCATGTCTTGCATTTGAAGCGATCCTGAGCATGTAGTTTGCGTATTCTTTCTCATTGTTCGCTTCATGGCCGGCTCGATTCAAATCACACGAGCGTGATCCATATATATCACACGAATAATAATGCGTCACGTCGAGGCTATAGCCATGCGTACACAGAAGTCGTATTTCCCGTCCCAGATACGATTCGGATTCGAGTTGCTACCTCAGTTCCCAACAGACACCACAAGAATAGCGCACTTTGTTTCTGTCGCTGCAAGGCTCTTTCGTCAGAGATAGTGTCTTCGCTGAGCGAGTCGTTCCCAGCTTCGATGCACTGACTTATCACGGGTCGAGCAGAGGATGCAGTGTTAAATCGACTCCGTGGAACAATTCAAATGTCATATAGCAAACATTTTCATGGTATAAATTCAGGTATCATGGCCCCAATCAAGCTAGTATGGGTGTCCGTTTTCATGTGCAGTATGCGCCTACTGTAGAAAGTGGAGGGGTCTGTATCGTACAGAGGTATCGAATCTGCTATGCTAATCATTTTCCGTAACGCCGTGTCAGATGCTGTTTTGATTATTTGTCTCGTCCCTACACAAGTGTGCCGTCTGGCTCTCCCGGCAGCCTCTTGACACGCCTCTGTTCCCAGTCCTCGAGGTCTTTAGCCTGCAATCTCTGTGCAGTTGTCAGCCCATGCTCGTCCAATACCTATATTGCCTGTTATACGTACGTAGTACTCATCCTTCATATTAACCTTCCTCCGCTCTCCTCTCAGGCCCATAGCCTGCTCATGTGTTATTTGTTGGTTCTTGCGATCGTAGCGCTCATATCGCAGCGCTGTGGCGGGCGTCAACATGAAAGACCCTAGAACGATGGTGGAGAGGAATGGTAGGCCGAAGAGTAGGAACGGATGTTTCTGGAGTGATTTTCGGTATCGGGCGGCGAGCGAGTTGGGTAGTGTGGCGCTGAAAGATTTCGAAGTGAATGGGCCAGGCATGGCTGCGGCTTAGAGGATGCTAGATCCTGCAGACGTGCACAGTAGGCGCCGATATGCGTATAATGCGTGCTCGATCTATGTAGCGTTTGGGGTTGCGATCTCGGTGCTTTCGATGTTGAGCAAGGGTGGTTCGATGCTTTCAGGTGGAATTGCGGAGTAGCGCTCTTTACCAAGATAGAACTTAGCGGGGTCTCGTGACTACGCGACTTCGCGTCAATGTAATCCATACAGTTTCTCTGTGGACCTTACACACCATACACACATCTGCCTACATCGCGCATTTTGCGACGACTGCCGGACTATCGTATCAATAACACGAAACAACACTCGTTGAAAGCCTGGGACTACCGCACAGCAAATTGCAGAGACCCCCACCCGCGTCCAATCAGACGCCACTCCATCAACAATACCATCTTGAATCAGTCGAACTTTGTACAGGCATTCGCTTAAAGCCAAATCCAGCATCACCGCCAACAACCAGGTGTCCGGCCATCTTTCAAGGCTGCACTCTTTCCCAACCTACGCGACATGCCACGTCGGTAACGTGCATCATGGCCCGCAAAGGCGGGAGCTCGACTCAGCGGATGGCACCGCCACCAGTGACTAACGGCAATTCGAATGGCGTTCCGCCCCCTTCGACCATCGCGGCTCAAATTGTACATAACGCTTCAAATGTCAATGCGCGGCATGGCCAAGTAACCAAAGTCAGTTTTGGTGAACTAGTAAAGGAGTTTCTTCAACATCCAAACACCGACGAGCCTGATCAACAACTCGTAGCGCTCGTGTGCGTCATCGCGGAAGCCGGTCTTGAGGGACTGTTCAAACATGATCCGTTTGCCCAGGACCAGCAGAGGCAGCAAGGCATTGACAGTATTGCCGCGCTCACCTTCATCCTGCAACAGAAGCCACATCTACTGCTGAGCACCCGGGACAGCGAAGACGACGGTATACCTCGGCCTCCACTTATTCTCTGGTTATACCCCAAGTTACTGGGCCTGTTGACGTATACAACACTCAATTCTGTGCACGAACATGTACAGCAACTGCTCCATCTGTGCCTAAGCGTGCTTGCTCGGACATCTGCCCTCTGGCGCTCAGCTGCAGTAGTCTCACAACTTTACAGGTCGTGTGTGCAATGTGAGTACTAAGCCAGAACCCTTTCCCCATCCGCTTACCTCTTTCCAGCTATCCTGACAAAATTGCAATCCGTGGACGATCCGGTTTCGGTACCAGCGCCGTCTTTCAGTGTTGCCCTGCCATCATCAAGCAACATCAGTGTGTTCTGGCCAGAAAGCCAGCAAATTATTGCTTTGCCCCACGATCTGCAGCGAACCATCACTTCGCAACTCGGTGCCATCAACGTTGGTTTCTGTCTGCTTCTGGCGTTGGCTAATGCTATCCAGCCTCAAGAGAGGGAATCTGTGATGCCTGGTGCCTTAGATCATCATCTACCCTGGATCATAGATAGTGCTCAAGCTTTATGGAAATATTTCAGGCGATGGACAACAAGCTCGGCGAAGCGTCCTTTCTCCGATGAGATTACGCTTGTATATTTGCAGCTACTAGAAATACTGTTTCTTCCTTCATTGGCGCCTGGAGACCGCACCTGTACTTCGTTGAAGAATGCGCAGGCACTAATCACTAGCCTCCGCGAGTTTGTTGATGGCTTACCATCATTGCCGGCATCAGAGAGCAGTCAAGTGCGGCTGGCCATCATCCTCACCCACTTACGCAGTGCACTTGTCTCATCGCCTGAAAATATCCCGACAATCCGGCGTCGGCAGGAAGCGAGCAGAACAATCGTTTTACACGATGTTGAGGAGATTATAGCTAAGGCTTGCCGGGATGTGGATCATTTTTCTAAGCTCCATAAAGACTTACAGGTATGAAACGAGCACTGCAGTGTCGATCTATACTAACATATACCAGCTGGCCCTTTGTCTCTGGACCGCACCAGGCACATGGCCTATGTCTGTCGCAGACATACGTAAAGAGCTCTGTGAGAGTGACACTGGCAATTTTTCGAACGCTCAACTTGCTGAGGAATCAACGCGAATCCTAAAACTATTCCGCGTATTAAACCTAGGAACCGAAGAGAGGCCTACCAAGCGGCGAAAGACATTACCAGACACTTCTGACATCAATCGTACTATATATGAGCGACTCATGATGGTATTGAATGGCAGTAGTCAGGACTCACCTGTTTTCAACCTGTCTAATCTTCACAACATCATGGAGTAAGTCGTCTCAATTGGTTCTGATAGCCATTGCTGACTTCAACAGAACAAGGTACTCATCCATGATGGACGACGAACGGCAGAACGAGCGTACACAAGTGGATATTATGACAGCATTCACAAAGATTGCATGTGCTGGGTCCCGGTGTTTGGAACCATCACAATCAGCTTCGCAGCCACTGCAGTCACTTGTCTGTATGTTGTGTGATGCAAACTCACGAAATGGACGAGACGCCGCGATGCATTGGAACGAACAGGACGATGCAGAGAGCTGGAAGGACGCTATTGCTGCCATGCTTGCGATCACGAAAGAACCAGAGTTCGAGGCGTCATCGCAATCCCGGGTGCTTATGGCTGTGGCCATTGGCCGTGTCTACAACCATATCTCTGACCCTGAGTATCTGTCTCTCGAGGTATGTGAGCTAGGACAGTGGCTGCTTGCGTCTATGAGTAGATCTTTACGGGAACTGAAACTCGCTGCGACAAGTTCCTTGATGGTGTTTTTACGAGATGACATATCCAAAACCGTTCGTGGGAAAAATCGGCGGTCTTTCGTAGAGTTTCTGGATGCTCTGGCGAAACGCAACATCTTGTCCGATCAGGAAACGTTGATCATCGCATATGGTCGAACCGCATTGACATGCGGCGAACTAGAGCTACCCATAATATTACACCACCTCATCGAATACCTAGGCCATCCAAACGCACTGGTATGCGGTATGGCTTACCGCGAACTTGAGTCGATCGCTAAAGGGTATTCCATGGATACGATGCAGCTTTTAAGTCCTTATTGGAAGGTCATTGGCTTCTCAGTCATCAAGGACATCGTCAACCAGCCTCAGAAGGCGCAGCAGCTGGCTGACTTGACTGAGCAAAGCGTCCGTCAATTATTGGTGCAGACCCAAGCGGATACTCTTCCTCATCTTGTATTGAGCAAACGAAGAGACATCATTGAGAAGATCGCCCAGGCACGGAAAGCTTCTGTCATTGACGTCTTGACGCATCCAAGAGCCAATCTTGCGAGGATACTCGCCTTGCTTTTATCACAGCCCGTCGCTGAAGTCGAGCAGACAGCGATGGAGACTCTAGCAGCCATTGAGCCTGCTATCCGGGATGGCAGTAATAACAAGCTCGAATCTTGGGTTGCACTAGATATAACTGGCGTTGCCATCGAGATACTGAAACTAGCGGCGGACCAAGAAATTGTTAGGAAAAAGCCCTATTACAAAGGATTCAGTACCCTTGCATCGCTCGCGCCGGACACGAAATCAGGTCAGCGTAAATCTACTTCAAAGACCAAGAACCTGGATGCATTCTGCGAGACACATATTCTAGGCATTATAGCATATTTCTCGAATGTCATCGAAGCCCCCAACGCCCAGGGAAAGGCAACACCCCATACAATGCCCGAAAGGAAGAGATGCATAGCTGCTATAGGGGATCTCATCCACCTTGCGCGATTTAGCGTAAATGGAGCGTTGCCACAGATTCGCGCCTGTCTCCAATCGGCCATGGGAGATCCAGACCTATGCGACGATACATTCACTGTCTGGTCTGCGTTCTTGGCAGCTCTCGATGGAGACGAGACAATGCTAGTCGTTGATCAAACATTCGCATTGATCGTACAACACTGGTCAATTTTCTCCGAAGATACGCAGCTCAAGGCTCACAAAGCTATTGACGGCATAATACAGCAGTATAATGCGCAACTTCGAGATAGAGTGGAATACCTTCCTTCATTAGCGGGCATACCAATGCTCTCCAAAATTGAGGGAGAATTGGTAAAGTTCAAAGATATGGTCGAGACCATCAAGGTCTTCCATGCCTTCAGCAATCGATGCAAAGATCAGAACTCAGTCGTAGTGCGACAGGCACTGATAGAGCTTGTGCCATTTCTAGATGCCAACCAGCGGGAGCTGCACCAATCAGTAGTCGGTCAAAAGCCTCTCCCGATATTAGCGGCGTTGACGCGGTCTCTCCTTGATGCCAGCGTACGGTTCTCTGAAGACTATTCTGATATCACCATCCTTTGTGCTCAATGCCTTGGTATCATCGGCGGTCTTGATCCATATCGAGTGGAAACAGTTCGTGAAAAGAAGCGCGTCTTGATGCTATCAAACTTCTCACGGAGAGACGAGGACATCGATTTTGTGGCATTGCTCCTTGAGCAAGTTCTGGTCAAAGTCTTCCTGTCTACCACAAATGCTAAAGCACAGGGCTGGATCGCCTATGCCATGCAGGAGATGCTCAAGCATTGCGGGTTCAGCGCTCTCCGCGGGGCAAAGCCTCGGTCTTCGCAGACTAGCACAGAGGCACAACGCTGGAATGATATTCCAGAGGCCGTCAGAACTGTTTTGACGCCCTTCCTGGATTCCAAATATTCCGTCAACATGAATCCATCAATACAGTACGAGGGTCCGACATATCCGATCTTCAACTCGAAGCTTAGCCATGGAACCTGGCTCCAGACCTTTGTTTACGACCTGTTGCGAAAAGGGCAAGGTGTCAATGTTGAGATGGTCTTCCCTGTTCTGGCTAGAATCATCAGAGGCTACGATTTATCAATAGCTACATTCATCCTTCCGTTTGCAGCTCTTAACGTTATCGTATCTGACAGCGATGAGAACAAGGCAAATGTTGGCCGAGAGCTCTTGCAGGTGCTGCAGGCCGACTTGCGTACGGCGGAGCAACACGAATCTTCCATCATCAAGCAGTGCAGCGAGGCAAGGCCCTATGACTACTCCATCAAACTTTATTCGCTGACCCATCGCAGAATGTGTTTCAGACACTCGACTACCTGTCACTATGGCTACAAGAGAAGAAGAAATCCCTGATTGACGCAAGAACAATGGCGGGAAAAACGGGACGTGGTGTGTCCGAGGACGAGGAGATGAACTCGATCAAGCAAGTCAGTCGCGTTGAAGGGATACTCCAGCTTATCCCCGCGGAGATTATATCCCGACGAGCCGTTGAATGCGGTTCGTATTCTCGAGCCTTGTTTCACTGGGAACAATACTTTCGCCAGCAGCGAGACAAGAAAGCGGCGTCGAAGCAGCCCTTCCCCGAGAAAGACAGTTTGCTGCAACATTTACAAATGATCTATGCGCATATCGACGAGCCGGACAGCATTGAGGGGATATCGGCCCATCTCAAGGTCCTCAATCCTGAGCAGCAGATTATCGAAGATCGTAAAGCTGGACGGTGGACAGCGGCTCAGAGTTGGTATGAGATTGCACTTTCTGAAAAACCGAACGATGTTGAGACTCAGATTAACCTTCTCACCTGCCTAAAAGAGTCTGGTCAATATGGTGAGTCTGAATAAGTGAATTCCATGAAGAGTAGCTAATGCTCGTTCAAGACTCAATCCTCAATTACGTGGACGGCTTCCATGCGACTAACTCGCTTTTGAGTAGTACATTGCCTTTCGCAGCTGAAGCAGCTTGGTCTACTGGTAAATGGGAACAACTCGATCGACTTCTTGGTACAGTTAATGTCGCAGACTCGAATCTTTTCATAGATTTCAACGTTGGACTAGGCCGAGCGTTGTCAGCACTTCGTCACAAGAACCGTATCGAGTTTCAGGCCATTATTGCAAAACTGCGAGAAGTTCTGGCAAAGAGCATGTCCCCATCCACCACAGCTTCTGTACAAGCATCGCGTGAACACCTTGTGAAATTGCACGCGCTATACGAGATAGAAGCTGTAAGCGGTATGAGCAATGGGGTTGCGGCGGACCGTGAAGTTATCCTTGAGAACTTAGATCGCCGGTTGGACGTCATTGGAGCGTACACATCAGACAAACAGTATCTTCTGGGACTACGCCGTGCCGCAATGACATTGTCTCGGTGAGCAACCTGACCTGGCATATGTTGAGTATTGCTGACAGACAATAGCATCGAATTTACGAAACTCGACATCGCTTCGGCATGGCTTACAACAGGACGGCTGGCTCGTAAGGGAGGCTTCATGACGACTGCTTTCAATTCAGTGCTACACGCCGAGCGACTTGGAGATAACGCATCTAAAATCGAATATTCGAAGCTTCTTTGGAAAGAAGGTCACCATCGTAAGGCCATTCAAAACCTTCGTGGTGCTATCGACAGCAACGCGTTCCAGCGGGAGGACACCGTGCCCATCAACATCTCTGTTACTACAGCCGGTCGAGGCGAAGGGCATTCCATGAACAAGGTTAAGTGCCATGCTCAACTACTGCTCGCTAAATGGCTAGATCGCGCAGGTCAGACCCAGTCGATGTCTCTGAAAGAGGAGTATGTAATTGGTGTGCAAACGTATCCCCGGTGGGACAAAGGTCACTACTACCTGGGTCGATGGTATCTGAAGCTTCTGGAGTCAGAGAAGCAGCAGCCAATAACAAAGCAGAGCTCCGAGTATCTCTCAGGAAGCCTGGTCAAGCTGGTCGTTGAGAACTTCACTCGCTCTACGGTGTATGGGACGAAGTACTACTACCAGACCCTGCCCAAGATACTTACGCTATGGTTGGACATGGGTATGGAAGTCACGCACAACATGCCCAGAACCACCAAAGATAAGGAGTTCCATGGGCATCGGCTCAACTACCTTGAACACATCAATAAATATGTCGCGCGCTACGCAGCAGAGCGAATGCCTGCATTTGCATGGTATACCGCTTTCCCGCAGATCATCACACGCATCAGCCATCCAAACAAGAGCGTTTGGGAGGCTCTCCAGGCGATTATCATCCGAGTCGCTTCATCGTACCCGCAGCAGGCGCTTTGGGCTCTATTTGCCGTCCTTCACTCTACACAGGATGACCGCAGAGCCCGGGGCACTGCCGTTCTGCAGAAACTGCGCGTAAGTTCTCGACCTGGTCAAGGTCAGAAACCAGCTAACAACAAAAAGGACGCAACGAAGCGCAAGGGAGCTTTCGTCGACCTCAAAACCCTAATTGGTCAAGGACAGCGACTTACTGATGCACTCCTGGCAGCTTGCGACGCTCCTATAGAGTCGCGAATAGCACGCGTGAGTCTTTCGAAGGAGCTGGGATTTAACCACAAGTTGGCTCCCACGCTTCTAGTGGTACCTGTTGAGGCCAATCTGCTTCCCAACCTGCCTGCTAGCAACGACAGCCAGTCCCTCCGTCGTTACAACCCATTCCCAGCCGACGCCATCACGATACAGTCATTTGATGACGATGTACTGGTCTTGTCGTCTCTACAGCGTCCACGAAAGCTCAACGTACGCGGTTCAGACGGACGCTCATACGGCTTACTTTGCAAACCAAAAGACGATCTACGCAAGGATCAGCGGCTCATGGAATTCAACGCCATGATCAATCGGGCTCTCCAAAAGGACATCGAGTCGAGCAAACGTCGCCTGTACATCAAGACGTACGCCGTGACACCTCTCAACGAGGAGTGCGGAGCCATTGAATGGGTCGAAGGCCTCAAACCCATGCGCGACATCATCCTTCGTTTCTACCGCCAACGCAACATTGCAATCGACTATACAGAGATTCGTCTATTGCTAAACGAAGCCTGCTCATCACCATCCAAAGTCACCATCTTCACTGAACGCATCCTCGGTAAGTTCGTGCCTGTGTTACATGAATGGTTCGTAGAGACGTTTCCGGAGCCAGAAGCGTGGTTCGCAGCGCGTCTTCGGTACACACGGTCTTGCGCGGTAATGAGCATCGTTGGGCACGTACTAGGTCTAGGAGACAGGCACGGTGAGAACGTTCTGCTTGAGCAAGGCGATGGTGGCACCTTCCACGTAGACTTCAACTGCCTCTTCGACAAGGGTCTCACGTTTGAGAAACCTGAACTCGTGCCCTTCCGCCTGACACACAACATGGTCGACGCCATGGGTCCCCAGGGCGTTGAAGGTCCGTTCCGCAAGGCCGCTGAGCTCACGTATAAGCTGCTTCGACAGCACGAAGACACGCTCATCACTATTTTGGAGACATTCGTGCATGATCCCACGGCAGACTTTCTGGGTGGTAAACGGAGGAAGAAGATTGTGGGTGTACCGGATACGCCGCAGGAGGTCCTTGATGTCACGCGCACAAAGGTGAACGGGTACTTGAAGGGGGAGAGTGTACCGTTGAGTGTAGAGGGGTACGTCGAGGCACTCATTGCTATGGCGAGGGACCCGCACAACTTGGCAGCCATGTACATTGGGTGGTGTGCTTTCTTCTAGGTGGTTCATCTTTTCAGTAAAAGCAGGCGTGGAGGAGTCATGTCGAGGGCGTTGTACAAATCACACTGAAAAAGTGTCAGCAATTGAAACTCCCCTTCATCTCAAATACCACTGCAGTACAAGCGAAACTATTAGTAGCCCTTTACGTGCCATGTGAAGACTGACTCTTGCATATACAAGATTGGCATTACAATACGTAATTGTAAAAAGTAGGTACTCCCATTCTCTTGAAAACGCCGAAACAAAGACTCGTAAGAAAAGGTGATGCTATCCAAAAGACACGCTCGAGCGGATATTCGTCGTATAGCCTCGTTGTGTGATGGATCTCAGCCCAATGCGTCCGCTGCTAACTTTGCACCTATTCTTAGCAGCACTTCCCACCCATGCCAGCGTTTCCACTGTCTTGCCCACCAACATCCACCTTGGGCACCGCAGTCTGATCCGTCCTTGCGGTGTCGATTAGCCTCTTCTTGATATCTCCGGCCAAGCTGTAAAAGGCCTGGTCGACGTTGATGTTGCTCTTGGCCGAGACCTCGAGGAAGGGAATGCCAAGTTCGTCAGCGAGGGCCTGGCCCTGTTCTGTAGAGACGGCGCGCTTCTCTTCCCAATCGCACTTGTTGCCAATAAGAATCTTGTTGACACCCTCGGTGGCGTGTTGCTCGACGTTGGAGAACCATGTGCGAATGTCTGTTGCCCAGTGTTAGCCTCTAGTATCGATGCCCGCTTGTTGCTGTGCTATGCAGGATACCCAGCGGAGACGTACTGTTGAAGCTCCTTTCATCTGTAACGTCGTAGACCAGCAGAATGCCCATAGCGCCTCTGTAGTAGGCCGTGGTGATGGTCCGGAAACGCTCCTGCCCGGCGGTATCCCATATCTGCAGCTTCACGCGCTTGCCGTCGAGCTCGATGGTGCGGATTTTGAAGTCGATGCCGATGGTGGTGATGAACGAGGGCGTGAACGAGTCCTCACTGAAGCGCAGCAGACAGCATGACTTGCCTACGCCCGAGTCGCCTATGAGGAGCAGTTTGATCTACGTGGGGGGGAAGTGTTAGTGTGGGTCTTGGTATACAAGCGGTGGAGGGGCGCTCAGGGTCCAGCAAGTACGGGGTAGGGCGAGCTTACGAGAAAGTCGTAATTCCTGGATCCAGCCATGTTGGTGTAGGGCGGCGATATGCGTTATCGGTCGGTGCGTGGTATGCGGAGTTGGCGCCCGCCGGTTTGGGGTATACGGTGAGCTGGCTTCCTTTGGCGGTTGCACGAGGATGCCGGTGATGTACGCTCGACTCGACAGTGCAAGGTGCAGGCGATGGGTTTCGGTCTTGGGTATATGTCTGTCGCTGTGTGGTCAACAGCAGGCAGCGAAGTGAATGGCGTTGGAGTTCACAGGTGCCAGCCAACGTTGGACGTTAGCGCCAATAGTCCGCACGGGCTCACCACCTTCGTCACTGTCGTCCGCAGCGAGTGATGAGAGGCGGATTGGTGGCAACTGCGCTCTGGGCCCGACTCGGCTCTGACTGCCGGCATCACGACGCGAACCACAAGACATGGTCATGCTGTGGTGCCTGGTGTAGAAAAGAAAGGTAGGTCTCTCGTGTCGCCCTGCACCTTGTCGCACCTAGGCGGCTTTGACCCTCACATGCTCGACTCACGCCTACTGGAGAATACGATTCGCAGTGCACGAACTTGCTCGTAAATTTGTATTCAAGTGGGTATGTACGCTGATCATAAATGTGCTTTTACCGGGTCATCCCAGTTGCAAAAGACATGCTTCCTCAAGTAAACCATTTTGAGTACGCCCACCGGATACGCTCGACTACTTTTTGCTGTCGCTGCAGCCCACTCCGCACATCAACAAGCTCATCTATCTCCACCAACAGGTCGTGGAAGATGCGTCGCGGTAGGATTCCACTCGCAGCTTGTCGCAGTAGATGCACTTCGCAAAGAAGGAGACCGTGGTCCTTGTAAGAGATCTCGCCATCCTCGGTAGCGGTCGCGCTGGTGAGGATGCGATCAATGTTGCGTAGGATGAGCAACATGCGACCCTGCCTTGCCCACATCTGCACGCCTTTACGGCTACTAAACACACCTCGAAGGTATCGGTACACGCCAATACTGACGAGTACACCGGGCGTCAGACCAATAAAGCCAAAGAGCAATTCTTGACTCTTGAGGATGCTGTCGATACCACTCATGGCAACTTCCACATCGACCTTGGTTTTCTGCACCTGGATGAGGAGTGCGCTAGCGAGATTACCAACTATAGCTCCTTTGACTGGGCTTTGGATGTCCTTCTCGTACGATCTCAACACCGTTGTTAGGTCGCCCTCGCGAACTTTGGCTCTGATGTCGGCGATCTGTGTCTCGTTCAGTGCTGGGCCTTCGGGGTTCTTCACAGCAAAATCAACAACCATGCGCTCGAGGCTTGCACGGTCAGATTCCAAACTTCGTTTGCTCATGATGGAAACCTCGCTGTCTTCATTGTGCCGGATGGTACCGATGATTCTCATTGCAGGCTCCACGACCCAGTTTGTCCAAAAGTCAATCACAGTCTGTCCTAATTCCCGTACCCAGGTCAAGATTTCCTCTTTCCGGTTGACGAAGATGCGCAGGATAGTGGTTGAAGATACAAGGAGCATAGTGGCGGGAAGCCAGTACCGGATGATCAGGGATGGACGTCCGTTTTCCTTGACCACAGCATTGAAGTTTGACGTGTAGGTAGGCAATGCGTCCCGGAGTAGGTACTGGAGTCGCTCAGCGACGTCTGCCGGCTTGAGTGTGCTTGCTGTGCGCTCTCCAGTGGGTTCGTGCAGGGAGTAGAATTGATCGTCCTGTGTGATGCTGGCCACCGAGTCGTCGAACTTATCAACGGAAAGCTCTGCCGTGTTCACGCTTTGGATGACGGCATCCATGAGGGCAATGTTCTTGGACATGACGCTCTTCCATCTATGTCCACTTTGTGTTCCGAGGAGCGTGGGCGACTGGGTGCCGTCGTCGTGTACACTGGAAAGATTAGCAACAGCCGTATCCCGCAATGAGCTTATGACATACCTCTCGTTACCCAGGCCTTCGCCTAGCAGCACGCCGAGCGCGTTTGCGTTGATGAGTCGTATCTTCCTTAAGGCGGCCCGCTTCTTCCTGCCTTCATTTCTCACAAGCGCTAGTGGGCTCACGACTCTTCGCTGGATGTTGGCGATGCTCCGCTCTTGCACTGCGTCTTTGACGAGGCCGTAGAACTGGCTCCATCCATCGGCCACCTGGCCGCCGCGCGACAAGACATCGTGGTATATCTCCTGCGACCATTTCCATACGCGGACTGGAGATGTTTGTATCGAGTATAAGCCAGCGAATCGGTAGGTGGAGAGAATGTCGTCCCAGTACCACAGGTCGTCTTCCAGCGGGATGGTCTGCTCAAGTATCGTACTCAAGACCTGACCGTATACCTGTGTCGTCGCCTTGCTGACTAGCAGCCATTCCAGCTCGTGCTCGTAGCTCGCATCCTCGTAGCTGCTAGCAATGTTGGCACGTTGTAGCGCCTCGGATATGCGCGCGACGGGGACAAGGCTGTGCTTGGATGACGCAGTCGTAGAGAGAGACTTGATGAGATTTTGCAGATGTGCGATTCGTGAGGTCTTGGTGGGGTTGTGGGCTTCCTCGGCGGTGATGGAAAAGCTGCCTGCTCGCGTGGCTGACAGCTGCAGCCGATCGAGCTGGCTGTCAATTCGTCGCACCTGGCTGCAATGCGGTTAGCCAGAGTTACAATACGCCGCTCCAATTGCTCGACTTACTCAACCACGAAAGACATGGTTACCGGCGCGTCGACTTTCACATGGAGGATGCGGCGGGATTCTTTTGGTACGAGGAGGGGATCGGAACCAGGATGACGCGCGCCCGCCCGCCGCCAATGACGTTCTAGAGCCTGCCACCAAGCACAACATTCCCGACGTTTTCACAACGTAACATTTCGACACAGATGAGGACGAAAAAGCATAGCGGCCGACATGTGATGCCTCCGTTCTACGTTGTTATTGTTGGTATCATGTTTCCTTGTTCAATTCCCATCGTACCTTCCAACGGCATATACTTCTAACAGGTCAACACATCGCATTCAACTATCCGATTCTGACTCAGGGACCAATCTGTCTAGGCGTTTCCCAAAAGCAAACATGGCAACACTTCCAACGGCTTCCTGACAATCTCCGGTGCCTGTACGCTCGAAACGTAGGCTGAGGCTAGCTGGCGACGCGAGCGCTCATTCGGACCGAAGGTTGATCTGCGACCTCATCCATATCCACGTCCACGGGACGCAATGCACTTGCTTCCTCGTCGGTGATGCGGGCGCTCATTGGTTCCAGGACTGGACTTGCTGAACGGGAGAGATCAAGTTGCGGCACAGTCAACCTGATACCGTTCTCTTGGTCAGGGGCTAGCAAGGTACCCTCGTCCACAAGCGAGTCGCGCTTTCTAGGGAGCTTCTGGCGCATCCCCAGTTCGTCTCCTACCATCTCGATGCTCTTGAAGTACTGTCGAGTGTCAACGTCGGGTCAGCTAACATGTGTATTGATGCAAGTACCTTGACTGTCTTGACCTGCAGCTCCAAGGTGGCGTCCTCGTCAACCACAATCATTGGGTGGGGGTGCATCTGCAGACTAGACAGTGTCCACATGTGATTCACACCACCTTCGATGCACCTTTGAAGGGCTAGAGCCTTGTGCGCACCCGTTATTATAATAACGACTTCGCGTGCCTGACGCCTGTGAGACTTTGCCAAGGTGCACGGTGATGTGACTTACATCCAGCACCGTCTGAACTCCAACTGTCAATGCCATTCTCGGCACTTGATCCAGATTGTTCCCGAAGAACCTTGAGTTGGCCAGAATGGTGTCGTACGCCAGTGTCTTCACACGAGTTCGAGACTTCAAGCTGGAGCCTGGCTCGTTGAAGGCAATGTGCCCATCTGGTCCGATGCCGCCTAAAAACAGCTCGATACCACCCGCACGCTGTATCTTCTCTTCATACTCATGGCATTCAGCTTCTAGGTCGGGCGCGTTGCCGTCGAGGATGTTGATGTTGTCAGGTTTCACGTCAACATGTGAGAAGAAGTGCTTGTACATAAAGCTGTGATAGCTTTCGGCATGGTCTCGTGGGATGCCGACATACTCGTCCTGGTTGGGTCAGCACCGCTCAACATCACGCTGCCGTGCTACACTGGGAACTAGGGTACTACGGCACATGCAGAGCGGCCCTTCATACCATGTTAAATGTGACCACATTGCGGAACGAGACTTGTCCCGCTTTGTGGCGCTGGACAAGATGCTCGTAGATTAAGACGGGACTGCTGCCAGTGGGCAACCCTAACACGAAGGGTTTCTCAGGTGTAGGGTTGAAGGCCTTAATGCGCTCTATGCTGAGGCGTTAGCTGATAACGAAACATGACAAGGGAGCAAGAGATGCACCAATGACATAGTCGGCGATGTATTGGGATGCAGATTTGGGGTCGTCTCTGATAATTAGCCGCCTACAAGCGGTAAGCAAAGGGTTAGACTTCAAAGGATTGCATGCTCATACATGATGTCTGTCTGTGCCACTGCGAGCGTTCTGTGCCAAGTGAGGGGTTAGAAGTCACTTTCCACAGCGGGCTGGCGATGGTTGTTATGAGAGTTTCAGCAGCTTCACGTCACTCTGGGTCAAGGTAGTATTGCAAGCTCGATCATCGTCCAAGGTCTCTTGGTCAACATGGACAGCGGCCAGACTTGCCGCATCTGAACACGTTCTCCAAAGAGTTCTCTGTATCGGCCCGCTTGCTCATGATGCGTCATGCGATGGACAGTTGGAGGTGAACGTGGTGGTACAACGCGCCTATCTGCACCAGCTGAGGGGCTGCTACCATGTGCAATGTTACAGGAGCATGGCAGGAGGAGCATGGTCATCCTCATCGGCCGTGATAGCAGTGGAAACCTGATCGAAAATGGGTCGCGTACTAGCCGTCACGGGCAGCCAGCAACGAACATCACGATAGCGAGCGTAATTGATAAGGCCGACGTGCTGATGGAGTCGCAGGAAGACGATGTTACATTTCTGACTCGGGGTGGCGGGCGGAGAGCGTTGCACTTGTGGCTGCAGTCCGGCGTGTTCTAGCTCACAGCCCTGTGCTGGGGGCCGGCGATTCATCAACCAACAGTGTGGTCCCAGACGCATGCAGATCCATGCATCGTCGATAAGCAGGCTTCCAACGCCCCGCTTTGACCCCCGAAGGCTGTCCCGAGAACCACTGACAACCGCGACCCGGACACCTGTAGCCGTTGCTCTGCTGCTGCTTACTGCATCGTAGTACGGCCTTGGGGTGCGGATACGGCTGATTGCTGGCGTTTGCCTGGGCAGTGCCAACGACGCCAATGAATCCTTCACCGACGGCTGTCACTTGTGGGCTTGCAGTCGTTTATCTCCTGAAGCCAGAGGGTGTCGCGTGCTATTGCCCGCCTCGCTACCCCAATGCAGGTTGGCTGGGGGAGATTTGGTCGTGAATGGACCGTGTGAAGACCCTAGCTGACCAGATGCTTAAAACCAAGTGCCCCTCGCCTTCACCCCATCCAAAGCTCGTTTAATTATAGCTTGCCATCATCGTATCTTGCCTGGTCTGAGCGCGAACATCTAGTATCTTTATTGTGTCCTGCCTGCTCACATCTTCCACACCATCGACGGCGTGCTTTTACCGTCTGTCAATTCCGATTCACGCGCTAAACGCCCACAACCCATCATCGCCTGGGCATCATCATGGCGACCACCGAGGAAAAACAGCCTCCACACGATGTCAACTCTCCGGAGAACTCGTTGACGGATACCAACACGCTTGATCTCCCACCTTCGTGGAAATACAAGCGCTTTACCGTCGCCGGTTTCAAGTTGCCATGGTTTGCATCACCACCTGTCCAACTGGTCATTGTTTCTTTCGTTTGCTTCATGTGTCCGGGCATGTTCAATGCTCTGAATGGCATGGGTGGTGGTGGCCAACTTGACGCAACCGCGAACAACCGGGCCAACACGGCATTGTACTCGACCTTTGCTGTTGTCGGCTTCTTTGCCGGCACCTTTACGAACAAGCTTGGCATCCGCACCTCTCTGTCTTTTGGCGGCGTCGGATACTCCATCTATGTTGCCTCTTACCTATGCTACAACCACACGCAGAATCTGGGCTTTACCACATTCGCTGGTGCACTACTTGGAGTATGCGCTGGTCTGCTTTGGTGTGCGCAGGGAGCCATAATGATGTCGTACGTCAGCCCTAAACATCTCTCTCGGTGTATACTAACAGCATCGTAGTTACCCACCAGAAGACTCGAAGGGCCGTTACATCTCATGGTTCTGGATGATCTTCAACTTGGGTGCTGTCATTGGTAGTCTGGTACGCTATCCTACCCTTGAGAACACTAAGAAATAGCTACCTATCAAGTACTAACTCTCCTAGATCCCATTGGGACAGAATATTCACACCAAGACTGCCGGTACAGTCAACGACGGTACCTACATCGGCTTCCTTGTCCTCACCATCCTCGGTGCCGCTCTCGCTTGGACTCTGGTCGACGCGAAAGACGTCATTCGTGACGATGGATCAAAGGTTATCGTCATGAAACACCCTTCTTGGAAGTCGGAGATCGTTGGTCTTTACCAAACCTTCTTCACCGACCCTTACATTATCCTTCTATTCCCCATGTTCCTCGCATCTAACTGGTTCTACGCGTACCACTTCACCGAGATCAATGCTGCATACTTCAACGTCCGCACCCGCGCGCTCAATGGTGTTGTCTACTACATCATGCAGATTGTCGGCGCCTACGTCTTTGGATATGCGCTGGACATCAAGGGTATCCGCCGTACAACTCGTGCTAAGGCCGTATGGGCTGTACTTTTCGCGACCATCATGATCATCTGGGGTTTCGGTTACATGTTCCAGAAGACCTACGACCGTGCCTGGGCAGAAGACGAGACAAACGAGAAGAAGGACTGGTCTGACGCAGGTTACGCTGGTCCCTTCGTTCTCTACATGTTTTATGGCTTCTCCGATGCCGCTTGGCAAACCTCAGTCTACTGGTAAGTTTGAAACAAGAGTTGATACATTCAGATCAGATCGCTAACAGAACTAGGTTCATGGGCGCCCTGACAAACAACAGCCGTAAGCTCGCCAACTTTGCTGGTTTCTACAAGGGTATCCAGTCTGCTGGAGGTGCCATTACATGGCGTATGGACGACACTAAGGTCGCCTACATGACAATGTTTGCCAGCAACTGGGGATTGCTTGCCGGCAGTCTGATTATTGCTCTTCCCGTAATTCTCTGGAAAGTCGAAGACACTGTCGCCATTGAGAAGGATGTCGCTTTTACCGACGAGACAGTCGCGGAAGTCGCTCCCAAGGCGATCGTCCACACAGCGCATAGCGATGCTGAGAAGGTCTAGTCCAATCATTGAAGGACACTCACGATTGAAACTTTATAAGTAATGACGGGGATTGGTTTACTTGTATTTGCTTGTTTATGATACCTCAAGTGGAGTTGCATTAGCGGGCCAGAGTTAAGGAGCTTGATTTCCTGACATTTAAACTTAGGCGGTCATTTACAGGTCTCTACATCACACCGTGGGTCACATGTTCCGTGGCACAGCATGCGGATTAATTTGACGCAGCCAGCGGTGCTACGGCACAGCAGCTTAGCTATATTCCTAATGAAAGAATATCCTTACAATCACTGTATGTGTCGTGCAAGGGTATGCAACGTAGTACTGTAAAGTTACTGTCTGGTACACAACAGCTGTTTTATGCCGCCAGTATCCAACCACAATCAATAGGCCTGGTAGCCTGATATCGGAATAATCTAAGCACCAGTGCAATATGCAGAACATTGTCAGCATCGAACGACCCGTCCAGCCAGCATGAATCGCCACGTATCTGCTCCAGAGGACCAAGAGCTCCGAGGAGCAAACCCTTCGCCCTACATACTGCATGAAAGCAATACGAGATACCACTCCTGATCGCTAATCGACCCTTCCAGACTAGCAAATCTCACAACAATCTGTGATTAGACCGGACCGAGGTCAGCAAAAGCGAACATTGCCACACATTCGTTCTCGACCCACAATCCGTCGAATACGATGTTCCAATGGATTCTTGGAAGTCCTCCAGTCCACATTCGGGATCGTCATTCCGATCAGAGCCATGAGGGAGGTGGTGGTTACATCAAGGTAGTGCAGCAGGGCACCTAGCTCCCTACCATCAGCTAATCCCGCGATCCTCGAGTCCTCGTTATGCAAGAAGCCCGGAAGTACGCTACGTAAATATCTAATGACAACACGGTCTTTTAGAAAAAACAATGGATATCCACAAGTGAGGTTGGATGCGATTGGACATTGCGCGCGCAAGCTTGCCTGCTCGGATCTGATCTGGTTGAGACTTGGCGCCAGAGACAGCGGGAGGCACGTGCTTCCCGCTCACTCCAACATCCCGAGGCCTCGTCAGCTCAACGTCGCGTGCAGTCCTGCTTGCTGCTCACACCAAAACACGTGCGAGGGACTGTGCGATGATCGCCACCACCGCATAACGCGTACAATCTGGTTGAATCATACCGCGGCAGATTGTCCACCGAAGTCCCATCACGAACGCTTAGGGCAAGATTTGCGGTCCCAATACGGCCTAGCGAGCGTAACGGTAGCAATGGCCGTCAGGAAACTTCCTACGAAACCCCACCAACGCTCGCCATGACAGTAACGCTATATTTCCGAATATCCATCCAGCGTGCCTGGCGCCAGCGACACGCCGTCGACTGCTGTTCGCGGCCAATACACCTGGCCTCCACGACTTCCTCCCCTGCTTCCCTTCTTCCTTTGGCCCCCGCGTTCACTCTTACGTGCTCGTCTGCCCTGCCTCAGCAGCGGGTCTCGCACGCCAGTCGTCGGAGCAATACCTGACTACGTCTGCTAGCGGATACAACCTCTTTAATGTTCTGACAAGCCATACAACTATGCTTAAGAGCCACCTGCGACATCGGTTCACTAATGCTCCCGGCCCGTGTCTAGCCCCCGTTCACTACGACATTCGCAGACTTTGACCTTCTTGCTGGGTTTTGCATTTTGAGACAACGCCTACAAACAACGTTCGTTATACATTTGAGAATCAGTCGTCATCGTCAACCATATTCACCGTGCCCCCTCCATGCCACCTCTCCGACTGAAACGCTTCAAGAGTGGCCGTGTCACCGTCGTCCCAGAGTCAAACAGTCCCCGTGACTTGCAGCAAGCAACAAACGAGGATAACAATCATTGCTGGTACAAACAGCGTATGCTCAATTTCTGGGAGGGACTTCTTGTAGCTTTGGAAAGAATCGCCATGTTACCATCGCTCTTGCACTCCGTGCTTCCGTCGTCAACCTCGCGACGTCGCGCGCGGGATGGACTTCGGACTTACGACCGGACAATGGACGATCTACTCCACGAAATTCAATGCCTACTGGAGGCACCATTGGGATCCGACAAGATGCTAGACATGTCTGCAAAGTTGCAGGATCAGTTTGCCCCAAGAATGCAGTCGAGCGACATATGCATGCTGCCATCGTACAATCACAAGTTACCTTCCGGTTTCGAAAAAGGAACTTATCTCGCTCTCGATGTCGGTGGCTCTACATTCCGCATTGCACTCGTGGAACTGAATGGCAGACAACCTGGTGCCAAGAACATGCGTATTGTCGTCATGAAAAACTACAAGATTGACGAAAAGGTTAGGCAAAAAAGAGGCAATGAGTTTTTTGAGTGGATGGCCGAGAAGATACAGCAGGCACTTGCAGATCCTCAACTGAGATCCTCAACCAAGACTGAGGAGTTTCCCATGGGCCTGGCATGGTCTTTTCCTGTCGAGTTTGTATTCCCTATACACTCTACTTTGCAATGACTGACTGTTGCCAGGCAAACCTCCAGTCGAAGTGCGAACCTACTAGATATGGGAAAGGGATTTCGTGCTACGGAAGGTGTTCTCGGTCAAGATTTGAGCGAGCTAATTATGGCACCGTGCAGAAAGAGGGTAAGTCTTGATCGCTGACACAGCCTCCTACAACTTCTCACATCTTCAAGGGCCTACCAGTACACATGGACTCCATCGTCAACGACTCATCAGCGACCTTGCTATCACGTGCCTACGAAGACCCTTCAACGCGTTTTGCCGTTATTCTGGGAACCGGGTTTAACATATCCGTACACTTGCCCGTATCATCGCTCGCGTCTACCAAGTACAAGGGTTACCCCCAGCAATGGCTTGATGATGCTACTCATGTACTCGTAAACACCGAGTGCAGCATGTTTGGCAAACACGTCTTTCCCACAACCAGGTGGGACGAACAGTTGAACGACGCACACATGCGACCTGACTTTCAGCCTTTCGAGCACATGATCAGTGGTCGGTATATTGGCGAGATCGTTCGACTGATCTTGGTGGAAGCCGTACAGACAGCAGGCTTGTTCAGCGGAGAGATACCACATCAATTAGCCGAACCTTACACCCTCGACACCGGAACCATTGCCGCGATGGAGATGGATGACTCCAAACATTTGACAAGCGCTGCAGCTCTTTTCCAGTCCAAGCACCCTCTGAGCAAGCCACCTACCTACAACGACATTCAATTCGTCCGTCAGGTCTCGCAACTAGTTTCCCATCGCGCAGCAGCTTTTCTCGCAACAGGCATCCACGCGTTGTGGGCACTTAGAACGAAATCAGAAGGCTTGACGCCTGCGTCCGCTGGTCGGATGAGCATCGGTTGCAACGGCTCCGTCATCGAAAAGTATCCCTTTTTCAGAGAATTATGCCAGTCGCATCTCCATGAGATGATTGCTGCTTCGGGAGCGGAGTCAAACTCTGTCACTTTGGAGGTTGCCATAGAGTCGGCGATTTATGGCGCAGCTGTTGCTGTATGCTGTCTCGAAGGACAGTAGTCATTATGCGACGACGCACATAGATCGTCTCATAAATTCCCTTTATACCCTTTACTCAACGTTGTTGTACATACATTTCAGTCACATTTGTCCTCCTTCCTTCGATTTAGAGAGACCTTTACAACCCAGCAAGCAAGACTTTACGAGAGCATATGGGAGCTTTACTACACTGTTCCCTTTCGGCGTTTTTCTGGTACATCACATCGCGATGCTCTTGAGCATTTCGACGACCTAATGAAACATATTCTGATTTGCGCTTTCTCTCCCTTGTACTTGACACGTGATGAATAGCGATATGAACGATATCGCACATGGGGATATAGCGGTGGGAGAGCAAAATGGATCCATGCACCATATTCGGACAGAACAGATCGAACAAGCTCATCCTTCTAGACACGCAGTACGTAATTTGAGCTCCACTGCTATCTCTCAACATCACCATGCCACAGTTGACAAACGTAACGCCTGATATCCACTTTCCAATACAAGTCCCATGTCAAGCAACGGAGCATACCAGCCCGAACCGGCACTCTCCGTCTACCGGTAGCGAGAAAATAGATAGGAGATACGATTCTCGCCTGCCACGTGGGTCCCAGATGGATATGCTGCAAACCGCAAATTGCGCCATCAATCCTTTGACCCACATCCCGAGGTACATTGCAGATGTACCCATTACCCAATTTACACGCAAGGCGACTAGAGACTACAGCCGTAGCACACATGACCGAATGCTACATTATGATAAATGGTCCTCTTTTTCTTTCAAATTCCTTGGGGACGTTCGGGAATCCGGCAGTTGCTCGGCTTTTCCTTTTTGGCGGCAGATGGTCGGAGGTGGAGGTGGTGGTGGTGATTGACAATGCAATGTAATGCTACTGTTACACTCCACACTCCACACACCACACTCCAACTTCGACTCCAACTCCAACTTCGGCCAGAAGCACGCCCGAATATCACGATGCAGCGCGACACCACGACGCTGAATCTACACGTATGGAAGATGCGACGTTGTATGGAGAGTTACACTGCGGGGTGAAGATGATGACGACGCCTCCGTGACTACCTTGGCGAGATGGGTGGGTTTAAGGTTGCAAGTGCCATGTGATCGCTGTGGTTCTTCGAAAGGAAGGTTGCAGTCTTAACCTCGGCGATGGTCTTGGGGAAGATGTCGGCCATGTTTCCGTCATGTTACATCTGCGTGTAGTTTGCGTCAGCCGCATTCGCATCAAGCAATTTGTCGACTAGGAGCCTGGTGCCTGTGCCGCATTTCGACAGTACCTGGATGTTATATGTAAGCAGCTCGAAGGGGACAAGGTTGAATACGATGTGTGCGAGACGTTACTACATCAAACATGGAATGACAGTTGATGAATACGCGGACATTGGTATGACACGAGCTAGTGCAATGTAAGAATAAAGTGGTATAATAATATCTTGCCAAGAAGGGGAAGCATAGCAATCGTATATAGTTGACAAAGGCTCCCACAGTAGATTGAAGAAGATCCTGCTGTCGTAAAGGAAAACGCCAAACTCGTGCTGCCTCCTCGAACTTGAGAGCCTACTCAGAATTGAGAAACCCAAGCCCAAGCCCAAGACTCTTCTGTACTTCAGCCTAGCTCTTTTGTCGGAGTGTAGGATCAGCTTGAAGATGAATTGCGGCTGGGCCAAAGTAAACTCCAACCCACAGCCAGTATTCTTTTTCGTCATAACAGTATTACAAGGGGAGTCATATGACTCAACACAAAGGGTATCATAACAAAACGCAAATCGGCTTGGCACCCCTTACCAAGCATCTGAGAAGTACCGTTTCGACCGACTCTTGCCAGCATCTGCCTTTGACTCTTGCGGGAAAGGAGTGATATGATGGACAACATGTGGTCGATAGACAGCATCAACAGGCGGCATCCAGTCGTCCAGACCAAGCGGGAAATACTCGTAAAGCATGTCGGCACCTTCATCAGGACTGTTGATGATGCCTATCGAGAAGGAGGGTGGTCGCATTGGTGTTGCGCGTTTTCTTTGCTGTTCACTGGGCGAAGGTGCTTTTTGTGGCTCGTCATCGGTAAGAGATAGAGTGACTGGAGCTATGGACGTGCGTTGTGGGGGCACGCTTCTTGAGATCTCGGGTGTTGAATGTGCATACGGGGTAGCATGTTGTAACTGAGACGAAGGTGGATCTGGCGGTATGGCAGTCATGGCACCTGCTGGCATCTTCCAAGCGAAGTCTGGAGACGGTGGCATCTCACTCGCGTTGAACTCAAACGGCATCTGTAGTAGGTCCATGGGCTTTGAGGAAGCTGCAGGTTGATTTGGTGTTTGTTTCGGCGTGGTCTGGGTTGTATCACCCGTTGGAGTTCTGCTGGGCTGTTGGGGGGTTTGTACTTTGCGTGCAGTCGTGCCTCCGCCGATGGGCAAATCCTTCCGGGCCTGGAAGTTGCGAGGACTCCTTCCTCGTACGATGATTGCACCAGAGTGAACTTCGCATATCGGCACTTTGACACCACTAGCGAGGGTTGCTATCACCTTCAAACGCACCACAAAATGCTGTTGGAGCTCCTTTCTTCGGCCGTTGTTTGCAGTCGCTATCCGGAACTGTAGTCGTTTCCAGCTGATAGGAAAGCTAACGTACTCCGAGTCGATATCTTGGCCGGTTGAGAGATCAAGTGGGTATGTTGGTGGCTCCTTTTCGGTCTTGTCTTCGACGGAGGCGCTGCCCGTCGCAGGGGTTTTCCAAGGGACTGATATTATCTTTACCGCATTGCCCTCGAGCGACTCGGTGGCGGAAATGGTGAGTTCTTGGCCAAGAATGGGTATCTGCTCGCCTTGGTCGGTCATCAGAAACTGCAGGCTGCGAGGAAGGGTGATGGTGCCAGTGATCTGGAAGAGATTCCTCCTGTAGCAAGTCAACTCGGAAGGCGCCTGGACATCGGCTGCCGTTGCCCAGGGAGACTCGGCCAGAAAGAACATGCCATGGAGCTGGGCAGACATGGATATGGAGACTCTCTGCATGGTATAGGTGAGGATGGTGTATGGTACGACGGGCAGAGAGAAGCTGAGGAGCTTGTTGTTGCTCTCGATGCTGGGACTCTCGGGCATGCCATTGTGGTCGTGTGGGTGTATCGACTGCTCGTAGCCGCTCTGGACGTCGGAGAAGGGGTCTTCGTAGGTGCTCGGGTAGCGCTTGAGTTGGGGCGGGAGCTGCTGGAGGTGGTATGTCGAGTAGGCGTCCTCACTTCTGCGCAGACGAGTTAGCTGCTGTCGGGCGCGTGCGGCGCACTTGACCTACCCGATGAACGTCTCGGCATCGAAGTTGGAGCGCTGGTCATACTGGAGCGGCACGGGCATGGACATGTGCTGATCGGGGCCCGTGACAGTCTGGAGGGGTATGTATGACATGGTGTTTGTGTTGAAGTGCTCCATGGCTCGGCACAGCCTGGCTGGGGTCGAGGGAGAGGTCGGCGTCGATTTGGCGCATGCGCGCAACAATAGCTGGAGCGCGGCGACGAGCAAGGCGCGACCGGCGGACACAATGGTGGGCAGGCACGCAGGAGTGGGCGCTGGCGGGTCGTGGTTGTGCTTCAGCGAACGCTTGGGGCTGGCTCTCTCTCTCTCTCTGGGGTTGGAGGTGGAGAGATGCGGCAGGCGAGCAAGCGGAGAAGACGGGGACTAGACAGGCTGCACGCTGCTGCACTGTGCGCTGGAGAGCGACACCCGGGGCGACAAGGCACAGAGAGGCTCGCGGCTGGGGCTCACACAGAGCGCACCAAGAAGAAGACTTGGTAGCTGTCTTGCTGAGGTTGTGCGACGACGCATCACATGCGCTTCTGGCCAAGGTCGGATGGGTGCACTGCGCAAAGGGTCCCGCCTGCTGTGGGGCTCGGCAGGGGAATTTACCAACGGGTATCTCAACGGGAAGGATACGCTTGGCCTGTCTTGAGACATGCGATGCAGAAGATGCTCCGACACATGTTGTATACCTCCCCAATCCTCCACAACGCACTGCGCCCTGGCACGCGGCTTCTTCGGTAGCCCTTCTCGAAGGGACAAGCCGAACGGTGATCACCCTACGCCATCGCACCAGTGGCGCTTCAGCCTCCTACTCTAGCTATGGACCCGCTCAGCTTTAAAAATAACAACCACCTCTGCAACCACCCCTAATCCGACGTCGCCATCTATCACGTCTGTCACCTCAAACTATTCAGCGGCACGGAGAGGCCGACAGACCCTTGGAGGGAACCATCCGATCCGAGTACGTCAGTCCACGACCGCACGGCTTTCTGCATGCAATGACATCACATCATGGTACAAGCGGTAGTCATAACCAATGGGACGCCTGCCCGTACCGGATACCAAAAAAGCAAACCAAAACACGAGCCTAGAATATTCCCAAACGCCGACCCAAGAAGCTTTGAACAAAGTAGCCAGCGCCCTCGGCCTCTGACGGGAAGAGCCAGCCCAATCATGCGGGCGGGATCATAGTCCATGTCGCAGCATCGCAGCTAACTTCCTCAAAGTTATGCATGACATCGAATCCCATTGCCGAAAAGCCGTCGAAGTTGCCGTCTCCGTCCATCTGTCTGTGTCAGTATGCTGTCGTGGCCGACCGACCGACGGCTACTCACATAGTCGAGCAAGCATGCGTTGCACCCCAGCTGCTTGATCTGCCGCATGCCAAGAAGGATCAGCCCCTGCAGTAGTGTCGAGTACTCTCCTACTCCAGGTGATATGACGGGTGAGGAAATACCTCCAGCCGCCTCGTTGAGGTGCTTCAGCGGAGGTATGTACTCAGCAAGTCGCGAGTGGCTATTGTAAAGCACAACAGTACCCACCAACGCGCCGTCTTCTGGTCGTTTTGCCCGAATGATACCACAAGCTGTCGGGTCTGTGAGGGCAAGCTTGTACACCTCCGCTAAGCCTTGGCGATTGCTCGTCTTGATATGGTCAAGAATAGGTCCTGCATAATCCCATCCGTACACAAGGTCAAATTGTGCTCCTGCACTTGCTAGACTCTTGGCCATGCCTGTGGGCGGAGTCCATGTCTGCAAATTGCGCGCAACCATGTTACAGACGGGACGAGAAAGTGCTGCGCCCCAGCCAAGCTGAGCAAACCACGATCGAAGTCGTTTGCGCTCATTTCCATGTCCGGTTGGGATTCCAAGATACATACTTGGGAGGCGTGACCCAAGCTGAAATCTCTTGATACCCTCCTTCTGCAGAAGTGTACGAATAGCTCGGTTGTGCAGCGAATGACCAATCGAGAGCTTTCTCCTTGCTGGATCTACAAACAGAGCCCCAATCACACCGGTGCCTGTGGCCTTGAAGAAGTAGGTCGAGCAGAATCCATAGAGTGCTTGTGTGCTGCTGTTTCTGACGACGAAGTGTGATTCTTCTACTTCCGGGTGGTGCAGGATGAATGAATTTGACGTCGCGCTTGCCATCTCTGACCGTTGGCTCGGAGCTGTGCTTTCAACGACAGCTGCGACTAACGTATCCAGAGCGTTTCCGTCTCGCTCTTCGTTGAAGACTGCACATGTGAAGGTACCAAGTCAGTATATGTCTCACATGCAGTTCGTACAGCCACAACTTACTCTCGACTAACCAATGCTGCTTGCTTGGATGGAGCTTTTGGCTCTTACTGATAGTGCCCGGTAGTGTTCCAGAAGGAGTCAATTCGCCATACAGTACCCTGACGAGGGAGTTGAGTGCTGTCTCTGTGAAATCGTAGGTGCCTTTAAATTTGGTGTACGAACTCAGTATTTCTCTCATATGCAGTTCGTAAATAGATGTCACTTACATATGTATGTCCCAATCGATGTATCGATTGCAAAATCGTACGGGCTTGAAACTGCCACGACGATCAAAGGTTTTTCGCGCCTCTCGCCACCAGTCGTGTACTGCATGTTGCAAATCATTGAGACATGCTTGGTGAAACCATGCTGGTACAGATTCCGGTTGGCGTCAGCCGTAAGTACGATGATTGCACTTGCCCGATTAATGAGATTTTCATGGACTGGGCGAACACCGTTTGCAGTGTAAGATGTGTGAAGTAGTCTCCCGTTGCGTTGCCTGGCGAGAGAACGGCCCAGTTCTCTAAAGACTCGTTCCCCACTCATTACTGACGAGCTCCGATCCCATACAGCAGGCTCTGGCGAATGGCCTGCCGCGCCGTTAGCAGCATCAGATATTGCTCGTGACGCCGCTGATGCAGCCAAGGGCTTCACAAGCGGTGTCAGCAGAAGAAGCTCTTCTTCGCTCTCAAGTATGTTTGTTAGCGGCAAAAGTCTATTCTTGTCTCGGACGACTGTGATGGAGCTGTTATACGCTTTGGTCGATAGTGCAGTATGCGAAGGCTGCAGCTTTTCCAGGTAGTTGATGCCCGGCGGGTTCAAGGCTTTTTCCCATGATGTGCACTTCTTCTTCATGGCTAGCACGCGTCTGAGTGAATTGAAGATGCGCTCTTTCGAGACCATCTCCGTCTCGATGCCAGTCTTGAGGCCTTTCAGCCCTTCTTGTTGAAGCGAGAAGGATCGACATAAAAGTACCACATCGCAGCCAGCATTGACCGCCATCACTGTGCCGCCGCCTACACCAATGTTGTGACTGAGAGCATCCATCTCCAAACACTCCGAGACCACGACACCATCAAACTTCAGGTCTGTTCGAAGGAGTTCGTCGACAACTTGCTCAGACAAACAAGCATGCATCGCATTCAGTCCGGCCGATGACATGGCGCAGCCACCAACCATCATGGAATCAAGGCCTCTCTCAATAGCCTTCTTGAATGGTATCAGAGCGCTTAGGCTAAGTTGCTCTAAGGATTCTGTGATGATCGGAACGTCAAGTGTTGAGCCTAGAAACTCCAGATTACCGTAAGAAGGAAAGTGTTTACCCAAAGTCACCACCCCGGCGTCCTTGTAGCCTGCCATGAAGGCGCAGCCAAAGGCAGAAACTTCCTGGGGATCGTCACCAGCCGTCCTTACCCCTAAAGGCTGGTTGCGTGCATTGGTGAGTACATCCAGACACGGACCGAAGATCCAGTTAATGCCACACGCAGCAATCTCCTGTGCAGTCGCCTTGGCTACTTCGAAAGCCAACTCGGTCGAGCCTGTTGCTGCCATTCCCATGTTACTGGGATATTGGCGGATGTAGATGTCATCGAAAAGACTGTTAACGCCGCCATTTTCCTGATCGATCCCAATGGCCAGAGGAACAGGGTGGCCCGCATCGTGAGCAATCTTCTGTAGCTCATAGATAAGCTGGGTAGTATCTTCGGCCGCTGTGGCAAGTTAGTAAGAGAACCCACGACGGCAAATAGCCACAAAAAGCGTAAGCTGCTGACATTTCAAATTCTTGGCAGTAAGTAGTATGCAGCCAACATGATGTTCCTCAATCAGCGTACGAATGTGGGGAGTGACCGAGGTGCCATCGAAGCCCATCATGAACAGTTGGCCCTACAAAGCCTCCGTCAGCGAATCCCGTGCAGCATGGGCGGATGCGACCCACCATAGTCCTACATCACGGGCAAGTTAGCCTGGCTCTTTGTCACATTGCGCATTCTCAGGGTGAGAGTGGGCACCATGCTCACCTATCGAGGTCGTCCCAGACAGGATCCATGTTCTCGACCTTGCTCATGATGACAGCGCCGTCGCGTCGCAATGAAGCCCTGAATGCGACGTGGAATTCCGGGTGGGCACCAAGGCTTGAACGTGACTCGCAGATTGGTAGTGGATGAAAGATGGGGAGGATGGCACGGTAGCATTCACGCCATTCCAAGCTGGGGTACGTGGTTAGCGAGCCGCTAGCTATCGCAAGCCCGTCCATCGTTACACCATCCACTTCCTCGACTATCAATGACATCCACTTCGATGCCACCTCACATGCAACCGTGATACACGCTGATTGTTCGGCCAAATGTGATGATCACCGTGTTACCTCGATCCCACACTCCACTCAACCTAAGCAATTGGACAACGTGCCTTATGGCGATGATACAGGTCGTGCAAGGCAAGTTTGCCCGCCATCGATGACTCAACAGAATCATCGCATGAAGATAGGCGTAGGGATGTAATCGCGATAGAAGTAGTAAACGGGCTGCAAGTCTCTTTGTAACAGGTATCGAGTTTGCTCGCCCAGGCACAACTTACCACTCCTTCCACTTCCAGTCGATTCTTGAACCAATATACGCTTTTTTCCCATCCAACAAGGGTCTACTACCTAGCAGGAAACTAGGCTCTCGCGACCGACAATGCCATCGGTTGCACCAGTGCATCCTGGGAGTTTCTCGGGCGTCATCAAATTCACCAACTGCTTATTGGTAAAAGGCAATGCTTTGGTCAACCAAGACTTATGGATAAGCTCTAAGAGCGGCAAAGTTCTAAACGGACAAGAGATTCTCTACGAGTATCGCACTGCACCGGAACAAATTGTCGATTTGGGTGGACGCGTCCTCTCGCCAGGTCTCATTGATACCCAACTCAATGGCGCATACGGTTTCGACTTCTCCGTGCTCCCAGATGAAGGCACATCGGCCTACGCCAAGGGAGTGCATCGAGTCAATCGAAGCTTAGTTGCAACGGGTGTCACATCATATCTGCCAACCTTGACTTCACAACTACCAGAGGTTTACCAACAGACCCTGCCATTCCTAGGGCCCTCAGGCGCCGCTCGCGATGCATCATACGGATCAGAATCTCTCGGTGCCCATTGCGAAGGACCGTTCCTGAGCCCTACTAAGAACGGCATCCACAATGCTCTTGTCCTACGCGAACCAACAAACAACGCCTCCGACCTGGAAGCCTGTTACGGCAGCGACAACCTGCAAAAGCCCTCGCCCATTAAGCTTATCACCCTTGCACCCGAACTTCCCGGTGCCCTCTCATCCATCCCCCATCTCAACTCCCTCGGTATACACGTTTCAATAGGGCACTCGGAAGCAACCTACGAAGAAGCAAAATCAAGCATAAAATCTGGTGCACGAATGATAACTCACCTCTTCAACGCTATGCGTCCTCTTCACCACCGCAATCCTGGCATCTTCGGCCTCCTCGGCACACCGTCGTCGTCTATCCAGAAACCATATTTTGGTATCATCGCGGACGGCATTCATCTTCACCCGACTTCTATAAAGATAGCATGGAATGCTCATCCAGATGGTCTGATTCTCGTTACCGATGCCATGGGGTTGGCAGGTATGCCCGATGGGACATATGATTGGACAAACGGGTCGCGAATCGTCAAGCAGGGCCCGTTGCTAACACTCGAGGAGAATGGTAAAATTGCGGGAAGTAGCATTCAACTTGTGGACTGTGTTAGCAACTTCTTGAATTGGACGGGGGCTAGTGTGCCCGAGGCCCTCAAGGCGGTCACTGAGACACCGGCGAAGATGCTGGGACTACAGGGTATCAAGGGCACGTTGGAGGAGGGTGCAGATGCAGACTTGGTGGTATTAGATTTGCAGGAAGATGAGGGCGGGGAAAAGAAATTCGTTGTGGATGAGGTGTGGAAGTTTGGGGTTAGAGTTTTCGATCGGACGCAGGACGAGTGATCAAAACACTCTTTCACAATTGGCATGGTTGTCTTGTCGTATGCACAGTCAGTTTGTTGTGTAGCAGTTAGGGTGTTTCTAAAGAACGGCATTAGTAGCGCAACATCAGCACCATACACCCAAAAACGACAACCCTCATAATGTAAATAATCTTGTTCTTCTATCTATCTGTTTTCAATATGAACTCACGCGACATTTGTACTCGCGGTTCTGAACTCCCACCATCTCAATATATACAAGTTAGCATAACAACGATAAGCGCCAAATATAGCCCTGCGAGGCCTGCTTCCCGTCCCCAGAGATGATACAGAAAATGTGGGAAGCTATGAACATAGCATACAAACGTGTTGACTGGAAAGGAAATGAGACGGAAACACCGAAATATGCCAGATATGCGTCGAGACTCGTAAGTCCGTATTAACAAAACGCCGAAGAACACCAAACACATGTAATATGCCCAATGCCCGTGATGAAATAAGTATCCAAAAATCGTGCTCTAGCATCATTGCGAAAAGGAAGAGGCGCTGTGAATTATGCCAGTCGTTCACTTAAACATCCACTGACAGTGACAGGCATCCGAAGGATCCATACGACGCTGTATATCGGGAGAGCTTTCACGCTTGCCCTTTCTGTCGAACGTGATTGTCTGGGAGGGCTGGGCAGCGAAATACTCTTCATAGCTAGGATCTAACTCTTGCAGCCATATTCTGATGGGACTGTCGTTCGGGGCTGGTGCTGTTGTTATCTCGTAATTGTCGAGCAGGAGCATTTGTTGGCAGTACGGTTGCGGCGAATCAGGGAGGCGGCGTTCTTCAATCTTGACGATCCGGGGATAGGGTGGCATACGAGGGGGGGAAGAGGCATCTGAAGCGGAATCTCGTGCCGCAACTGGGGCTGGCACTGCCAGGTTGACAGGCGAAGGCGTTGCAGACACCTCGGTAGTCTGTGTGGGGCTGGCAGAACTACCGACTGACGATGCCACGGCGATGTTTACAGCACCATCGTCAGTTGGTTCAGGTGTGGGCGTAGGCCATTGTGTAGGAAACGACGTGAAAGAAGCAGCTGTGGAGTTGTCATCGGAGTAGATATAACCCTCGATATAGGTGTTGTTCCAGTAGCAGTACCAGGGATAGTCGCCAGGTTTGACCTCGAAACGCTGTCGGTATTTGTTATCCTGTCGCTTTGTGAGTGCTGACCCGAAATTGAGCTCATCGGGTGGCAAGATGACGATTTTGTCGTATCGAGCAGAAAAATGGTAAGCTGGACCATAAGCTTTGTAGTCTAGGTCGAGCACTAGTTCCATCGGTTTGGCATCAAGTAAAGGAGTCTGAAGACCGTATAGTATGGAACCTTGGGGCACAGAGGGACCAATACCCATAGACGCAACTTGCTGAGTTTCACCAGCAATAACAGTGTCGTTGATCGTTATGACAAGGGGAGCGAAGGTCATCTTACATGACCATGCGGAGTATTGGTTCGCCTGTGTTAGGCATCCAGGGTTGCTCTCTTGTGGTATACCTAGAGGAAGTGCGAAAGCGCCAGTTGGTAGTGGTAACAGTCCAGCCGGAGTCGAAATGGGAACTGCGTCGAAGAGTGACCCGTTTTGACCTGTAACTTGGGGTTGACTAGCAAATGTTAGTTACGTAAAATGTCGAAGAATCACAAACACTTACGCTTCCTCATGAGGGTTTTTGCTCTCATCTTGATCGTCATTGTCGTCATGTTTCTTGGCAGCAAAGGTGCCAATAGCTGCGCCAAGAGCGACAGCAAAGACCAATATAAGAATGAGAACCACAAGGGCCACGCCCATAGGCACCTTTCCCCATAGCTTCCTTTTCCGCCAACTGACCTTGCCCTCGACTGGCTCCGCCTTCTCTGAGAAGTGGTTCTCCGTCGCCAACAAAGATGCAGAAGACGAGTCAGAAGCGTCCGCTGGAACAGTGCCGCTTTGCGCGGAGGTAGAGTTGGAGTTGGCAGGGGCCAGATTACCGGTCTGGGTTTCGGGTCTCTGAGGTGGTAGGCGGGCGGGTGTGACAGAAGGTAGCAGAGGAACGGCAGGTAGAGGAGGTGGCGAGAGTGAAGTAGTGCTCAGCGGCGAGACGGGTGATGCGGGGGTGTTGAAAGGATCCTCTGCGTCGACCTGCACAGGAGCAGGAATAACACGTGACGAAGCGCTTGCCTCGGCTGCCAAAGACGCCTTGGTTGGACCTTCTTCTGGATATCTTGAGTAAGGTGGAAGCTGCTCCGTGTGTCCGTCGGGCCCGATGATGTCCTGCTCCTCGCCGTCAGGCCCGAGGACTCTGTGATAGCCGTTGTTCAGGCCCGGAAATCCCACGGGAATAGCCGACTGGACTTGAGGCACAGGCGCCTGGGCTGGCTCGTCTGGCGACTCTTGGTCGACAATACCGCTTTGCGAGTACATGGCATATGGGTGTGTCGGCCGTTGCAGTGACATTGATCGATGCGGTTGGCGCTCGGTGGAGCTAGTTGCTACGCTAAGCGGCCGTGCCATTGACAGCTGAGGATACATGCCATATGGATGGCTGGGGCCCGTCTCAAAGGGGTTCTCAGAATTGCTGGTCGTCGCAAAGGACCCGGCAGAGCTCACTGAGTCGCGATGTGCAAGGGGCGAGTGGTGGCTGGGCCCACGATTGAGGGGCGGTCGGCCGTCTTGTGTCATAGAGTCCCGCACCTTGGCGGTGCTATTTCGCGTTGCAGTCCTGCGCAAGTCGCTCTCGGGGTGCTTCGATGTCGATGCTTGTCGTTGCGGCGCGTCGCCTATCCGGTCGTGGTTCTGGCGGCCGCCCTGCCATGCCTCGCTCGTGTTGGCTGGTCGGAAGCCATCCGAGACCGAGGGCATGAAATCGTCCTCGTCCGGGTCGATTTCGTAGTCGTCGCCAAAGACATCGGGGTTGCTCAGCCGCCGCGATGGCTCGTCGTCGTTGCTGTTGCGTCGGTCCATGACGCCGAACTGTCCCTGAGAGCCACAAAGGCCCGTTCCTCTCCCCTTTCAGTCCTCCCAGCAAGCGATGCAGTCGTCTCGTCGTATTTTTGCTCGATGTGGTGCGCGCTCGGCAGCGATGGATGGCGCGCGTGTAGCGAGTGTGGTGCGAATTGGCGTGTGTCGTGTCGTGGAGTTGGTAGTGGAGAGAAGGTGCATCACGTTTGGCAGAGGTTGTCCTGAGACGCTGGCGCCACTAAAAGGCGCACGGGCGAACACCAGCCTTGGAACCTTGGAACCCTCGATAAGCAGCCCTTCGAGAACACAAGCCCTCCACCCGCCTGGACCAACTCATCAACCTTCCACCTTGAATTCCTCTCATGCATCGTCTCTTCGCACTGCATGTCTGTCAACGTTGCCTGAATGGCTGCGAGCACACTTTTGCCCCTCTCGCGTTAATATACGGCTACTTTGGGACTGCCCGACCTTAATCATCTCTAATATTGGGACGGCAACTTCCACTACTGCTAGACAGAACACGTTCGACAAAACTATCGACCACTGCATTCTCCGCTGTTCAAGTAGGATCCAGAGTGCATCCCATATCCAAGACCAAGTTGTTTGGCAAGACAAGACAAGACATGCGGTGCTTTTATACACTCGCCTACTGGGTATGCGAGGCACGTGTTGAACATGTCATCTGCAGCGTCATCTGCCCAGGATGTCCCAGTCAGTTTTTCTGGTTGAATGTCAAGTAGTGGCACATTTTCCACTCTATAGAGCGGATAATTTCCATCTACTCCGAAAGACTATAGGTAGTTGACGCTACGGCTCTCGCTTCTTATGCTATCCCCATCCGTTGTGTGAATCTCGGATATCCTTATGTTGCTCGTAGTTCTGGCAGGAAGGAGTCGAATTCAGCAGTCTCGTCCGACTACTCCTGAGTATATCTGCTTCCATAAACACAACTCGTAACTCGGGTCTACAGGCAACAGTATTCTGTCCTGTTCTGCCGGTGCCAGATACCTTGCAGCTGCACCGAGTTGGAAGTTTCGCAGCCATCGTGACGCAACATTACGCATACCGTGGAGGCTGTGCCATGAGCACACGGCAAGTACTCTTCTTTCGGAGGGTATGAGGTTGCTAGGGGTGACTTGTTGCGATGGGCTGATGGTTCCTGAGTGCCTGACTAGCTAGTAAATCCCTGCATGCCAAGCGCGGCGGCGATAGGTGGTCGAGCGAGTACTTCTCCCGCTCGGATGAAAAGGGCCAACTCGCCATGTTAGCAGCATGGTCGTGTGAAGTCGGGATAAGGGCGAAGGAGCATGCGCGTCGTGTCAGAGAGAGCAAGGCGGCATGCACACTTTTCTTTTTCGTGGTATGATTGCCCCGCTATCAATACCCACGCCGGTCTTCGCAGCCAGACCCTGAATGCACCGAAAAGAATGTACCGAAAATCTCAGGGACTAGCAGACACAACAATCAAGCGCGTGGGCCGCTGTTGGCATTGTTGAGGGCTAACTTGTGCACAAAACCCGTTAATTCTCCCCTTTCGAGACTTGTACCCACGCGCGTACTAGCATTGCCACGAAACTGAACTGATAGCCGCTACTAAACTGCACCTTGCCATTGTCGCGTAGGATTTACTCGTCAAACTACTTAAGGCGGTGAACTCCCCTCCCTGGCCAACACACTCCCCTTCTGCTCCCCTCACAACATTCTGTACTCTTGCAAACATGGCTGCTCGTCCTTCCAACATCGGTATCAAAGCCATTGAGCTTTACTTCCCCAGCCAGGTATGTCGTCCATGCGGCAAGCGCGGTACTTGCCGTCCCAATGCTCGCGCGCTGCTTTGCAACAACGCATGCTAACAAGCCGTCCACAGTGCGTTGACCAGGCTGAACTCGAGAAGTTCGATGGCGTCTCTCAAGGCAAATACACCATTGGTCTCGGCCAGACCAAGATGTCCTTCTGCGACGACCGTGAGGGTGGGTTCAACATTTTCTGACTGCATGGCTACATGATACCTAGAGGCGAAACTGACACCTTCTCTACGCAGACATCTACTCCCTCGCCCTGACCACCGTCACCTCGCTCTTCAAGAAGTACAACGTCGACCCCAAGAGCATTGGCCGTCTCGAAGTCGGTACCGAGACTCTGCTCGACAAGTCCAAGTCCGTCAAGTCTGTGCTCATGCAGCTTTTCGAGGAATCTGGCAACTACAACATTGAGGGTGTTGACACCGTCAATGCATGCTACGGTGGAACCAACGCTCTCTTCAACTCCGTAAACTGGATGGAGTCATCGGCCTGGGACGGCCGTGATGCCGTTGTCGTTGCTGGAGACATTGCGCTGTACAAGAAGGGCAACGCCCGCCCGACTGGTGGCGCTGGATGTGTTGCCATGCTCATTGGTCCCAACGCGCCCATTGTCATGGATGCTGGCCAGCGTGGCTCTTACATCAGGCACGCATACGACTTCTACAAGCCTGACTTCACCAGCGAGTACCCCGTCGTTGACGGTCACTTCTCCGTTCGCTGCTACACCGAGGCTGTCGACGCCTGCTACAAGGCCTACAACGAGCGCGAGAAGACTCTCAAGTCGCAACAAAACGGAAACGGTGTCAACGGCAGCCAGGAGCTCGAGACGGCTCTCGACCGCTTCGACTACATGGCTTTCCACGCCCCCACCTGCAAGCTTGTAGCCAAGTCGTACGCGCGTCTGCTCTACAACGACTTCCTTGCCAACCCTTCCAACCCCATCTTCGCCGAGGTTCCCGCTGAGCTCCGCGACCTCGACTACGCCACCTCTGTCTCTGACAAGACTGTAGAGAAGGTCTTCATGGGTCTCGCTAAGAAGCGCTACGCGTCTCGCGTCCAGCCCAGCATCCAAGTCCCCACCCAGTGCGGTAACATGTACTGTGGTAGTGTCTACGGTAGCTTGTGCAGCTTGCTCGCCAACATCAGCAGCCAGGACCTCGAGGGCAAGCGCATCGGCATGTTCAGCTACGGAAGTGGTCTGGCCTCCTCCTTGTTCTCCTTCACCGTCAAGGGCAGCACCGAGAACATTGCCAAGCAGCTTGACATCCAGAACCGTCTCGAGAAGAGGCGTGTAGTCGCCCCTGAGGTCTACGATGAGGTAAGTCTCTTGAATCTTGATTCATCGTGAAGCACTCTACTAACACTTTCTTCCAGATGTGCAACCTCCGTGAGCAGGCTCACCTCCAGAAGGACTTCACTCCCAAGGGAAGCGTTGACACCATTGTTCCCGGCACGTATTACCTTACCGGCATCGACAGCATGTTCCGCCGCTCCTACGAGGTCAAGCAGTAGACGACCAATCTGCCACATTATACCCCCACAACTTCATTTCTTCCTTCGCTTGCATTCTGAGCATTTGCGGGAGTCATCTCCATGATTCAGCTTAGACTCGAAAGGTTGCATCATTTCACACTCGGCGTATGGGATTGTGGTCCCACTTTGTTGACCGTAGGGTAGTGTGAGGACGTGGTATCACGATATTACGATGGATGACAGGGATGGGAAGGATTATACAGGTATATTGTCACGATCTGCATGGAGGCATGACAAGAGTTTTGCCGCCTTAATATTGGCTTCTGATCGAAGCATCGACACTGTAGATAGACTAATATGATGTTCAAACTTGTAACATGGTCCCACAGCAAGGCAAAAGACTTATCCAAACCGACATCGGCATTGGCATTGGCATTGGCATTGGCATCCAAGACTCAGCTAATTAATCTTGAGTCGCATTGTTCAATACTAATCCTGTTGTGGAATTACTCAACTTGACCAATTTTGGACGAATCGAACCTCGGCTCAAACTCCAGCTCCGCGTCGCGATTGCCGCCCCGCTGCGAACCTGGAAGCTTACGACTCCAACTGAGCACCCACTTCTTCTTCAAACCAACCTGTCGTCCTTGTAGTCGCGCATTTCAATCAGCGTATATCATCATATCCACTTTCATCATGGGCAAAGAATTGGGTCCTGGCGTCGGCTTTGAGTTTCCCTCGTATGAGGTGAAATGGCTCAAGCGCGACCTGCTGCTTTTTGCGAACAGCATTGGCGCTACCTACCCAGATGAGCTACACTTTCTCTACGTAAGTATATCCAGTGGAATTAAAACCCATCCCCAGTCTCTATACACGCAAGCCACAAACTTTGTAATGCATCTAACATGTCCTGCAGGAGCTCCATCCCTCGTTTGCCGCCTTTCCGACTTATCCTATCATCCTCCCTTTCAAGCACACGGACCAAGAAGTCATTGACTTTTACGCGCGCAGCAATGCAGAGCCTATTGAAGGTGTTCCCAAGTTCGACACCAAGCACATCCTCGATGGCGAGCGCAAGATCCAAGTCCTCAAACCACTTCCTGTAACAAGCGATGGACGCAAGTTTGAGATCAGGAGCAAGGTACTCGGTGTTTATGACAAGGGCAAGGCTACCGTCGTGGAGACGGAACAACGCCTTGTTGATGCTGAGAGTGGAGAGACCTACACCAGAGCTGTAGGCAGTGGCTTCTACGTTGGCCAGGGCGGTTGGGGTGGACCGAAGGGTATGTCTTTCTCATGAAGCCTTCACAGCGCTAGTAATCTAACAAATACGGACAACGTTGAACTAACCCATCCACAGGACCCAAACAGCCCAACTACCCTCCACCCTCGCGTAACCCCGACCACACCCATGTCCATCAAACCACAATGGAGACAGCACACCTGTACCGTCTGAATGGCGACTACAACCCTCTCCACGCCGACCCTGAGCCAGGCAAGAAGATGGGTTTCGGTGGCCCCATCATCCACGGTCTGTTTTCCTGGAACATGTCTGCACATGCCATCTTGAAAGCATTTGGTGGCTCGAAACCTGAAAACTTGAAGGAGTTCCAGGCGAGATTTGCGGCACCTGTCAAGCCAGGAGACAAGCTGATTACGGACATGTGGAGGACTGGCGATATAAATGCTGACGGATTGGAGGAGATTAGGTTCATCGTAAAGGTTGAGGGAGGTAAGACTGTTCTCACCAATGGACGCGCGCTTGTCAAGTGCGAGGGTCAAGGCAAGGCGAAATTGTAGATAGACCTATATTCACTGCATTGCATTTTCAAGGATGTGCAAAGGCCATGTAGGTAGTGCTACGTATGAAACTTACTGAAATCAACTTGAAATATGCGCGCATACAAATATATACTTCATCTGGATAGCACCTCGGCAGCATGTCTAACATGCATCATAGGCGCCGAGACAGGCTAGATCCTCCGTCATCACACAGCAGCCCGCAGAGAGATCAATCTGATAAGATGAACATGCAGCTCACGTGAACAACAGGGATGTTGTTCTGCCGCGTCAGGGACCGAACTGAAGCACGAAACGCAAGACCATTTCGAGGTCGGTAAGCACGGCAGAAATGGCTTTTGGTATTTGCCTGATGGAGCAGGCCAAACTCGCACGAGGTTTCAAACTCAGTTGCGATGAAACACACTTCGAGTTGAGAAGCTGAGTTGTTAGAGAGAGAGGCCATTCTATTCACCTCTTCTTCCAAGCTTCGTATACGGCTACTTAGTCTTGCTGGGCATGAACTCTACTTCTCCTGTGTGCGAAAAGACGTTCATTCTCCCTTCCCATCGAGTAATCGCCCGTGGTTCAGTACAGCGACCAGCACGCAGGTACAACTCTCTGCCAATCGCGCATATTCACAACCAATCATCGCGATGCTCTTTACCCTCCCATCCGCCCTTCTCCCAACGCTCCTCCTCCTCTCCGACCCAACAACCGCCTACAAACCCCTATCAGATGCCTTCCTCCGCGCAATCCCCTCCCCAGACGCTGCGATCGACTACAAGGACGGCCCTCTTCTCGCTCCTCTCCTCATCCCCCGCGTTCCCGGCACCCCAGGCCAAATCCTCGCCCAGCAACATTTAGTCTCGTACTTCCAAACCGAGTTACCAGCCTGGAATATATCCTGGCAAAACAGCACATCCACAACTCCGACATCGCGGGGTGCAGAGCTGCCTTTTGCAAATCTAGTCGTAAAACGCGAACCACCATGGGTCAGCAAAGGACAAGCCAACCTCCTCACGTTGGTCGCGCACTACGATAGTAAACTGCAACCTAGCGGCTTTATCGGTGCGACAGATAGTGCGGCGCCATGCGCCATGTTGATGCACATAGCCAAAGTGATTGATCCATACATCCAGCGCATGTACGATGAGATGTCTGCGTTACAGGAGGGTGGTACGGTGGATATGGACATGGGGATTCAGATTCTATTTCTGGATGGTGAAGAGGCGTTTGAGAACTGGAGTGATACTGATTCGTTGTATGGATCGAGGTGCGTTCATTGTCATTCTCTGATTCTTGATCTTACTACTTCCCACTCACATGGTACATACTAACACAACCCTTGTAGATCCTTAGCACAAGAATGGGCCTCCACATCCAACCCCCCTTCTGCAGCATCGAAATTCTACCAAAACCGCACTCCACTATCTCAAATCTCGCTGTTCATGCTCCTCGATCTCCTGGGTAGCGCATCACCCACGGTACCATCCTACTTTCCCACAACGCATTGGGCGTACCGTCACCTCTCGACCATAGAATCACGACTCAGAGATTTGAAACTTCTCGAATCGAAGCCCAGCTCGCCTTTCCTACCTGATGTCAATGGGACCATGGGTAGTGGTGGTATCTCTGATGATCATTTGCCGTTTATGAGCAAGGGTGTAGAGATATTGCATGTTATCCCAAGCCCCTTCCCCAGGGTGTGGCATACCATGGAGGATGACGGGGAGCATTTGGACGGAGAGACAGTCAGAGACTGGTGTAAGATTGTCGGGGCATTTGTATTGGAGTGGTTGGATATGATGGAGGTATGGGATGAGCCCGGCGAGGGAACAGGTCAGAGAAGGTGGCTAGGATAGTTGAAAGCCATAGATGATACAAAGAGGATAAACATTTTAGAGCCGAATCATGGCGACATGTACGAAAAAGTGAACTTGATGTCTCATATAGTTATGTACAAAAAAGCTCGCCCATATCCATCATATCACCCCGACCCATGTCTCTTCGATGACGATGCGTATGAATTCATATCGTTAGTATGCCGAACGCGCAGAAAGACGTGCAAATACACGCGCATAATGCACAAAGAATGATAAATAAACAGCCTCGACTTGGCAAAGTACCATTAGAACTCCCACATTGAAAAAAGCGAAAGCAATGCACCAGCGCAATGCAAACCCATAGCCCAGCAAAGAAACATCGTGTCTACTGAAGCGTGGGAAACCGCAGCAACTTGAACTCATTCTGTGAAATCTTGTATTCGTAATCAATCGCGCGCTGTGTCAGGTCCCTGGCGTTGTCGTCGAGAAACATGTGGCGCACACCCTGTGTAATCGTGACCATGCCTAAAGTCGTGACAGCAGCGACCGATGGGGCAAATTAGTGAAGGACTAGAACGCAGTTCAGGTCCTGTTTGGTAGGCTCCGGGTATCCAAGAAAAGACTCATATCAATAGTACCGCCATGTACTGGTAAGATAGAACAAAGCAGAAACTTTTGTCGGGTCGTGGAGGAACCTAGGATCGAAGAGCAGGCTGGGTATGTGAGCGTATGCTCATCATACATCGAATTGGCCATGGTTGAAGACGTCGTGTTCGTTACTAGGAACGATGCCAGACATCCTGTCTCCGCGACCTGCGGGTCGATCCCAGTTGACTTCGTCTCCCTCGTCTTCATCCATTCGTTCCAGAGCATCATTCCTGTGCCTGTCGTTGCCAAATTGTTGCTCCATCGTACTTTGATCGGTAAAGGTGAAGCCAGCAAAGTTTGCTTGCATAGTTGGTGACAGCGGTGTGGATGCGGGGTTGACACCTGATGCCAAAGCAGCTGCGCGTGCGTTCAGAGAACCAGCGCCGTTTAGAGCATTGGTAAACTCCGGGTCGAAGTTGGAAACATCCAGCTCTCCCTTGAGCTTGGGCTTGAATGGTGGTACCACGTTCTTCTTGCCCAGCGCGTCCCAGTCGATGTCGGCAAAGAAGGGGTGAGCCTTGAGCTCCTCGGCATCGCGTGTTGCGCCAAGCCTGTGCTTGGGGTTCCTGTTGAGAAGTCCCTTGACGAAATTCCTACCTTCAGTGCTGAGGGCGTCCCGAGGGAACCTGACCTTTCCAAACGCGATGTTCTTGTACATTTGCTGGGTGTCTTCTGCGTAGAAGGGACTCCAGCCGCAGCACATCTCGAACACTAGCACACCAAGCGACCAGAAATCGACCATCTTGGTGTAGCCGTGTTCATCAAGGAGGACTTCAGGTGCGAGGTACTCTGTGGTTCCACAGAATGTGTTGGTCGTTGCGTTCTCGGTAAGGTTAGCCTTAGACAAACCGAAATCGCAGAGGGCGATATGACCGTTGGCGTCCAGAAGGATATTCTCGGGCTTAAGATCTCGGTACACGATGTTGTGTTCGTGCAAATGCTGCAGGGCTAGGATGAGCTCTGCAATATAGAACTTGGCACGGCCTTCCTGGAAACGGCCCTCTCTTTGGAGATGCCAGAAGAGTTCGCCTCCAGACATGTAATCAGTGACAAAATATAGATCTGAGGGTGTCTGGAAGGAGAACTTGAGTCCGACAATGAATGCCGAATCAGCCATGGCTGTCCGGACGAGGATGTTGCGTTCTCCAAGTGTGTGGGCGACCTCCTTCTTCTGCACAATGACCTTCTTGGACAGAACCTTCATAGCGTAGATGCGGCGAGTGTCCCGCTTGCGTACTTGGAACACTTGGCCGAATGTGCCCTTTCCGATGAGCTTGAGAATCTCAAAGTCTTCAGGACCGTAGTGCTTCTTCTCCACCTTTTGGAAGTTCAGCTTGAGGTGGATCTCTCCAGTGACAACACCTCCCTCGCCCTCTCGGGGCTCTAGCGGGAACCAGCCGTCATATGGCTCGCTGTATTCGACAAGGTTTGGGCAGAAGCGGACGTGGCCGAGGAAAGCCTCGCCGTTGGCCCGGTCGTATACGGAGATGTCGATTTCTGCATGGTCGCCCACAACGTCACTACAACCGTCAGCATCACTGTAGATGTAAGATGGTTAGCCACTTACAACATAGCCTCGTGCTCCCACTTGGGGCTTGTTACTTCCTCCAGGGAGCCATTCTCTCTGGGATCTGAGCTGTGTCCGCTGTTGCTGCTCTGTCGGCTCTTCATGGGGATGGCCATTGGAGTGCCCATCTGGCTCTCGGTCCGCTTCATCTGCATGGGTGGTCGCTTTGACTCATCGTGCCTAGGACCGTCTGAGATGTACTCAGCCCATTGGAACTGGCAGACAACGTAGGGGTCTGTGCTAGGGCGCAGACCACGTCCTTCAGAGATTGTGACTGCAAGCTTGCCCTTAGGGGCCACGACGGGAGCCGTCTTGCTCTCCTTGGACTCGTCGGAAGCGTTTGAGGCGCGGGACAGGTTCGAGGGCTTGGGCTTTGATTCTTGTGAGCGGGTGCGCGGTGTCTGGGGAGGTGTAGCCTGTTGCACCGGCGCAAAGTCGCCTTGCGTTAGCTTCTCCGTTTCACCAGTCAACTGCGAGGTTGAGGGAGTTCGGGAAGAGGCACTGGGGGTGGGGCTGGGCAGCATCTTGGGATGGGTGGGTGACTCTTGCTCCTTCTCTCGGGGGTCCGACACTTCAGAAGTAGTGACGGGTGCGGGGGAGGGGTTGACCGTGGATGAGGATTTCCGCGAGGGCATAAGAGAATCACGAACCTGGCCAAAGTAACTGTGCAGAATACCCGGCAGTCGCTTGTCCGTCGGGTCGGGCTTGGGTGTCGTGGCACCTGGGGGCGTGGAGCTAGTGGAGCCGATCTGGTCGTGTCCGTCGTCGTTGCTGTCGTTGGTTGCGCTATGGGGCGTTAGCAGTGATGAGGGCAGGAATCTCGATAAAGGCAAAAAAACGACGACGAAGTGGCGGTGAAAGGGTGGTGTGAGGGCAGGAGTCGTGTGTGCAGCGTCTGAGAAATGAACAGTGATGACCAAGCGAAGGGCTGTGAATGGTGCATCGTGGGCGGTGCGTCGTGGTGCGTGGGTGTGGTGCGTGGCAATATGCAAATGCGCAGTCTAAAAGGCAGGCATCTATCTTACCGTGTCATTGCTTGCCGCAGCAGGTCGGCAGCGCCTGACGAGGAGTTGCCTGTCGTGTGCTGGGCCATGGTGTTTTGCTGGCGGGTCGAGGGCGCAGTGCCGACGTTGAGCGTGGAGAGGGTGGGAACAACACTGCTCGACTTGTTGCGTAGATGGTGGCGGGGTCGAATGGTCTTGGTCGAGCTCTCCGAGGCGCGAGAGACTAGTCCGGGACGTTGCTGGAGGGCATCGACAGCGGAGCCTTTGGTGGGAGGAGGAATCTTGGTGGTTTCCCGGAGACTGCGTCGAGACGGGCTGCTGGAGTACGTGTCGCTTGTGGGAGATGTCGAGAGCGAGCTGTCTGCCGGGTCCGCAGTTGGGCGTGAAGTCATAATAATCCCTTGGGTCCTGGCTTGCTGCTCCGAGCGGCCTTAGCCCTAAACAAGCGCGTTGCAACGACTGTGCGAAAACTCTGCTCTAGCACTTTAACGGGGCAGGCTGTCCGAGTCCTTCCAGCCTGGAGGCGCGCGGGCGGTGTACAGCGGTACTGGGTAGACGTGTACTTTGGGACCGTGGGAGCGCCTGGGGGGTCTCTCGGGAAGTGTTGGAATCAAGACAGGTGCTGGAGCTCTGGTGCTGCTGCACTTGATAGCAGCGTCACCGGCAAACGAGTTAGGCAGACGCCGTGTAGCTCACTGAGCAGCAATTCAATTCACGCAGCCGGGCAACGACTCTGGATACATATCACCGCCCTCTACCAGCGTGATTGCATCTGCATTGCACCATTCCCCGGCCTAGCAGCGCCGCCGACGGTCCTCTCGTCCATAGCCCGCCGCCAGCCCGTCCACTCGTCCTCCGGTTTTCACCGCCACTGTCGTCTGTCTCGGCGAGCAGCAGCAGCAAGTCTACCAAAACCACACTTGAACAGGCCATCCATCTGTGTGCGCCAAGCAGGTGCAACCCGCTGACGTAGTTATCCACTGCCATTGCTTCTGCCGACATGTCACTGGGCCGGCTTCGCCCAAACCGGCCGGGAAGAGATACAGTCCCTGGCTAAGATCTCGGAGCAGGGCCCCTTCACTGCCAATCATCGCCTCCACTGCGCCGTAGCAGGTGGAGCACGAATACCCTCACATCAATGCTCAAGCCATTGCCTGCATCAAGCTCCAAGACTGTCGTTTGAAGAAAAGCCTCAACGCTCCACCCGTGATGCCACTGGCACATTAGCGACATGTGGCCCGATAGCACGAGATAGCGTCTGTGGAGCTAGCCATGCCATTACCTATCTATACTATCTGAGCCTTGCTCGACCCGACTAATACAAACTGCCCAGGCGGCATGCAGCTATACGAGCAACATGCTCCTCTCTTATGTGCACCCTGCGTAGCTTGCTTCTGCTACATGTCAGAGGCAAGACACCCATGACATGACCCCAAAGGCTGCTGCGAATCCTCGACGACACGACCTAGTGCTGCACATGGCTTGCTGGAATAAGAATGACTTCATACTCGATGCTTCACAAGGCTGTCATGGCCGTCATGTCGTGTTTGCTGCCTGCCGTCGTTACACAATCAATGTTCCTGCCTAGGCAAAGGGTCCTCATGATGCCCCAGCTCGGCCAAACAGCCGGCCCGTGCGGTCTATTTGCATTTCTTACTTAGCAGCGCTGCAACCACGCGCAATACCGAAGCTCAAAGCCAACACCATACCGCTGCCGCGCACCCAACCACCATGTCTGACCGCGAGTTTGGCGGCAACGACGATTTGTCGCTGCCCAAAGGTCGGCAACTTCAAACTTGCACCGCCCCGTAAATGCTAATGCGCCCCCAGCGACCGTCCAAAAGATTGTGCAAGACATCCTCGCCAGCGAGCCTGGCATGACGTTTGCAAAAGATTCGCGCGACCTCTTGATCGAATGCTGTGTCGAGTTTATCACCCTCATCTCGTCTGAAGCCAACGAAATCGCCGAAAAAGACGCCAAGAAGACGATAGCTTGCGAACACGTCAAGGCTGCCCTGGAAGAGCTGGATTTTGGCGACTACGTCCCAGCCATCCTCGAGGTGGCGCAAGACTACAAGAAGCAACAGCAGGTAGGATGACGAGGGTGCAGGTTACGCGACCACTAGCTAACGCGGGGCAGAATCGAGAAAAGAAGCAGACCAAGATCGAGCAGAGCGGCATGACCGAGGAACAGCTCATCGCTGCGCAGGAAGAGCTCTTCAAGAACGCTACGAGCAAGTTCAACGCGCCGCCTGCGCAGTAGTGCTGCTTCCCGTGAACGACTTGTACGAATAATGGCTTCAGTTGCGCGGCGTTTGATGGGCATTGCGAAGGCGCGAGGCAGGCGTTTGGCTTAGATTAGGGATACATCAAGGGCATTCAGGGTGTACGGGCCGGCATGTTTCAAGCATAGAAATAGGCGTTATCCAAGGGACATGCAAGCCCGGAAGGCTACAACACGGAACTCGTAGTTGTCGCGACAGCAGATATTCTATTCTATCCGCATGCATTCACACGTACTCGCTTCCTACTGATTCGTGACGGCGCGCCCAGAGCAAGAGGCGCATGTGTTTCGCGGCCAATGACGTCGGGGTTGGGCCCACACCCCGCGTGGCCAGTAGCCGCATCCCACCTACAGCGCTGCCCACTACTGCCTATCTCCCGAACCACTACCCATAGCACAACTCCACAAGCCCCTACCTTGCCCAGCTGTACATTATGTCGGGTCTCGAGAATGCGCTTTTCAATTTAAAGGTCAGCTGACTTGTGTCGACGCCGACAAACCCCAAGCTCACACTCAGTAGTTCACAGCCAAGTCGCTGAACAGGCAGGCGCTCAAAGCCGGCAAAGAGGAACAGGCAGAGAAGACCAAGCTGGAGAAGGTAGACAACATGCTTCCCACGCCAAAGACGTTGTATTGACAACTATGCCAGGCTATGAAACAGGGCCACAACGACATTGCACGCATATATGCCGGAAACGCTATCCGCAAGCAGAATGAGAAGCTCAACCTGCTGCAACTTGCCTCGCGCGTCGATGCCGTCGCAGGTCGCGTGCAAACAGCAGTCACCATGCGACAGATCACAGGCAATATGATGAAGGTCAACCGGAGTTTAGACGTGGCTATGAAGTCTATGAGTCCGGAGAGGGTACGCGACCTAACAGCTACTTGCGTCATGGCCGCTGACAATATACAGATCGCCTCCGTCATGGTCGATTTCGAGAAGCAGTTTGAGAACGTAGACTCAGCCACGGAACTCTACCAGGACATCACCTCCTCCGCGACCGCCGTCGGTACACCACAAGAAGACGTCGACCGTCTAATGGCGCAGGCAGCAGATAAGGCAGGTGTAGATCTACAGCAAGATCTCCAAGAAGCCACACCGGTCAAGACCAAAGTTGGACCTACCGAGCAGGAAGAAGAGGCGTTCACCGAGAGGCTGCGCGCGCTAAGGAATTGAGATTCAAACAGGATTCCCAGGGTGTATTGGAGTTTGGGCGCATCACATGCAAGTGAATTGTTGGGAAGACTAAGATAGTTTTGAAGCAGAATCACATGCCTACGACTACCAAAGTAGTCAAGAATCAAGCCGGTCTTCATTACCTGGTTGTTGTTGCAATATATGTCACACCGCCTCCACATCATCCCCTCATCTGCATCTTCGGTTTCTCACCGGTCGCTAGGAGGCGCTGTCAGCTAAGCGTCCGTAAGATCGGTTTCTTTCGGAATTTTGGCAGACGGCTTCGGCTAAGTTGCTCGTCGTTCAGCCGCGTTTACCTGTCTACCCGATGCCTGTAAACATCATGAGTCGTGAACTGCCCGTTCTTGTAGGCATGCCCTGGCTACGCAATCGCAATTTATCTCATTTTAAGCAATAAGCCTATTCACAACGAGAAACGCTGTCGCTCCAATGTATGGGTGTATCGAGTAGTTTGCTATCATTGTAGCAAGACTATGATGAGAGAGGGGTGCAACGTCCTAGCTCAATGTGCCCCAGATCGCCAACTTTGGTCGCCTTCCCCACGATGGACCCTGCGTTTACGGAGACATGCCGTCCAATATACATGAACATACCTCAGCCGATGCTACCCATCGCCAACTGACCTGCGAACGTCCAATGATGCAGGTTTCAAAAACATGGGCCAATCAACGAACGTAGTATTCGACTCGGTAGCTCTTGCTCCGACGTCGGTGTTCGTTCCGGAGAACTTTCAGCTAAACTCCGATATCTTTCGTCAGCGGCTGGTGAATCAAATCCCTCAACAACAACGGCTGCGCAGCTCCTGCGTTGTGAATCTTCACGGCACTTCGGTCGCACTCTAGATACGCGACGAAACAGAGCCTACCAAAGACCGCAAGCGCAAATTGCCCGCGAAAAGAGCAGGATTGAAGAGCTGAAGCTTTCACATGCAGCACAGAAAGAGAGAGTTTATCAGTCACCGGAGGAAGCTGCAATGGGGGAAGAACAAGCCAGCGGTATGAACACACCTGCAGACACCGCGCCTAAGGTTGCAACACCTTCAATTGCAATTCCCAAACCCAAGCTGCCGCTGCCTGCAATGCGCACACCCACTACCTCGACCGACACACCTCGCGAATGGAATACCTCCAAGCTCGGTCTACGCATCGGCGTCGACGCCCTCTCAGCAGGTGCAGCAGGGATACTCGTCGCACCCATCATAACCATGATCGATAAAGGCATAATCGAAAACGCAAGTGGCAGGAACACATTGGGCGTCAGTCTAAAGAAGAGTGCTGTGGAATTACTAGCAAAACCCCACCACTTTGTGGGAAGCAAGCCCTTCATTCTCATCTTCAGTCTGTACTTTGGAACCTACTTTACGGCGAACAGTATCGATACAGCTTCTGCGACCGTGAAGCCTACACAAGGGTTACAGGAGCAGACGAGCGGGACGAGCAAGTTTCTAGCTACGAGTACAGCAAATCTAGCGTTATGTCTGTACAAGGACAACCAGTTTACGCGGCTTTTTGCTGCGCCGGGATCGTCTCCACGGCCTGTTCCATTGCCGACCTTTGCGCTTTTTACAGTTCGCGATTGTCTTACCATTTTTGCTTCTTTCAACTTGCCGCCTCTGCTCGCGCCGAAGGTAGACGAGCGCATGGGCGATGAAGTGAAGAAGTATGTTGGAGCGCTGAGCGTTGCGCAGTTTGTTACGCCTGCTGCTGTTCAGCTTGTGAGCACGCCTTTACATTTGCTGGGTCTCGATCTGTACAACAGGCCTGATGCTGCGGTGGGTGGTGTTGATGGAAGGGCGGGTCGCGTTGTGAGGGATTGGGCCAAGAGTGCTGCAGCAAGAATATGTCGTATTGTACCTGCGTTTGGTGTTGGTGGTGTGGTTAACACCAAGGTACGAAAGAACATGATGGGAAGGCTTGAAGAGTAGAATGTTATGGGGTTGTGCAATCGAGGACAATGGAGGCCCACGCAAGTGGCTTTGGCAGCAGAAACGACTTCAACCTACACATTCGCCCTCAAGATAACCCCGCTTCTAAACACGACGACACTACCTTGATATTGCGATCCCCCCTGTCATACTTTGGCTCGACGTATTACGATGTGTATGGATTTTGGATGAAGAGATGGCAGCAACCTTTCTTGGGCATTATACGGCGTCAAGGTTTTCTTGGAACAATCTCATCTCAGATCATCAGCATGGCATGGCGTTATTGGCGTTCCAGGGATGACTGTCTGCAAGCAACAACGAAGCACCATAGAAATTTCATGTCTTGACGTGATATTTCTCGCGCGTGAATATTCTTTTCTCGTCCCTGCTCACTAACTCGTTGCCTCAACTTGCTCAGTCTGTCATTATTCTAGATGGGCTGTTTTACGATGCAATGTCGCACAAGAAGTAAGGAGAAATCCCCTTACCCTGAGTCTAAGCATGAGAGATGCATCATACTGCGCTAGGATAAGCCAAGTGTTCAATGCTTAGGTTTTGTGAATTCATGCGATTTTGGGCGTGCCTTGGAAGGACGTTGCTCCTTCTAACGGTGACGCCATCGTCGATTCGATATTTGGAACAGTCTCGACCATTGCTACTATTCCTGGATGTGGCTGCATGGCAAATCTCGGTTCGCACATCTCGCATGCTCGCACGGATGTTCATGCAAAACCACCATGCGCTCATCGAAGGCATATTAGCCGTTCACCATGAACTTGCCGAACCTGACAACCGGAGAGTGACTTGTGCAAACGTGGGAGTTGCATGAGACAAGGACATCTTTATACACGCTCTCTGGACGTGAGGCTGATCAGATTAGGCGTTCAGAGAAGGAAGTGGTTTGTTTCAAAACATTACATTCAATAGGTAAAATCTCTACATGAGCGTGATAGTGTTCAATTCTACGCCTTCTCGTTTCCAATACTGGCGCTTCCACCCCCTCTAGCCTCAGCAAGAAGTTGCGTGCCAACAACTTCTCCCGTACTCTTGCTCTTGAATACACCCGAGACAGAGTACAGCCCCATGAAAGGCTCATAGACATATTCTTCCTCCCAAACCTCTTCACCCTTGAATGTCACGCTCTCGTTGAAACCATTAAAGCGCATGTTCTTGAGGTAATCACCAACAACATTCGTTGAAGAGATAGTGCCGGAGTTGTCGAGAATTTGCTCTACGATATCGCCGTTTTGGGCAAGGACGCGGCGCTTGTTTGTGTTGCCTTCGAAGTTGTTGATAGAATAGAGGATGTTGTTACGGAGATCCCACTGATGGAAGTCGAGGTCACGCTTTGCCTTGGCTTGCGCAGTGTCGTTGCCTCCTCCTGTAAGTCCGCCAGCGACGTCGCCAACAAGACCAGCGGTGTCGTTGATGATGGATCCGAGGCCGTTTCCTAGCTCCGCGATAACAGGGTTGAGGTCGATGCTGTCCAGTACGTCGCTGACCATAGAGACGAGGTTACCAAGACGTGCTTCGAGATAGACTTTGGCTGTGACGTTTTGGATAAGGAGCGTGACTTTGTCGACGGAAAGGTCTACTCCGGCGTTGAACTGCAGCAACTGGAGTACCTGTGCGTCGAGGTTGATCTTCGCAGTGAGGTTGTCGACACCAATGAAGATTTCGCCAACGTGAACCGATGCGTTAAGCAGGACGTCTGGCACAGGATTCAAGGCGGAGATATTAGACGAAGACGTGTTTTCCGTCTCGTAAAGAACGGCGGTTGGGTCGCCGTCATCTCGGACATCGAGCTTGTAGCCACTGTAGCCATCAGACGCAGATTGACAAACGGCGAGAAATGGCAGCGAAAGGAGTGTGATCGTTGGGAGTATGGACAACATCTTGATTGGTGATGAAAGAGAGACTGGATGGAGGTCCACGTGCTGCTGAAGGAGCGAAAGGAAGGAAGCGACAGCTCGATGGATATCGTCAATCGACAAGAGACGGGCAAGCAACGGTTAACAGTACCATCGGTTGTAGTAGTTCGTTGCCTACAAGGATCATTGCATAGCACGATTATCCGTCATCCACTACACAAGCAAAAAAAGGAAATTAAGGAGATCATTTCCGCACATGCCATTCGACAGAAAGTCTAGAAAACCGGTAGTTCGTATGCGAATCAGGATTTCTGGGTGTTCATGCCTTGGGTTTGCTCCAGATGGCGCGGTCCAGCCTTGTACGAATCCTTGTTGTTGCTGCATAGGGGGCTTTACCCGAGATTACCGTTATGGGAATCCTTGTAATACTCCATGTGCATGATTGCCGTCTCGGCTGATTTGCAACGGGATTCCTTCGCTTTAAACATTACTTGGGCCGTGTTTGCTGATACTTGTACGGCTGTCTCGCTCGTTACTATCGCTGTCGTTGTTGTCGCTGTCGCCGCCCACGCCAAAATGTCGCTCTCTATCCGCCTACTGCTCATCAGCATTTTCCTTACCTTTGCAACACTCATTTCTGCGCAAACGGCATCACCATCAGCTGCACCATCCACCCCGCCGCCTACTAGCAGCACCCCACCGCGAGGTAACGGAACTTCTACAAGACCGCCAGAGGTTGCGCCTACAGGATCTTCACCCCCAGATGTGCTTCTCCGTGTCCCCGAACTCCACGTAGGCAGAATCGAACTAGGTGTTGAGAGGCTTCAGGCAGACCTCAACCTTAATGCTAAGGTTGCCGGTCTTGTCCAGATCAATGCTGGTGTTCAAGTCGCCGTAGAGAAGGTCAACATCACTATTGCTGATGTGGATGTTGATCTCGAGTTGGTCGTACGATTGGGCAACCTTGTTTCCATTGTTGAGCGCGTTTTCGATTCTTTGGACCTGAACCCTCTTCTCATCAGTTTGATCGGAAACGTCACCAACTTGGTTGGAGAAGTGATTGGTGCTGTGGATGGCCTTGTGAGTGTCCAAAAAACTTTTAAAATTCAACGAAACTAACAACATGTAGCTGGGATCGATCACGCAAAATGGAAAGACACTCAACTTCTTGGTTGATAACCTTGGTAACATCGTCCAAGAGGTCGTGGGAAGCGGCGGAGATGCCCTTCAGCAGATTGTCGGAAACTTCAAAGTGAGCATACTTGCACTATACTAGGTCACAACCACTAACTGAATCTCCAGCTCAACATGACCGAGGTCACTGGTAGCGCAAAGCAGGTTGGTCAGGGACTTACACAGAAGACCTTCAACTACGAGCCTCTCAACGCTCTTGTCGACATTGTGACAAACACTGCCGGCCAAGTCGTTTCGGCCGTAGTTCAAAAGAAGAACGGCGGTGGTAGCGGTGGCGGCGCGTCGTCCACAGCTTCTGCCTCTGGCACTCCAATGCCAGTCAGTCTGCCTGTCAGCTCAGCCACCAGTACTTCGTAGGCATATATAGCCCTGTGATAATGGCATAATCTAATGCGTCCTTGATGTCGTTCCCACAACACTGAATCCGTGATGCATGGTTGTGCCAAAACACTAGATAGGCTATAGATTGGCTTTTGCTCAATCAGCATAACGAGTCCAAACAACTGACCCCTGAAGCATACCTGATCGAGTCTCCATGATGTGGCATATTACTGCATATCTTTTAATCAACTCTACGTCTGAGTTTTGCAGTTTGAGATAGAATGCAGTTTGCGGCAAACGAAGAAGCTTGTTTCGAAATTAAACTATCTAAATTCATTGCTCATAGCTTCGACTTGGACACGATGAAAGAGTTGCCAATGTTTAGCCACTTGACAGCATCTGTGACGAGCTCATCGACGATTTCTCTTGCAGTCTTCTTTTCGTTGACAACGGCGGCGACCTTGCCCATCAGGAATGGCCGAGCATTGTCCATGGTCTCATCGTCGAGGTCATCACCCATCTTCTCAAGATCGTGCTCGACAGGTAATATACCCTTGCTGGTGAGCTCCTTGATCTCTGCTTGTCTGTTCTCCTCCCAGTTGGCGACATATGGGTTGTTGCGAATACGAAGTGGTCGGCCAGTGAAGATGATGGTACGGATGTTGTCGTCCCAGCCAGCTGTTTTGACGGCTTCTTGGTGTGCCTTGGGCGCACCAGCCTCCTCGGAGAGGATGAAACGTGTTCCTACCCAGACACCGGTAGCACCGAATGTGAGCATTGCAGCGAGCGACTGGCCGTTGAAGATACCGCCAGCAGCCACGATTTGTACTTGCTCGCCAGTCAAGGGCGACTTGTGGCCCTCTACCATCTTGACAGCTGCTGGGATGAAAACGGAAGTGGGAACATCTCCAGTATGTCCACCACCCTCGCCTCCCTGTGCGCAGATGATGTCAACACCGATATCGAGGCACTTCTTGATGTGCTTGGGGTGTCCGATCATGTTCATGTATAGGATGCCGTGCTTGTGTAGCTTCTCGACGACAGCCTTGGGTGGGACGCCGACGGCGGAGACGAATAGCTTGGCACCGGAATCGATGATGATATCGACGAGCTCGTTCAGCTTGCCCTTGGTGTAGTCGTAGCTGCACACGGTCAGTGTCGTGCCTTTGAGGTGGCAAGCTCGCCGAGAGAGGGTACGTACTTGGTCTTGCGCGCGCTACCTCCGACCTGGGGGAGGAGCAGGTCGATACCGAAGGGCGCGTTCTGGTCGTTAAGGTATCCCTTCAACTCCGCGATCTGTTCACGGAGCATGTCTGGCGTGTATCCGACACCGCCGATGACACCGAGACCACCAGCATTTGTGACAGCGGCCGCGAGCTTTGGTCCAGCAGCCACGTTCATGCCGGCAAGCATGACGGGGTGCTGGATCTTCAGCAGGTCGGTAAGCTTGGTGCGAAGTTGCTCTGAGACTCGTCAGCTGAGGAACATGTGAGTGCAGTGTGGATGTCATACGTGGTGAAGCCATGGTGGTTTGGATGGAATCTACCGCTATAAATCTGCTATGTGTGTAAAGAGTGCAAATGCGACGTAAATCAGTAGGCAAATGGAGGGAGGAGTCGGCCGCTTTCTTATGGCGCGAGGAGCGAGGAGTCTTGGTCGACTCTCATCGAGCCGTGAGCCGAGGCACGACGCATCTGTCACGCGGAGAGCGCTAGCTGCATGGGGCTTAGCATCTTCTGGGGAACGCTACCGACTACTGGCATCGCGTGCCAGTCTCTGTCCCATCGCGTCACATGCAATTATGTTCACTAATGCGTCCAAGTGTTTAGCCACGCCAAGGGCTATACTCTCAACCTGTTCACGCCCGAGAGCGCATACAGTCAGCATCGCCAACACCAAGGTGCCCAAGTGTACAATTTTTTCCGTGGCGCCTGCCCCACGCCGGACATGTGTTTCTCTACAGGACACTTACGCTCTGCGCTTGCCGTATAGATTCCCGAGCTCGTCGCAGCCATCGCGGCGGCATATCTCCAGTGCACAGGATGGTGCGATTAAGGAGAAGCATCGCGCCTTCATCGCCCTGGGGAGCAACATGGGTGATCGAGTAGCCATGATTGAACGTGCTTGCCGAGAGCTGGAGTCGAATGGCAAGGTGGATATCATACAAACAAGTAGCCTATGGGAGAGTAAGGCTATGTACGTAGTCAATCAAGATAACTTCGTAAATGGTGCCTGTGAGGTATGCTACGTCCTCACTCAATTCGAACATTGAACTGACGCAAGCAGATAGAGACTCAACTGTCGCCGATTGAACTCTTAGACGAGCTTCAGAGGGTTGAAAAGAAGATGGACCGCGTCAAGATCATTGATAAAGGACCAAGGAATATTGATTTGGACATCTTGTTCTATGGTAGCACAGAGTATTCCGACGAGAGACTTCAAATACCCCATCCCTTGATGTTTGAGAGAGAATTTGTCTTGCGCCCACTCATCGAGTAAGTCAATGACATGTGTTTCCAATCAAACAATTCTGACCTTTCCTAGGCTTTTGCCGAAAGAGCCTAATCATTTTCCTTTCAAAGATAAGGTTAGGGATCATCTTGAAAGATTACCTGCACCAGATGTACCGCTAGTACCGATGACGCCACTTGCACCGGATCTATCACCTATCTCCTCTGTCCGACTGACAAACAACACGCGGGTCATGTCTATCTTGAATCTCACACCTGATTCTTTCTCGGACGGTGGTCAGAATTATCGTATCGACGAAGCGACGCTAGCGAATACCATCCGAGCACACATTGCGGATGGGGCCACGATCATTGATGTAGGAGGGCAATCAACTCGGCCTGGTGCCGTCCAAGTTTCCGCTGAGGAAGAGCTAGCACGAGTCTTACCTGCTGTAAAGCTGATTCGCTCACTGCCAGAGGCTGAGAATGTGGCAATCAGTGTCGACACATACCGTGGTAGCGTCGCTGAGGAGACGATCGCCGCCGGCGCAAACATGATCAACGATGTCAGTGCAGGAGCGATGGACGATACAATGCTTTCAACCATGGGCAAACTTGGCTGCACGGTGTGTCTGATGCATATGCGCGGCACCCCAGAAACTATGACCAGACCTGAGATGACATCCTATCCCGACGGCATTGTGGAGACCGTAGGAAGGGAACTCCTCGAGCGCGTCTATGCAGCAGAGAAGGCGGGTGTTAGGCGCTGGCGCATCGTTCTTGATCCTGGTATTGGATTTGCGAAGACACAAGCACACAACCTTGAGCTGCTCCGCCGACAAGACGAGCTGATGAAATATCCGGGCCTAGAAGGCATGCCTTGGCTTGTGGGAACGAGTCGGAAGGCCTTCATCGGGCATATCACGGGAGTGAAGACGGCAAGAGATAGGGTCTGGGGAACTGCCGTTGCCATTTCGGCCGCTATCAAAGGCGGTGCGCAGATCGTAAGGGTACATGATGTGAAGGAGATGACGCAGACTGTAAAGATGGCGGATGCACTCTGGCGAACATGAACATGACTACGCACTCGTCAGCTCTTGCTCTGCCAAAGCATCTATGTCTTTAAGATATCTAGTTTTTCAACACATGGTCACTAGTAACTGTACAGTGATACTGTAGGCTCGGCCAGCTCTAGCACATACGAGACCTCGAGGATATTCAAAACACGATTACATGATGCCCATGTATACTAGACCTTTTCCCTCTCATCTCGAGTATGCTAACATGATCAATCTATTCGTACAGAATGGCCGGCTTCGCAACCGCCACAAGCAGTATCTAGTCGAAAATGAATTCGATTGCAATCCAAATCCAGATCGTCCTATGACAATGAGGATCTGGCACGAAAAGTCAAGGTGACTAAGTCTTAGCATCATGGAAACAGCAGAAATCGTGAGAAGAGTAATCAGAATGTCAGGAAGGTAAACTTGATAATATAGACACTACATATATACAACAAGGCATTAAGATCCCTCAATGCCTATTAATGGCTCGCTTTCACAAAGTTTGCAAATCTACAACTTGCTACCACCGCCCATCAACTCAGCACCAGCCCCACTGATGGCTAGCTTACCCGTCTCCTTAACCTTGGTCTGGAACATGACTGTGTTCCCTACCTTCCACATCTCAGTGATCAATGTCTGACCTGGCAGCACAACACCCGCAAACCTGACCTTGATGTTCTTGAAGGGGCCATAGGTTTGTAGTACGTGCTTACCCGAGATACCAAAGCTGCACAGACCGTGCAGAATAGGTGTTGGGAATCCACCAGCTTTGCTGAATGATGGGTCGATGTGGAGTGGGTTTAGATCGCCAGAGAGACGGTAGATAGCCGCTTGCTCCTCAGTTGTGCGCTCCTCGACAACAGTGTCTGGTGCGCGTTGCGGTGGCTTGTGAACCTTTGTGGCAGCACCACGGTCACCACCCTTCTTCTGGCCACCAAAGTTACCAGAGCCACGGATGAATACTGTGCTCTCGTTGTAGAAGATCTCCTCGCCGGTCTTTGCATCCTTGGTGACGCTACCGTACACAACCAGTCCAGCGGCACCCTTGTCCACAACCTCCACGAGCTTGGGCACAGCGACAAGCTTGGCTTCAGTGGGAATAGGGAACTTTCGGATCTCGAGGAACTGCTCGCCGTGAAGGAGCATACGAGGGTCGAAGTTGGGGACGATCTCATCAAAGGAGAAGGGAGGCTCAGCGTTGAAAGGTGGTACAACACCGAATGTGGGGATTACTTGGAAGTTCTCGTCACCTTCGTAGACGAAAGGAAGGTCGGTGCGCTTAGCGCCAATTCCGAGGTCTGGAAGATGTGTTAGTTACGAAGCTGGTCTCACGGTATGGCTAAGACTTACTGTAGAGAATGACGTCCCTCTCAGTGTACTCGAAAGGCGTGCCCTGGGGTTTAGCAGCCAGAGCCTTCTTCTGAGCCTCGAGAACCTCCTCGTTACTCTTTGTTGGCTTCTTCTCCTTCTTGTTCTTCTTACTGGTGTTCTCCATGTTGGCCATGATGGACTTGAGACCGCTGGCGTTGTCGAAGGGGTGGTCAGCACGGCCATCATCGAAGTTGGTGATACGTTCCCATTGGGAGGCGACAGCCTCAGGAGTGAGCTTTACGTCCACAGGGAAGCCGTGTCCACCAGTTCGTTGCCACCTAGTCGCAGCGAACCATCCGGAACCCATCTCATAGAGGCCGCCAGTTGGCTCAGGGGCTTTGTCAGAGACAAGGAGAATGACCAGAGGAGCGTTGTAGTCAGGCTTGAGTGCCTGAACAACCTCCTCGGGCATGATGCTGCGGGTCATCTGAGTGCCAGCATTGGGAGCAACAGTGTTGACGAAGATGTTGTTCTTCTTGCCCTCAAGCGCGAGGGACTTTGAGAAACCGAGGATACCGCACTTGGCTGAAGCGTAGTTGGCCTGGCCAAAGTTACCGTAGATACCGCTGGTGGAGGTGGTGTTGAGGATACGACCGTACTTCTGCTTGAGCATGTAGGGCCATGCAGCCTTTGTGCAAGAGTAGGTACCGAACAAGTGAACCTTGTGAATGATGTCCCACTGCTCGTCGGTCATGTTGGCGAATGCCTTGTCGCGGAGGATTCCGGCGTTGTTAATCAGGATGTCGATGCGACCGTACTTCTCAATCGCGGTCTTGATAACAGACTCGCCGTCCTGGACATCGCCCTTGTTGCCAACGGCCTCTCCACCAAGTTTTTGGATCTCCTGAACAGTGTTGTCAGGGTTTACGAGGTCGTTTACAACAACCTTGGCACCGCGCTTGGCCAGCTGCAAGCAGTAGATGCGACCCAGACCGGCACCTCCACCAGTGACAAGAGCAACCTTACCCTTGAAGTCAATCGGCTCGCCCTTGGGGTTGGAAGGCAGTTGGTTGGCCTTCTCAAGCAGTTCAAGGGCGTTGGCTGGACCTTGCGGGTGCTCAGGCTTGGAGAAGTCGACAACGTCCTTCCATTTGGCAGCGACAGCCTCGGGTGTGAGGGAGTCGTCGGCCTTGAGCAGAGCGCCAGAGGCTCGTTCCCATCGCAGCTTAGCTACGTGGCCGGCGCCCGCCTCGAAGATGGCGCCTGTCTCAGTAGAGGATTTGTGTGTGAGGACGGCAACGAGGGGAACGATCCATTCGGGCTTCATTTTCTCGAGGACATCGGGAGGCATGACGGTTTCAGTCATTCGGCTAGCGGCGATTGGGGCGACAACATTGCAGAGGATGTTGTACTTCAAGCCCTCCTTGGCGAGCGTCTCGGTGAAGCCAACGAGAGCGAGTTTGGCGGCTGTCGGGGTTAGTAAATGCTTATGTTCTCATAGAAGATGCATGCATACCGGAGTAGTTTGTCTGTCCGAAAGATCCGAAAAGACCGGCAGCAGACGCAGTGCTGATCAACCTTCCGTACTTCTGTTTCCTGAAGTAGGGCCATGCGGCATGTGCGCACTTGTATGCTCCGTAGACATGGACGCGGTAGATCAGATCCCAGTCCGCCTGTTTCATGTTCTTGAAGCTGACATCTCGCAAGATACCGGCGTTGTTGATGAGGATATCAATACGTCCGAATGTGTCGACGGCCGTCTTGATGATGGCCTCTCCGTTCTCGACCGAATCGTAGTTGGCGACGGCCTTGCCGCCAGCGGAGCGGATCTCATCGACGACCTTGTCTGCAGCCTGTCATGGAGTCAGCAACGGAGTAATAATTGATAGACTAAAGCGCGTACCGCTGAGCCCTGTCCTTCGCCCTTGAAGCTTCCGCCCAGGTCGTTTACAACCACGTTCGCGCCGCGGCTGCCAAAGAAGACAGCATATTCGCGACCCAGACCACCACCAGCACCCGTTACCACAACGGTCTGGCCGTCGTATCGCAGCTCCTGCGCAGCCATGATGTGTTTGGTACGCTTTTGTGACGAGGCTGCCTCCTTGTTTGTTGGTAGAGAGAAGTTGCGCTCGAGGAATGTCCGATACAAGCAAGCAACAAGAGTGTCAAATGTCAAATGGGTATCAGCAAAGATCCCACGTTGGTAAAGTGCAGGATATGAAAAGTGAAGATGAGAGGATAGGTGGCTTGCAGCGTGACGGATGTTCAAACTAAGGTCATTCTCGATCTGACCCGGACGTGTCTCATGAAAGCAGCCGAGCTGTTGATAATGACGATTTACCTCGGCCCCGACGGCAGTTGGTCATGTGTGGGGATCTGCGCACCGTGCACCGCATGCTTTCACATGTCTCCAACACCCCATTCTCTCCTCCTCATGGTAAAGTCCGGGGTATCATGTGACAATGACAAGAGTGTGCTCGACCTCATGCGCAGTTGCCCTACTTGTTCAGCCTTGGCTATAGAGAGTGGGTGGATGAACAGTTGCTGAGCTGATGTGGGGCTGCCAATACCACCGCCTCAAGGCCCGAAACACGTACTGTACGCGTCCTGGCCATCGCCACATTGGGGTGCAATAGAAAAACAGCAAGTGCGCCGTCGATTTTTGGCCCTTTAGTACATGTAAAGGCTGCAGTACAAGTGACTGTTTGTCTGGTGGATACTTACCACCAGCAAGATGCCCGACATGCAAAAACCTAAACCACGCCTTTGGAGACAAGGGGTGCTGTGATTAATACATAGGAGCCTCTATCTCTGGGTGCCTGCTAGTCTGCATCATGAAAATCACCAGACTTGCTATCTGCCAAGCTCACTGGATTGTGTGGTTGAGAGCAGCCACATCTAGGTCTAGACTTTTTCCATGATTTACATGTTCTAATGCAGCAAGCCAGCAATATTAAGTAAACACAACGCCCGGCCCGAGATTCACTGTCCATCTATGCATAGTTGATCGCATCACCGATCCTTTGCAAACACGATACTGCACCAGGATCATTCTAGCTCTGTAGCTATCTGCGTCATGCCGAGGACAACGCCGACCCAGACCCTCATCGTCACCGCTTCTTGACCACCATTTTCTCTCCCATAGCCAATGATTCCACAGCGCCTTCGTGCGTGAGCGTGCAGGACACCAGTCTTTGCACGCTGTATACGACCATCATGCGCGGTTCGGCCCGTTGACGGCTTTGACCGCCTTCAACATTCGCGTACCTACCTTACCGAGCCTCGAGGTCCTCTGCAATACGCCTATCGTAGACTGTGTCCTATTACTGCCGCTGATCAAAGAGCAGAAGACATGGGCTTAGTGGATGGAGAGAAGAAGGATATCGGGATGGGCATAGTGTGTCGGGAGCTATCATGGCCGACGTCACGCCGGTTACCACATGAGGGGTGTCCCATCGTAAAGTAGAGGGCAGAGTTTCCTTGGGCTGTAGTGGGTTGCAGAGCTTGTGTGTGCTGGGTGGCGATCCTTCTGGTAGTAACATTTTATCTGGAGGCACTTTAGCGAAACCGACTCATAATTCTGTTGGTGCGGACTATCAGAGTAGGAAAACTTTTGGTTTATGATGCCTGAATATTGTATTATTCTCTGACTGATCACAGCAAGTGGTAGGCCACGATTCTGCTTCTCACAGGAATGGAAAAATTTCGCGAGGCGGCTCAGGATGATCGTTATCGTGATACCAGCACGGATAATTGTAGGAGTGGATTTGTGGATGCACGATTGCGGGTACGGAACGCTTATAGATGCAAGTCGATATAACCCACACGTACTTTCATTCCGTTCCCTTGATCCGGCACAAATGAGATACCTTTTCCTTGTTCAAGGTCGATTGCATCTTGAGAGCCCTGGTTGAACTCGCTGCCAGGGGACGTCACTGGGTTTGATACCGAATATAATACTAGCAGACTGCATTCCCTCATCAGAAAAGAAGCCGCACGCGTGGGGTTAGTCCATCCATCCAGACTGCGTGTCGTCGCCTATCTTGCACAGGTTTTCCATTGGGTCAGTCGAATGCGCGTGGACTGTGGTGCAAGAGCACTAATTGGCCGTGTTACTCGCAGGAGGCTCGGCGACGAGTGTGAAGTTGTCGACTTTACGTCAAAAGCTCGGAGAATAATGGGCCGCATCCTTTCTGGCCACATATGTAGCAGGCCGAGCGCAGGCTACACTAGGCGCATCTTTACTAACCGGCAGTTCTGGTGTTAAGATTCATGGATCAACGAACGCACAGGGCAGCGCAGTCATAGCACTTATCCCCATAACCGTGAAGTAGTCCGGATGCTGAGGCAATGAGCGCCTCTTAGGTGCCAAATCCGAGTATTTCATATATCCTCAGCAGCCACAGGAATGACGTCGTGACGTGGCTTTCCATGGGCCTGCCCTTATCCCGAGGCCATGTCAGCGGTGTCATTTTCGAGGAGACTGTCAGCGGGGCTATCCGCCCGCCTGATGCATGCCATGCACCACGTGCTCATTAACGACCGTATTCGTACACTAGCGTAAGTAATGCCTGTTCTAATGGCGAATCGCAGATTGGGCGGCGGAATTTCTTCCGATGAGAGGTTTACCTAAAGTGTGTGGTTGGCGAGGCAGACCTAGGCAGGTAGGTCTACTATGGTGGGTCTTCTCATGTCTCGACCTACTGTAGGGTATGTACCTCAAAGGCCGGTGTGTCAGGCATCGTGGCCTATGGGATACGAGTTTTCAACGATGTCTCACGGCCGCACGATTGTCGAAGAGTCTTCGAGCAAGCCCTACTCTTGGAAGCTATAGACCCGATTGCTTGCCCCTGGTGGCAGTACGCCTCATTCTGATCCGACTACTTGCGTCCAGGGTGTTGAAATGGAAGCAGTAAAGCGATCTGCCCATCATTTTGCATCCCACAACGGATGTGGCTCTCGCCGGTCCAGTAGCCTTGTAAGCTACACATGTGACCGGATACTGGGGATCGCCCTAATGTCTAACGGCAAGCTGAAGAGATAGCGCTTGACTTCGTGGGATGAGAGGTGTCCAGGCTTCGATATCTGTGATTCAAGACGTGCAGCGACTTCGTCAGCATGCTTTAGTGACGTTTCTCTTCGCCACGATATCGGGTAATTTTGCGCCTTTGCCGAGCTGTCGTCAGCTCATAGCAATCTGCAGGCCACGAGGTTTACAGCGCCTTGCTGTCCTTTTGAAATCGTTTTGAGGTTTGAGCCATCCCTGTCACTTACCACATCCTATCTAGCGTAGTCGTTTTTCGTCGGTGGTGTTGACTGCGAGCTGTCGTCAGGTGCTCCTAAGTCACGAGTCTCTTGTCAAAGACCTCAATCGCAATGAGTGATGATTCAGAAAGAGTCAGCGTCCACGGCCGAGTCTTCCAAAGGATTTCCCTTGACGAGAAGATCTACTTCGCACCTGTAGCCATCGACGACCGCGAAGAGAGCAGACTGACCGCTCAACATCGCCTTGTAGCCAGAATCTTCGGCGACAGTTTGTTCTCCTCCAGAGTGTCAGTGGAAAACCCCTCTGCAATCTTGGAGTGCGGCTACGGTAATGGAGAATGGGCTGTCCAATGCGCTGAAGACTTTGAGGATTGCGAGGTGCGTACTTGATCATACCATATGCACAATTCAGGAGACCGGCGTTGGTACTGGCCTCGTACCGCTGAGAAGATGTTGACATTCCCAGGTAACTGCTGTCGATATATTCCCTATGTGAGTAAAGGCCATATCCGGAGTCCACCCACAGACGAAAACTGAGCCGACCTCCTATTTCTAGGGATCTCCCAGATCAACCCGAAAACTTAGATCTGGTTAGTAGCGTCCATATACGAACTGAATATGAGGCATGCTCTAACCTGGTATACACAAATTTAGATCTGCCATAATCTCAACGACCCTCTTCGCGATCCCGAACTATTCCAAGCGAACCATTACGACCTCATACACTCGCGATTCGTGTTCCCAGGTATAAAGACCGAGAGATGGGCCCGGTATATCAGAGATATGAAATTGCTGCTGAAGCCGGCAGGTTGGGTTCAGATGATGGAATTCCTGCCTATTATTCAATCCCATAACGGAAGTCTTACGGAGCAGTCTGCCGTGCGAAGATGGTGGCAGTCATATCAGGGCGCTATGGCAAGCATGGATCGTGACCCAAGGATAGGCCGTCGGTTGAAGCAGCTGTTGCTCGATAATAGATACCGAGATGTTGACGTCGAAGTGGTGCAGCTACATATAGGTGGTTGGTCCCCAGGTAAGGCCTCTCTACTGCATCTCGTATCATGTCTCCTACTGTGGCCAGTCGTGTTCCGCCATTCTTAGACCTATGCTCTATTCCACAACAGTGCTGAGAAGTCACGTATAGATCCCGCTCAAGCCAGCCTCGGCAGAGATTCTGTCGCGGTACGTATATCCGTGTTGTAGTAGATGAAATTCTGCTGACCGCACGTTCACGCGTCCAGATGATTGGTGACCTGCTCGAATCTCTTGGGCTATGGCCGTTCACATCGACTCTTGGTCGTACAGCCGCAGAATTTGACTCTCTGATGGAAGAAGTCCGTACAGAGCTCCAGGACGTGAGCCTGAAGCTATATATCGAGATGTAAATGACGACTCGTCCCAATTGATGGTGTGTGTGTGTCTAACTTGCTCCCAGATATGTCGCTACGGGTCGGAAAAGCACCCGGTAATGCAGCATGCATCTATTGACGTCGATGTAGGTGCTGCATTGCACTACGGATCTTTCAAATTGCACGGGTGCACAGGGCCGTGGTTGCGTGAGGCGAAGAGGGATGGCCAATATGGTCGGGAGCACGAGCATCTTCCTGTGGATGTCAGAACTGTGTGACGAAGGCAGGGCAGTCTACACGACTCCATCGTGTCCAGTAAACATCAACAAGCTAGTTCCGAATGCTCAAAAACCAGCCAGGCTGATAAGAAATTCAGATGTCCTCCTAACTCTCACATACATGCTTACAAAGGGTCATAGTAAGGATTCTGATAGCAGCCTTGCTGTCTTCCAAGCTTGCCAATTCCAAGCAAGCTAAGCTCATACTCTCAACATTCGCTGGGTGGGCAGATTGCGCCGACCGCAACAAGCCTGGCTTCGACGAGGTTGGAGGCATTACTCTATCATGTAGGCGGCGGCTCCCTTAAGGCAACTCCTCGGAGGCGAACGCGTGTTTGTGGCATACTCGAGTATGTCTTCAAGCTGCTGTATCGCCTGATTCGAGCGCGATGGTGGTTTGCTGGAGAGGCTGAAGAGAGTGAAAGTCGACAAGTGACATGCACGATGTCGATGCAGGATTGACACTGGGGTGCTGCTGCGTGTACACGAAGGAGGTGCCGAGGGTGAGAACTCAAAGAGCAGAGAGGGTCAAACAGATGACAAGGGAAGGTGGGGCGACAAGGGACAGGCTATGGGACGCTAGTGGCCCTGGA